GATTTTTTTTTGTATTGGTGAAAATGGTATGGTAACCCCGCCTGCGCTAACGGGATACGCTGGCGGAGCACCAGTGAAGGGTGATAGATGAGAATGAAAACAGGCCAGTTAGCACATCATGATGAATTCATCAGGAATTAACCATGATAGTTTCCAGGGGGAACCGCGACGTGGTCAACCTGGTTAGGTATATTGCTAGCAATGGGATTCTCAGTCTCCATTACTAACAATCCCTTTCCCCCAGCCCGTCGTGATGTAAACACCTGGAATCTAGCACGATGGTTTCCAGGGGGGACCACGTAGAGGTCGACCGGACAGGGTACATTGCTAGCAACGGAACCGGTAGTCCGCGTTACTAACGTGTTCTTTTCCTCATGTTTTTAATTTTAGTACAGATAAAAGTGAAATGGTACAAAATAAATATACAAACGGACAGACGAACAAATATTTTTTTTATATACATAACGAAGAGGGAAAATTACTTTTAAACACTCGCCCTGAAAATGCCAACCGTAAATTGAAGGGCTTATTCTGGTCGGTGGCAAATAAATTGAAACTTCTAGAACGGTCGGCGCTGCTGTATTAAAATGAAACTGCTTAATTCTAGTAATACGTTATTTTTTTATTATTTTTTTTTTAATGAATTTTTATTTTTTATTCATTTATTTATCCTTCACTGTACAATAGAACTTTGTACAAGTGGCGAGCTTAATGCCATATGGCGTTCTCCACCAGCTAACTGTTAGGTGAAAACAGAAAGCGTATGAAGGGCAGTGGTGGTGAAAATTAGGGACATAATTATAGTAACACATTAAGGCAATACACAATATAAATATAATATACACATAAGAAATGCACATATAATATATATATATATATATATATATATATATATATATATATATATATATATATATGGTTATATTTTTTTTGTTATATTTGTCGTATAACTCTGATAGCTGTAAACCTTTTTTTTTATACAACTTAGAATGGCAAACAAGCTGACGGCCCACCTGATGGAAGGTGGTAACCGTCGCCTATAGACATGAGCAATACCTTTTTGTGAAACACATTTTTAATTATTTTTTTCACAACCTGAGCGTTCGTGGGAGGAAACGTCTCTGTAACCGCGTTATACGCGATCATTTAGGCTGTAGGATATGAGGATGAGCTCTCTGTTGATGGCGAGCCGTATGATGATAGAAAGTGGCCGTAGGCATCATATTGAATATTGAAACATCGTCTCGACATCGCCTCGCTGTCGTCTTGTCCCTTACAGAATACGGCCGCGGGTTGGTTACTTATTTGAAAGCAATTTTAGTTCGCCCCCTTCATTTAGAATGGGTCAGGTACGGATTTAGGGCGCGTTTAGTATTATTATTACATTTTATTGATCCATATGTTTAAACTTAACCCTTCTTTGTACAACGGTGGAAATTTCCATCATAACATTGAACGCCCAAAAATTATACAAAAGACCAAGTTCACTTTAAGTTGATCGTGTCTGTATACCTTTTTAATGTCCATTGCAGAAAAAAAAACATAACTGTCAAATTTATTGTTTTAACCATTTTTCCTTTAATTTTGAACATGAATTATATCACCTTGATTTATTTCACTAATAAAAAAAAAACGTGGAAAGAAAGGCTAACCTTAAGTGGAAGTCGTCATGATGAGCTAATTAACTTGCTTTTTTCATCCTCACCTATCATTCTTCACTGGTGCCTCGAAGGTGTAGCCGAAAGCGCGGGTGGGGTTACCATTCCATTATCACCCATAAAAAAAAACCCGGGGCGGGTCGCTAGTTTAAATAAATAAACTTTACGGCCCTAATACGTCCCTGTGCACACCCTTTTCTCCCGCCGCCCCCCGAAGTAAGGGCGCGTACACACCGACCGCGCGGTGGGTTTTTTTTTTGATGGGTGAAAATGGTATGGTAGCCCCGCCTGCGCTAACGAGATACGCTGGCGGAGCACCAGTGAAGGGTGATAGATGAGAATGAAAACAGGCCAGTTAGCACATCATGATGAATTCATCAGGAATTAACCATGATAGTTTCCAGGGTGAACCGCGATGAGTCTCCATTACTAACAATCCCTTTCCCCCCTTGAGCAATTGTGTTTTTATGGCTGTGTTTCGATTTGAAGGATGGGATATGGCCGTGAATTTACACGGTACAGAGGAATAACACCTGACTCCTGAGAAATGGCAACGCATGGGGGGTATTATGGGCGAAACAGTATACTCAGTTATGTCTATAGGCGACGGTTACCACTTTCTATCAGGTGGGCTATTCTAAGTTTTTTTTTATGTCGTGCGGTACCGGAGAATAGGTAAAGGAAACCACTGGGTGTCATGTCGTATGGGAGGTGAGAAAATGTGGCCTGGGATAGAGCTGGTTGAAAGAGAATGCATGAAATAGTTGCACCGACAAGAGGTAACTGTTAAATGAAAAAATACCATATGCTGTTTTTTTTAATGGATGAAAATGGAATGGTACAGGCGGGGTGCCTGCGCTATCGGTATACGCTGGCGAGGTACTAGGGAAACATGATAGGTGAAGATGTAAAGGCAGGTCAGTTAGCATATCGTGACGAATTCAACGATAAATTAGTCAAGATGGTTTACAGGGGGAACCGCGTGGAGGTCGACCTGATATATTGATAGCAGTAGGGACTTACCTCCTCATTGTTACCACACTTTAATGTGAATATTTCCAGAATCGTTCGGTGTGTACGTACTCTAACCACGAGTAATCCGCCAATCCGCTGAGCCGGGCGGCTGGGTGGGTTTTATTTTCCCCATATTGATAAAGGTGATGTCCCAGCGGTGGGAATACCCCAGTAATATCATAAATGCGATATGTCAGTCTATTTGTTATGTTTTTATAGCTATCCCATTGGACTGGCAGTTAGAAATAACTGATTTGGAGGATGGCTGGTCTGATTTGTTGACCGACTTTAAAAAAAGGAGGTTTTTTATTCGGTCGATTTTTTTTCTCATTTGTTACCTCATAACTCCAGTTGTAAACCGTTTTGGTGTATTCTTTTTTTGTATCTGAGAGAAAAAGGATATTTTTTTTTTATTAAAATAAACTGAGATTCAAGCATTTTTCTTTAGGCATTTTTTTTTTCATTACCGCCCATTCGGAACGCAGTTAAGTTGTTAGTAATGAGAATCTGACGACCCCATTGCTAGCAATATACCCTATCAGGTCGATCTCCACCCGGTTTCCCCTGGAAACCGTCTTGGTTCATTGTTTTTGAATTCGCTGCGATGGACTAACTGACCTGCCTTTACATCCTCACCTATCATGTGGCCCTGGTACCACGCCAGTGTAAACCGATAGCTTAGGCGGGGTTACCATTACATTATCACCCATTTAAACTCTGAAAATCGTCGTGGTTAATTCCTCATAATGAGTCAACTGACCTGCTTTCCTCCTCACCTATCATGTGTCCCTGGTACCTGGCCAGTGTATACCGTTTTTTCTGTTGGATGAATGGTATGGTAACCCCGCCTGCGCTAACGGAATACGCTGGCGGACCACCAGTGAAGGGTGATAGATGAGAATGAAAACAGGCCAGTTAGCCCATCATGATGAATTCATCAGGAATTAACCATGATAGTTTCCAGGGGGAACCGTTAGAAGTCGACCTGGTTAGGTATATTGCTAGCAATGGGATTCTCAGTCTCCATTACTAACAATCCCTTTCCCCTCCTAGCGTATACCGTTAGCGCATGCGGGGTTACCATTCCATTAAAATACATAAAAAAAAAACTATGTCTGTAAAAGCAGTATATAACGTTTACTTCTAACTTACTGCTAACGCTTTTTACAATGTAAGGTTAACAAATTGCGTATAGTTAAACTTTAGTATTGTTTTATATTTAATGGCATACTTATGGTATTTAGGTTTGCAAACTACTATTGTAACCAATTATAAGAATGACAACTAAAAAAAAGACGAAATTTTATAAAAAACCAGAGAGAGACTGTACAAAACTCGTTTGCTTGGCCACCTCTGTCCCATTCGTGTTTCTACCGTGAAGCAGTTGTGTTTGCATGGCTGTGTTTCGGTTTGAAGGGTGCGATATGGCAGTGAATTTACACGGTACAGAGGAATAACACCTGAGTCCTCAGGAATGGCAACGCATGCGGGGTATCATGGGCGAAACAGTATACTCTGTTATGTCCACGGTACTGCTCATGTGTATAGGTGACGGTTACCACTTTCCATCAGGTGGGCCGTCAGCTTGTTTGCCATTCTAAGTTGTATAAAAAAACTTATTATTTCCTATATATAATGATAATTAAAATGACTGCCCAGTTCGAAGTGTGAATCAGGAGTGGCTTTTCAAGTCGTCACGTAAACCAGCCTCGTGGTGCAGCGTCAGCGTTTACTTAGTTTTTTTTTATGGGTGTAAATGGTATGGTAACCCCGCCTGCGCTAACGGGATACACTGGCGGAGCACCAGTGAAGGGTGATAGATGAGAATGAAAACAGGCCAGTTAGTCCATCATGATGAATTCATCAGGAATTAATCATGATAGTTTCCAGGGGGAACCGCGAGGAGGTTGACCTGGTTGGGTGTATTGCTAGCAATGGGATTCTCAGTCTCCATTACTAACAATCCCTTTCCCCCCGCGTTTACCTAGTTAGGCATCTACGTCATTTACACGAGTTTTGGACCATCCGGTGTCAGAGGTCTCGATAGTGGGTCGCTATGTAACTATTTATTTTTATACCACTGAGGTGGCAAACAAGCATACGGCCCACCTGATGGTAAGCGGTTACCGTAGCCTATGAACGCCTGCAATACCAGGGGTATTACGCGCGCGTTGCCGACCCTGAAGAAACCTCTTTACCCCCTTTTGAAGAACCCCATGCTGTAGTCTCTTGGGAAAACCTCGGCAGGGAGCTCATTCCATAACCTGAGTGTTCGTGGGAGAAAGCATCTCTGTAACTAACTTGTAAAAAATAAATAAATTGTTCCAGGACGAGGTACTAGCGATAAACGACAAGGTGGTAGTCCGGGCGGAGGACCTGCTCAGCTGGGTGTGCGCGGGCGACAGTTGGCGGTGGGGGCTGCGTGCTGTGTGGAAGGGCTCGTGTGCACCGCCAGCGGAGCCCCGCCACACGGCGCCGCTGCACCACACCAAGCTGGACTTCAGCGACATCGAGAGGGAGAAGAGTACTATAGGTCAGTAAAGGAGTACTTCTACGTACTTACAGTCCAACCTACATGGGGGGGAAAGGGATTGTTAGTAATGGAGACTGAGAATCCCATTGCTAGCAATATACCCAACCAGGTCGACCTCCTCACTGTTCTCCCCGGAAACTATCGTGGTTAATTCCTGATGAATTCATCATGATGGGCTAACTGGCCTGTTTTCATTCTCATCTATCACCCTTCACTGGTGCTCCGCCAGGGTATCCCGTTAGCGCAGGCGGGGTTACCATACCATTTTCACCCATAAAAAAAATCACTAAAGTGGGGAGAAGGCTTGTTAGTAATAGGGAGATTAGTCCCCATCGCTATCAATATACCTTATCAGGTCGACCTCCACGCGGTTCCCCCTAGAAACCATCATGGTTAATTCTAGAGGAATTCGTCGGGATGAACTAACTGACCTGCTTTCATCGTCACCTATCATCCCTCACTGGTGCCCCGCCAGCGTATACGAATAGCGCATGCGGAGTTACCAATCCATTATCATCCATTAAAAAAAATCACTACAGTGGTATTAATTTAGAGCAGCCGGAAAGCATCATTGGTGAGTGAAGGAAGGCTGCTATATGCTCATGGTCCAATCTATGTGTGTGGGATTACCTTTTAGTGAGACCTATGTTCAGCAATGAACAGTTATGATGGTGATGAGAACTGATCCTGTATGTGATATAAACGATAGTTACCATTAGGTACGCCTTCAGCTTGTTTACCATTCTAAGTTGCATAAAAGAAATAAGAAATGTCTGCATTAGGCAAAGGGAACTGGCGCATCTGATGCTGTGCGGGTCCCAGTGCGATGTGAACAGCTGCACAGCGCTGGTTTACAGCCAGTATTTCTCTTGACAGCAATAAAGAGTTTAGTGTCTCATATTAGGTAAAAGGAACTGGCTTAGCTGATGCTGTGCTGGTCCTAGTGCAATGTGAACAGCTGCACAGCGCTGGTTTTCAGCCAGTCCCTCTCTTGACAGCAATAAAGAGTTTAGTGTCTCATATTAGGTAAAAGGAACTGGCTCAGCTGATGCTGTGCTGGTCCTAGTGCGATGTGAACAGCTGCACAGCGCTGGTTTTCAGCCAGTACCTCTCTTGACAACAATAAAGGGTTTCTTTCATTGCGCAATATCTCGTTGGGCTTTATATCATTACCAGGTAAAATTTCTATCCCAGAACGTACTTTTGGTTGAAGAGTGTGTGAGATTACATAATACTAAGTTGGAAACCCTATCTCCAAGAGGGAGAAATATACGGAGAAGATTACCTTTTGTTTAAGAAGTTTGTGTATACAGACTGTTATTTAACTATCACCTTCTCTTCTTTCCCCTTCTAGCAGTGGACGCGGAGTGTCCCGGTGTGGTGGTCTTCTCGTACCCTCGATACTGCCGCTACAGGGCGCTGCTGTCCCGCCTCGAAGGCATCCAGGGGGACTGGCTGAGGGACTCTCTAGTGGCTGCGCTTGGAGGTTACGCGGCACCCACCAAGAACACCAGAATACTGTACTGCAAGGTTAGAGTAATATTAAAAAAGCTTTATGCCCTTACATTTAGTGTGATTTTGATTTAAAAACTTAATTACTGAATCGATTTTGATTAAATTTCTATTGAACCAACCTGAAAATATATCCTTTAAGATAAAAAAAAAAATTTTCAAATCGATGTGGAATTGACGGAGTTATGAGGTAACGAACATAAAAAAGGCAGCTTATGGTGAAGGGATAGGCAGCAGCGTCTCTCTTAAAACATCAGCAAAGCCTAACTGCGGTTGCTAACCCGCCTGCCAAGCGTGGCAACTACTGGTAAAATACGAGGCTACGTTCAGCAATGAACAGTTATTACAACAAACATAAAAAAGATAGTTGAAAAGTTTGGTCTTTCTAAATATTTCACTGTTTGCATAGTTCTGCAAGCCACAACCATATTAATTTACAGCTCTCTCCTTAATTCCAGGACACCTTCGAGTACCCGGAGCTGGAAGGACACGAGTTTGTGTGCAACCACCTAGCGCCTAGGTTGAAGGGAAGGCCGCGTGGCCGCCGTCGACGTCCCCCGCGCTCACGTAGCCACTCCCCCTCGTCGCCATCGCCGTCGCGCTCCAGCGACAGCGACCACGACCGCCCTCCTCCTCAGCCTAGGGTTGGTGACCTCTACTTGTCAATTTATCAGATTTCTCGTCTAATTTACAGGCTTTTTTTACAACACAAGGGGCAAACGAGCATGTAGATCACCTGATGGTAAGTGACTACCGCCGCCCATGATCACCCGCAACACCAACGGCATTGCAGGTGTGCTGCCGGTCTTTTAAAAAGAAATATGCTCTTTTCTTGACGGTTACGATGTCGTATCGGTTCGGAAATACTGCTGCTGGAAGTTGATTCCAAAGAGTGGTTGTGCGTGGAAGAAAGTGCCGCGAAAAACGCACGGTGGAAGACCGCCACTCGTCCAGATGGTTGGGATGAAATTTTAGTTTATGGCGGGTTGTACGGTGGTGAAAATCAGCAGCTGGTATCAATCCGAACAATTTCTAGGCTCTTCTAATCAAAGAGTTTTTAAAGGTGAAAGCGGAGTGTTGATCAGAAAGTAAGTGCCACAAAATCACAACAATCATCTTGCGGGATCTTGCGGGATATCAGGCAACGAATTTCTGACTGAGGTTGAAACACCCAGAATCGGTTTAGAATGATAGATGAGGATGAAGTGGAGTCAGTGGGTTCGTCGTCATAAATTCATCATCAGGAAGTATAATTACGGTGGTATTCAGATGGGTCGAGTGGAAGTCGATCTGATAATGGGTTCAGAAGTCCCCATTAATAACTCTTCCTACCCCTCTAAATTATGTGGCAAACACGACAATGTATTAGGAGAGCAGAATGTACGAAGATGTCTGCGACACTTAAATTTTATAGCATCTGCATTATTTATGATTGCCTGGTATACAACGCCTCTAAAAACGTACAGGTTGACCCAACAAATTGTTAGCTGAAAGACAGGGTGTTTTAGTAATGGGGAAGTCCGTCTCTATATCTAGCAATATACCCTGTCAGGTCGACCTCCAGGCGGTAATCTCTGAAAACCATCATGGTTAGTTTATAATGTACTCGTCGCCCTTTAACAAAGGTAGATGTTCGGCCCGTCTTCGGTCTTTTAACAAAAAAATTGCTATTGGTTCACCCTTTTAAATTTTTCATACAGGTATAATATGCGTCAAATCTCGTTCCAGATCCAAACCCCCCGGCGGCTCACACTCCGCAACGGCGATAAGCACAGCGACGAGGATGAGGGGAAGGAGGCCACCGCCGAAGACAAAGCATTCCTGATGACGCTCAAGAAGTTCTACAAGGACAGAAACGAGTCGTTCAGCGCTGCGTACACGCTCAAGGACTGTGAGTGCCCAGTTTAATATCTTCTCGGAGAATTATCTTATGGGGGCAGACAGAACCGAAACTTCCTCATAAACATACCAGAGGGAGACTATGTACAAAAGTCGTTTGCTTGGGTACCTCTGTCCCATTCGTGTTTCTACCGTGAAGCAGTTGTATTTGCATGGCTGTGTTTCGGTTTGAAGGGTGGGATATGGCAGTGAATTTACACGGTACAGAGGAATAACACCCGAGTCCTCAGGAATGGCAACGTGTGGGAGGTATCATGGGCAAAACAGTATACTCTGTTATGTCCACGGTATATTGGTTACTGTTGCCTATAGATACCTGATACTTGGATATCACAGTATACACTGTGACGCCTATAAATCTTCCTATGTTCACGGCAAATACCTTATTAATTATTATTTCAGCCCTTAACTGTCCACTGTTGGACGTAAAGCTTCGCCATAAGTGGAGTTTTGCCAGTAGTTGCCACTCTTGGCAGGTTGGTTGGCAACCGCAGTTAGGCTTTCAGAGATGTTTTAAGAGGTACGCTGCTGCCCATCCTTAGCCAGGCAAATTCCATACGGAGCACCAAATCTGGTACCTTTAAAAGTTGTTCCGAGGACTGATTCTGGTTGTCCATCTTCTCAAAGTATATGATCGCCTGGTACTTTTACAAGATAATTTAGATTTTTTTGTTTTATGCACTTGTACTTTGGATGTCACAGGATATACACTGTGACTCCCGTGATACTTCAAGTGCATTTCCACTTTTGAAATGTAATTTAAATAAATATTTGGATTAATTAATCTAATTACTTGCTACACAAAAAAGGGCGTTTGTTTTTATCAAAAAAAAAATGTGTCAGCCAATTTGACGTTTCGCTGACTGGAAATGGGTCGTGTATAAGTGTAATTGGTTGCCAATAAAGCCGGTCGTGTGTCCGCCTGTCCACCAGTGTCGCTTCGGGCGCTGTACGCGTGGGTGCGAGCGCGCGGCGGCTACGAGGCCGTATGCGGCCGCAAGCTGTGGCGGCACGCAGCCGCGCAGCCCGCCCGCGCCCGCCGCCACTACGAGCGGTACGTAGCCTTGGAGGGGGGGAGGTGAAGGTGGAACGGTACTCCCGCCCGCGCTGTCGGTATACGCTGGCCGGGTACCAGGGGAGCATGATAGGTGAGGAGGAAAGCAAGTCAGTTGGCACATCGTGACGAATTAACCACGACTGTTGCCAGGGGGAACCGCGTGGAGATCGACCTGATAGTGTATTGTAGTGTAGCAATCCCTTCTCCCCGCGCTAGCGGGGTACTAGGGAATCATGATAGGCGAGGATGAAAACAGGCCAAGTTGACTGCCATTTCGTCCCTGCACGTTTGGCAATACGTGTTTCACCTTTAAACGAGGCATCTTCAGGCAAATAAGTGGGTTAACAGTTCGGCATCCGAACTGCGAAACGAACGAAGTGTGGGAAAAAGTGCGGGGATGAAATGGCAGTAGGAGATTGACGGCTAATATGGAAGGTTTTAGCACTTCTGGTAGTAACAGTGGTGGTCAGTCTTCGAGTTTTGGCAGTCGCACGCATACTAATGGTGGCGAAATTAAACAAGATAATTCTAAACAAATAACCAGTTTGTTTTTTATTTAAAAACTAAACTGCTGGACCGATTTTGACAAAACTTCAATGCGACCAATCTGTAAGTATATCCTTTCAGATAAAAAAAAAGTTTTTTTTCGATTCGTAACATACTTAAAAAAAAATATAACCAAATCGAATACCTGCTGCTGTTTTGGTGTCAATTGAAAATATTCGAAATACCTCCTTCAGATTTCTGCTGCCCTTCGAACACCACGAACGACGGAATGGCCACAAAGTGAACGGGCGAGTGGACGAGCCCCACACCATAGCCACCATAGAAGTGGCCGACTCCCCCCTTAGGGATGTGGATAAACAGCCCAACCTCCCTGAAAAGAGACTCCGCACCCCCTCACCGAAACACGAACCTGTCAATAATGAAACATGCGAAGTCAAGGAGGAATACATAATATCCAAGCCTGCTGAAGAACTCAACAGGGAATTCTTGGAATCACTACCCAAAGAAGAGAAATTTATCAATGTAAAACCAGCGGAGAAGTTGTTTGATCAGAAAGTGGATGTGAAGGACCCCGATGCGGATGCCAAGCCGATTCTAGTGGATTCCAGCAATGTGATAGACGACAGTGGGTGTAAGGTGAAGGATGCTTCGGTGTACGGGAACGAGCTGCCGCAGAAAGTGAATTCGAGTGAGTTTTTTTTTTTTTAATAGATATGTTTTTAACTGACTTTTACCTCCGACTTCTTACGTGATTGGGATATGTTTACCGAAGTAAAAGGTAGCCTTATACCAAATTTCATAGTAATTTGGTAAACCGTTTAGACGCTATAAGGTAATAAACAAACTCATTTGCACATTTATAATATTAGTAAAAATTCAAGATTATGAATCGTGGTATTTGGAATGAATGGTCCACCTGATTGATGAACAGAAACCGTCTTTAATGGGTGATAATGGAATGGTAACCCCGCCTACGCTGTCGGTATACGCTGGCGGTGTACCAGGGACACATGATAGGTGAGGATGTAAAGGCAGGTCAGATAGCACATCAGAAACCGTCTTTAATGGGTGATAATGGAATGGTAACCCCGCCTAGGCTGTGGGTATACGCTGGCGATGTACCAGGGAAACATGATAGGTGAGGATGAAAGCAGGTCAGTTGGCATAAAGTGATGAATTTTACAAGAATTAACCAAGATGGTTTCCCGGGGAATAGCGTAGAGGTCGACCTAAAAGGGTATATTGCTAATAATGGGGATTAATGTCCCCAAATGTAATTACTAACAATCCCTCTCTCCCCCTGGACAATCACCGTCGCCTTTACACATATCATCAGTACATACTGTCACAATCATGCTTTTTACGTTTAGTACTGAGGAATGGCAACGCGTAAGTGTTACCATGGGTGTCACAGTATATCCTATGATGCCGACAGTGCTGTTCACGTATACGCGACGGTTACCACTATCCATCAGGCGGGCCGTAAGCTTGTTTGCTGTTCTAATAATAAAATATAATTTATGAATCCGAGCAGAAGGTACCAGGCTAACATGTGTTCTAAGGAGATATTATTCAGTTTGTTCTTCTGCGGAAGCACCTTTTTAAGGTTTTTAATTCGAGGAGATTTTATACAAAAGTCGTCTGTTTTTTTTTTGTATTATCTGTATTTCTTTCTTTCTTTCTTCTTTCTATGATACTCAAAGTCTACTGGATGTTTGCAGGCGGCAGCGAGGCGGTTGCGGCAGGCGCCGACGGCAGCTCGCTGTCGAGCCTGTCCGCGCTCGGAGACAAGTATGTGAACGGACACCACGCTCCGCCCGCGCACCAGGTACCAGACCATTTTACCCATTATCCGTCCACAGCTGGACATAAGCCTCCCCATAGACTGCCATAAAGAACGATACTGAGCCACCTGCGTCCACTTACTCCCTGCAATGCATTTCAGGTCATCACTCCATCTAGTAGGGGGTCGTCGTACACTGCGTTTGCCTGTACGCGGTTTATTACTTTTAGCCAAATGTCAAATTATTTTGTGATTTCGACATAGAAAGGGCCAATCCTTCCTTTCCCGCGGGTGTCATAAGAGGCAGCTAAGGGAATTAACTGAGCGAGTGACGGACAGTAGAGTCTCTCTAAAAACATCACCAAAGCCTAACTGCAGTTGCCAATCCGCTTGCCAAGTGTGGCAACTACTGGAAAAACCCCCCACACGAGTATATTCAGCAGTGGACAGTAATGTTTTTTTTTTTTAATGGGTGATCTCTGCGCTATCGATGCGAGGTACCAGGGAAACATGATAGGTAAAGATGTAAGTAGGTAAGTTGGGCTATCGTGACGAATTCAACAGGATATAAACATGATGGTTTTTAGGGGATCCGCTTGAATGTCGACCTTTTAGACCCGTGTTTCCCAACCTCTTCTGTCTCATGCCCCACTTAGACATTTCTAAAATTTTTATGCCCCCACACAATTTTTCCCGACTAAATTTACTTGACGACTCTAATCGCCCAGTTCAGGGGGGAAAGGGATTGTTAGTAATGGAGATTGAGAATCCCATTGCTAGCAATATACCCAACCAGGTCGACCTCCTCGCGGTTCTCCCTGGAAACTACCATGATTAATTCCAGATGAGTTCATCATGATGTGCTAACTGGCCTGTTTTCATTCTCATCTATCACCCTTCACTGGTGCTCCGCCAGCGTATCTCGTTAGCGCAGGCGGGGTTACCATACCATTTGCATCCAATAAAAAAAAAATCGCCCAGTTGATATTTTGGTAACGTCAAACGAAATTATACCTACCTAATAAATATTTACAGCATTGTTTAATTTACTTTTTTTTGTTAAAGTTGGCATCGATATCTGCTCGTAGCATTGCATTTAAATGGGCCGGAGCAAGAGGGTTAATACCGCTTCGAGTCCATTCTATCAAATTGCCCCCCTGTGGGGCGTGGGCCCCACGTTGGGAATCATCGTATTAGAGAGTATATTGCTAGCAGTGGGGCTGTTAGAGATCCCTAATACCATCAACAGCGATTCCTTAAATGGGTTCCGTAAAAGACACTAGGGTTCCACGAAATTATTTATACAGTGAAACAATTACATTGTTCACTTTAAAAATTAAAAGAAACTACATTTAAAGTGTTGTATTTTTAAAATATTTCTAGTAAAAGCTTTTGTTTTATGAACACTTGGCTAACAACCCCTAACCCCCCCCCCCCTCCCTGACAGTGAACGGTTGATACCGTCATCATTAAGGTGATATATGTTGATTGCAGAAGAGCAAACCGGTGGGTCGCAGCTCGCTGCGGGCCGTACGCGTGAAGCCAGCGCGGCCCAACCACGCGCCCGCAAACACACGTGAGTACCTTAATCGTTGGTGATCTACTAAACTTGGTGTTTTCTTGGTGATGTCCATACCACTGGTTATTTGTTTAGAATTATCTCGTTTAATTCCGCCACCATTAGTATGCGTGCGACTGCCAACACTCGGAGACTGACCACCACTGTTACTGCCAGAACCACACCAGTACCACAACCTTCCATATTAGCTGTAAATCTCTAACTGCCATTTTTTTTATTATATATATATATATATATATATATATATATATATATACTGGGCAAGCCCCCTGTGGGGCTTGGACCCCACGTTGGGGAATATCGAGCCAACCTGTCCCTTTCACCCTGTATATATATATATATATATATTAAAGGTTTACCAAAGGGAGACTTTGTACAAAAGTCGCTTGGGTACCTCTGTCCCATTCGTGTTTCTACCGTGAAGCAGTTGTGTTCGCATGGTTGTGTTTCGGTTTGAAGGATGGGATATGCCACTATAGTTCTCAGGAATGGCGACGCGTGAGGTATACCAAGGGTGTCACAGTGTAGCTTGAGATGTCCACAGTGCTGTTCATGTATAAGGTGACGGTTAGCGCTATCCATCAGGCGCGCCGTAAGCTTGTTTGCCGTTTTATTAAAAAAATATAATTTATATATCTGAGCAGAAGGTACCAGGCTAACATGTGTTCTAAGGAGATATTATTCAGTTAGCTCTTCCGCGGAAGCAACTTTTTAAGGAAGTAGGTTTTTAATTTGATTGTATTTTTTATTATAAAGAGACTTTGTACAAAAGTCGTTTGCTTGGGTACTTCTGTCCCATTCGTGTTTCTACCGTGAAGCAGTTGTGTTCGCATGGCTGTGTTTCGGTTTGAAGGGTGGGATATGGCAGTGAATATACACGGTACAAAGGAATAACACCTGTGTCCTCAGGAATGGCAACGCATGGGGGGTATCATGGGCGAAACAGTATACTCTGTTATGTGCCACTTTCTAATAGGGCAGCTTATTTTATTCTAAGTTGATTAAAAAATATGTAATTCTGCTGCAGCGCCCATTCCCCCCCTCCGGCCGGAGTCGGCGTCGTCATCGCCTCAGCCGGTGGTCACCACCTCCACAGTCGGGCCGCCCATCACCAACTTCGGGATCCATCATCCGCCAGCGCCTATTAGCGATGATGAAATTGTGGAGGTACATCATTTAATTCGACTACAATCTTTTCTAAGTTTTAAACTAGAGGGCGCTTTATTGTATCCAAAAGTTTATAAGAAAAACTTCCATGTAATGGCAACGCATGGGTGGTATCATGAGCGAAACAGTATACTCTGTTATGTCCACGGTACTGCTGGTGTCTATAGGCGACGGTTACCACTTTCCATCAGGCGGGCCGTCAGCTTGCATAGAAAAAATAATGTAATCACACTAGAAACGGAAATAGGTAATCTATTATATTTAAAGTGTTCCTGTGACAACTCCCAGAAGTACACGTTCTATATTAGCCAAAAATCTCTGACTGCCATTTCATCCCCGCACTTTTTGCAACACGTGTTCCATATTTAAACGGGGCATCTTCAATCAAATAATTAGACTGCTGTTTGGAGCCTTATGTTAACGTTTCGGCACCCAAACTACGAAACAAACGACATGTGGCAAAGTGTGCGTGGACGAAATGGCAGTTGGAGATTGTTAGCTAATATGGAAGTTTGTGGAACTTCGAGAAGTAATGGTGGTGATCAATTTCCAAGTATTAACAAAACTTGATCTTCCACAGGTCCCATACAAGCCAAAAACACCAGAGATAATAGATCTCGACGAGTACCCGGAGAGTCCGCAGGCCGTCAAGAAGAAGAAACTGGATATCCTCAAAGAGAGGGGTCTGGAGGTAACCGCCATACCGACGCCCGCCTGGCCCGGCCCCGTGCCCCTGACCACCATCAACCCCATCCTGAACACGGCCCCCATGACGCTAAACCCCGCTGTTCAGCACCAGATCATGACCCAAGTCCAGCTATTCCAAATGTACAACATCGTCCCGCCAAATTACGCCAACGGCGTTCGACCGCCTAAAATCACGCAGGGCACCTCGATTTTCGGATCGTCGGGACCCGAGAAAACCGTGTACGGCAATCCCAAAGATCCCTTCATGCCCCCGCCCCACATCCTACACGGTGCCCCGGTGAAACCCCAAAAGAATGTAGCCTCCTCAACACCCCAAACGCCGCCTCAAGATATCTTAGACTTAACCTGCAAAAACCCGTCCCTACCCCCGCAGAAACCAGCGGTCGAGATAGTCAGAGTTCCCCCGACACCTTCCCCCTCGAAGATCACGAGTACCCCGCAAAATTTAGCTAAAAATTACACGTTAATCGACGGGAAAGCGGTCGTAGGATCCAATTTAGAAATCACTTTAGTCAATCCAAAATCTCAACACAATTCAATGAAGAACCGAACGCCGCAGAAGCGGTCCTCCAACGGCAAATTCATGTCCACAAAGACCGTTACGCCCCCTAAAGATTACCCCAAAGCGTACACGTGTCCTTCCCCCTCCGGGGCACACAAGAAATCTCCCATAGTGGTCCCCAACTACCAAGTGAATCCCCGGGACGACCCTTCCCCAACGAGTTCGACCGGATCAAGGGACAGTCAGACGCCGCAGAACTTTCAAAATGTGATCAAAAATCATAATCTAGCGCAGATTTTGGAAATGCAAAAGACGGTGCCCACCGTCGGGCCTTTTATGGACCCGGTGTACATGAGTGCACTGTACAACAGTCTGGGCCAAATGGACCAGAGACAATTAGCCGCGTATAGAGACATGATGGCCAGCCAGTTTAGGGGTTACTCTGGCCTCCTAAACATGGGTGCGGTGACGAATACACCTACAACGAAAAATTAATATCTAGTCTTAGTTTTTTTTTTGTGATAATACAGCTATTGCACGTTACGGCGGACTTTCAAATTTGGAATGAAAAATTTAAAAGTTCGGTTAAAATTGCCATATTTAAAAATATTTGTCATTTTAAAATTCTATGCCCAAAACTTTCTTTAAACGAATTAGTCGAGTTTTGTGGAAGGATGTTTGAAAAATATATCAAAATGTTCAGAATTACTTCGGCTACAGTTTCAGTGTTTTTTTTTTCTAAATATCTGTTTTTTTTTTTTTTCAATTTTCAATTTGGATCTGTGGCCAGTTCAATAGACAAACATGTCAAGTTATAGGCTCGCCGCCATTTTTTTTTTTATTTTTAACCGGCTTCGAAAAGAGACAGTTTTCAATTCGGTTGTATTTTTACTTTTTAACGTTAATATTTATTTATTTTAATTTAATTTATATTTGATGTTAGCTTAATTGGACTAAAGTAGCCTCGTGAGCCGATATTTATATTATGTAGAAAAGACTTGATTATTTGTATGTATGTATGTATGTTTCATGCATTACTCGTTAATTGCCCACTGCTGAATATAGCCTCCCCCTATTGCACGTAGGGGGGGGGGATGCCAGTCATTATTGCCTTTTTTTATAACTAAAAATGAAATAATTATCCCTCTAATGCTATCCGTATATTACGGCAAAGTACCAGGGAAACATGATAGGCGAGGATGTCACGTCACTTAGTTGGTCGTGACGAATTTTCCACCATAGTTTCCAGGAGGAATTGTGTGGATGTTTTTTTTTTATGCAACTTAAAATGGCAAACAAGCTGACGGCCCACCTGATGGTAAGTGGTAACCGTCGCCTATAGACACGAGCAGTACCATGGACATAACAGAATATACTGTTTCGCCCGTGATAGGCCAACAAGGGAGCAATTTGACCACATTACTGACAATTCCCCCCCCCCCCCCCCCCCCCTATATATGTCGGTTTTTTTAATGGATGACAATGTAATGGTTACTTCACCTGCGCTATCGGTAACGCTGACAGGGCACCTTAATTCTTAAACAATTTACATACATACATACATATTTATTTATTTATTTATTCTTTACTATACAATAAAGCCATGTACAAGTGGCGAGCTTAATGCCGTATGGCGTTCTCTACCAGCTAACCATTAGGTAAAAACAGAAAGCGTATGAAGGGTAATGACATATCTGTCACGCCTGTCTCTCATTATGGTAGGCAGAAACAATGGAATGCCAAATGCTTCGATACAAACAAACCTCTTCCGCTTCTTCGACATTCATCGATCAATAAACTATTTAAGACAAGTATAATCCAATTATTGATCGATTAGTAAAATCAGGTGTTTTATTTAAATTGTTAAGTAATGCAAATAAATTATTTATTTATTTATTTAATCTTCAATGCACAATTATATATCGGCTGGCTCTTGGCCACAACAGAATATCAGTGTTTCGAATTGTGACCATTTTGTGTTGCGCAAATTTTGTGGCACACGTGTGAAGGAAAAAATTGTTACTTCTTTTATGTTTTGTTTTATTTTTTGTATATGCATTCTCTAATCTCTTTTCGCTGTGGCATGTTCTGTTGGTATTTGTGCGCTGTGTGTAATGCAAATAAATTATACATCTATCTATTAATTTCCTATCTGTCTGTGCAATTATAATTAATTACAAATTAATGATAATTAATTATTAATGATGTCAATTAATTAGAATTAATTAATAATTAATAATCGTTAATTACCGATAAATAATTAATAACCATTAATTAATTACTATAATTAATGAAATATTAATTACTAACTCATTTTTGACATCCGGTATCGAGTGGTTACAATAAAGCCGTAACGTGCAAGCGAAGTGAACTGTAAACTGATCTCTCGATTAAAAAAAAAAAAAAAGAATTAAAAATAAATTGGGAACAAAACGTTTCGTTTCTGCATAATGTAAATAAACTAGTTGGTAAGCATTAGTACTATTGTTTAGCTGAATTCTAGTATAAAAATTTTCCTAAATGTTGACTGTTTAATAACGGTTTTTGAATACGCATTTGTGTACAGTTAAGAGATTGTCGTACAAATAAACACAATGAAAACATTTGGTTGTTTCATTTATTTATTTATTTATTTAACTCTTTATTGCACCATGTACAAAAATATACAATGACAAGTGAATAATTCAAGTGAAGTACAGTAACGTAAATACAGATTGAAATATACACATAAAGGTATAAAAGGCGTACTAGTGGTCGGTCAGTGATCGAACGGAGGGAGACTTTGTACAAAAGTCGTTTGCTTGTGTACCTCTGTCCCATTCGTGTTTCTACCGTGAAGCAGTTGTGTTTGCATGGCTGTGTTTCGGTTTGAAGGGTGCGATATGGCGTGAATTTACACGGTACAGAGGAATAACACCTGAGCCCTCAGGAATGGCAACGCGTGGGGAGGTATCATGGGCGAAACAGTATACTCTGTTATGTCCATAGTACTGCTCGTGTCTATAGGCGACGGTTACCACTTTCCATCAGGTGGACCGTCAGCTTGTTTGCCACATAACATGTATTTTAATAAATGAATGTATTACGGTCACGTTTGACATTCAGTAGAGACTATAGGCAAATAATATTAAAGTTATAAGAACAAGGAATTACATAGAAGGAATGATAAAATAAAAACTGTAAATCATACGGTTGCCTCCTTTCTTCTTATGCAAATATAATTAGTAAAAAGAGGACGAAAGATACACCGTCAGTTGCTATTTTTATCAATTCATTGCAGGCTGGTGTATAGAGAATGTTATACGGCCGTATAACCCTACCAAATACAGATACAACCCGCTCGCATACTGTCTACATAAACTGTGTCCAATATATAATCTAGTAATGTAACATTTGTCATTGACATATCAATTTGGTTAGAATTTAGTAAATGTGTAATGTATTTATCATGTAAAACGCTGTTGTTATCCCAAATTAAATAAATAACATACACATTGGGTGCCATGTGGTCCCGGTATAGAATGGACCACCGCTTTCTTTCCCGTGGGTGTCGTAAGAGGCGACTAAGATAGGGCGAGGGACGGGCAGCAGCGTCCCTCTTGAAACATCTCTAACCTACTACTGGTTATATTAAAATTATAAAATAAAACATACAGTAAATATGTCGAAAACATTTTATTGTTAAAATTTACAATTTTAATCGCTTACAAATGGGGGAAAGGGATTGTTAGTAATGGAGACTGAAAATCCCATTGCTAGCAATATACCCAACCAGGTTGACCTCCTCGCGGCTCCCCCTGGAAACTATCATGGTGAATTCCAGATGAGTTCATCATGATGGGCATGAAAACAGGCCAGTTGGCCTGTTTTCATTCTCATCTATCACCCTTCACTGGTGCTCCGCCAGTGTATCCCGTTAGCGCAGGCGGGGTTACCATACCATTTTCACCCAACAAAAAAAAAAAAACTATTTTGACGGCAAACAAGCATACGGCCCGTCTGATAGTAAAGTCACTGTAGCCTATGGACGCCTGCAGCATCAGGAATGTTACTCGCCTTAAGAAACTTTAATACGCCCTTTTTCAAGCCACTTTCACACACAACCACTCTTTGGAATCCACTTCCAGCAGCAGTATTCCCGAACCGATACGACATCGTAACCTTCAAGAAAAGAGCATTTTCCTTTTTAAAAGGCCGCCAGTACACCTGCAATGCCGTTGGTGTTGCGGGTGATCATGGGCGGTGGTAGTCACTTACCATCAGGTGAGCCGCTTGCTCGTTTGCCCCCTGTGTTGTATAACAAACTCCATAATACGTTCTTTTTGAAGAACCCCATACTGTAGTCCAGAAAGTCTTGGCACGAAGACATTTCCACGATCTGAGTGTTCGCGGGAGGAAGCTTCTTTGAAACCGCACTGTGAGTGACCATTCCGGTTCCAAGGTGTAAGGCTGGAGTCCTTGGTGATGATGAGCGGTGCGATGGTGAAAGCTGATAAGTGTTTACACTACGCGAGCTCTGGCGCCCACAGTTTGAACGTCCTGTCGTATGAGCACGTGACTATATACTTGTTGTCGAACGATATGTCAGCGCTCATCACCTGAAATCCAATCAATACAATACATATAATAAAATCGTAACTGCTCGCTGTCTGTACATGAAAGATATATGAGAAAATCTATTTTTTTTTATACCACTGAGGTGGCAAACTAGCATACGGCCCACCTGATGGCAAGCGGTTACCGTAGCCTATGAACGCCTGCAATACCAGAGGTATTACGCGCGCGTTGCCGACCCTGAAGAAACCTCTTTACCCTCTTTTGAAGAACCCCACGCTGTAGTCTCTTGGGAAAACCTCGGCAGGGAGCTCATTCCACATTATAGGGGAATGCAATAAATAGCAATGATTTTTAGAATTTTTGTCTGTTTTCTGTACGTTTGATGGGGATGCTTGGAGTTTCTTTGGATGACAGAATCCGAAATGAGGATATCCGCAGAAGAAGCAAAGTGAGCGACATAGCCCGAATGATAAGCAATCTGAAGTGGCAATGAGCTGAGGGCCTACCATGAAATGTTTTCCGAAATTTCGGAGCCAAACGAAACAGAAATTTGATGTTAAAATTACATAATGTATGCCGTTTGGAAATATTAAAAATATTAAAATATTGTTCCTTTGGATTTTAATGATAGGATGTATGATGAAAGAAATGTTAAACTCCATGTATTGGTCCGATTTTGGTATAAACAAAAACACGAAATTGAGTCCGAAATTTCGGAATTTCACTTCATGGTAGACCCGCTGGTCACAGCTCGACAACCGAAGAAGAGAAATAACTGACGCGAAAGAAAGGTTGTTAAGTGGCGACCTCGTATAGCCAAACGGAGTGTTGAACGAATTTCCTCTCCATCTAGTACGGGGCCCACAAGATGGAGCGCCGACCTTAAAATGCATTTTCTTTTTATGGGTGATAATGAAATGGTAATCCTACCCGCGCTATCGGTATACACTGGCGGGGCACCAGTGAAGAATGATAGGTGAGAATGAAGCAGGTCAGCAGCCCAACGTGACGAATTTAACAAGAATTGTTCACGACGGTTTCCAGGGGGAACCACGTGGAGGTCGACCTGATAGGGCATATTGCTAGCAATGTCGAACTCCATTGCTGACAATCCCTTCCCCCCCCCCCTCAAATGCATTGCAGAAAGTCAATGGATGCAGGTGGCTGAAGATCATTCCTTATGGCAGTCCATGGATGAGGAATATATCCAGCAGTGGACGGATAAGGTCTTTTTATAGATGATAATGGAATGGTAATCCCAGCTGCGCTATCGGTATACACCGGCGGGGCACCAGTGAAGGATGATAGGTGAGAATGAAGCAGGTCAGTTAGCCCATCATGAGGAATTCATCAGGAATTAACCATGATAGTTTCCAGGGGGAACCGCGAGGAGATCAACCTGATTGGGACCTGAACAATTTAACAAGAATTGTTCACGATGGTTTCCAGGGGGAACCACGTGGAGGTCGACCTAATAGGGCATAATGCTAGCAATGGGTCTGTCAAACTCCATTGCTAACAATCCCTTTCCCCCGACGGATAAGGGCTGAAAGTTGACGATGATGAAATAAACGGAATACCTTGTTGTCGTGTCCGGAGAGGGTCCTGAGAGGGTGCCAGGCGGGGTTGGACCACAGCTTGGCCGACTTGTCGTATGAGGCCGTCAGCAGGAAGTGGCCGTGGCTACGCTGGTAGCGGACATCTGGAAGTACAGAGACATCATTAAACACTAGCTGTATACTGTGACTTTGCTCGCATGAATTATATAGATACATACATTTTTTTTATACAACTTAGAATGGCAAACAAGCTGACGGCCCACCTGATGGAAAGCAGTAACCGTCGCCTATAGACATGAGTAGTACCGTGCACATAACAGAGTATACTGTTTCGCCCATGATACCCCCCCACGCGTTGCCATTCCTGAGGACTCAGGTGTTATTCTTCTGTACCGTGTAAATTCACGCCATATCCCACCCTTCAAACCGAAACACAGCCATGCGAACACAACTGCTTCACGGTAAAAACACGAATGGGACAGAGGTGGCCAAGCAAACAACTTTTGTACAAAGTCTCCCTCTAGTGAATGTATAAAGCCAAGTACATTTTTTCGTTTGTGCATGTGCCATAGCAATACAAAATGGCCACAACTCAGTTTATTGGTTCGCCCTCAAAAGAGCAAAGCACTGATATTCTGTCGCGGCTTAAGGGGATTGGGTAACGATAAAACAATACTACCAGATTATCCATACAGTAAATAGACAGATATGACAGTCTATCTAGCAGACAAATGGAATTTTCTCAAACATGTTTGGAAATGTGAGCATTATTTTGACAATCTTCTTCGAGATAAATCAAAATTGCCGTACTGGCCAGATACATGCGGACAGCGGCCGGCAAAAGTTGGACGAAAATCCATATCTGTCGTGTTTTGCGGCCAGATAAATTACTATGTAAACTCATATCTGTCTCGTATATTTAAAAATGTAATGACCTTTTACTTCGAAACATGGCTACCAAGGAGGTAACTAATAAAAGGTTTTATTTAAATTTCGAACTGGCTTGCAAATAAAAAGCTGTTTATTGAAAAAAAAAAAACAAAGGACCATTATGGCGCGTGAAAAATTATTATTGTTCGTTATTCGTCATTGAACTTAAAAAGTAAAATTGTGTTTTTGATTTCCGCACATTGTTTGAGAAAAGTAATATACAAGCCTTGATGGACTCAAGTATGTGTGCCTCGGCTATTCCTCGGCCCACATTTGCACGTTTGTCCATCAATGCCTCAGTTGCTGGCCGCTGCAGTAATGTACTATATAGTAAACAAACAATATTGATAAGGATTATGATTGTCTCACCACTAAGCAGGTGCGTGTGCGCAGGTATGCTGTATATCGGAGCTCGTCTGCGTAGATCCCAGATTTTTGCCTGAAAACAAAAGACATTTAGTATTTCTTTTATTTGTTCTATTACAGCATAACATACAATTGTGTGGTCCCGGCATAGAATAGCCCTTCCCCCCTTACCTTTCCCGTGGGTGTCGTAAGAAGCGACCAAGCGACGGCGAGGGATGGGCTTTTGTACAAAGTTTCCTTATAATAAAAATCAAATAAAAAAACCTACTTCCTTAAAAAGTCGCTTCCGCGGAAGAACTAACCGAATGATATCTCCTTAGAACACATGTTAGCCTGGTACCTTCTGCTCGGATTTGTAAATTATATTTCTTTATTAGAGAACAAACAAGCTTACGGCCCGCCTGATGGACAGTGGTAACCGTCGCCTATGCGTGAACATCACTGCGGAGATCATAGGATATACTGTGACACCCATGGTATCCCTCACGTGTCGCCATTCTCAGGAACTATAGTGGCATATCCCACCCTTCAAACCGAAACACAGCCGTGCAAACACAACTGCTTCACGGTAGAACCACGAATGGGACAGAGGTACCCAAGCAAACGACTTTTGTACAATATAAATAAATAAATATTAGTTCAGACGAGTTGTCGTAGTACACACCTGGTTGTCTGCAGCGGCGGTGGCCAGTTGGTGGCCGGCCGGCGACCAGTCGATGCCCTGCACCGGACCCAGGTGGCCCTCCAGGAACATCACACACCTGCCCGTCCGTATGTCCCACACACGCCCAAACGCGTCCATACCACTGCAACCATAAGATAAAGGTATTAGCTCCCTGCCGAGGCTCTCCCTACAGACTACAGTATGGGATATGGGGTTCAAAGACCACCCTCCGAATAGTAGGAAAAGAGAATGGAACTAAGGATCTTGATTGACAATTTTACTGGAACAGATCTGAATGGATTATTATGTTATATAATTATATATATTAATACATACATACATACATACATATCTGTCACGCCTGTCTCCCATTAGGGTAGGCAGAAACAATGGAACGCCAAATGCTTCGATTCAAACAAACCTCTTTCGCTTCCTCCACATTCATCAATCTTTTCATACACGCTCGCCGGTTACGGGTACTTTTAATTTGGCCCTTCCTCAGCACGTCGCCTGTTTGGTCGACATACGTCCGTCTAGGGCGGCCCCTACCGACATCTCCATTCATTCTTGCTCGATAAATCTCTTTCGTAATTCATCTTTCATCCATCCTCTCCAAATGACCAAACCAACGCAACATTTCTTTTTCTATTTTTGTCACCGCATCGTCTTTCAGTCCACACTTCTCTCTAATCACACTGTTTCTTACTCTATCTTTTAATGTAATACCACACATACTTCTCAAAGCTCTCATCTCTACAGCATTTATCTTACTTTCTTATATATTAATAAGGAAATAAAAAAAAAAAAAAAAAAAAAAAAAAAAACAGGTATTCCTTCAATAGCAAAACTAAAATAGCAATAAAGTTGTCGCATAAAAATTAACGACAGAAAACAAAGTTTAAGAAAAAAAAAAAAATTATTGCCGACGTTTCGACGTCGGATCCACGACCTGTGTTGACCATGCTTTTCCATCCCGTTAAGTCCCAATTGTGTATTTTAAATATGTGCAAATAACGTGTAAGTTTAAGTAAAAAACTGACCCAGTGGCCGCCAAAGAGCCGTCCACTTGGAACGCGACGCTGTATACCGGCTTGGCGTGACCCTCTTGGTGTAGCACTTCCTTAGCTGCAAACAGAGAAATTACAGAGTGTCTTATTCCTCTCCATCCAAAGGTCGCCTGCAAGAGATCGCTCTCAGAGATAAGGCCAAAAGGGGACAAACGAGCATGCGGGTCGCCTGACGGTAAGTGACTACCGCTGCCCATGATCACCCACAACACCAACGGCATTGCAGGTGTGCTGCCGGCCTTTCAAAAAGGAATATGCTCTTTTCTTGAAGGTTACGATGTCGTATCGGTTCGGAAATACTGCTACTGGAAGTTGATTCCAAAGAGTGGTTGTGCGTGGGAGAAAGTGCCTTGAAAAACGCACGGTGGAGGACCGCCACTCGTCCAGATGGTTGGGATGAAATTTTAGTTTATGGCGGGTTGTACGATGGTGAAAATCAGCAGCGGGTATCAATCCGAACAATTCCTCAGAGCACTCCCCATGAGAAATTCGATAGAAGATGCACAGAGATGCAACATCTCTGCGCAGTTTCAATGGATTTATAATTAGTTTACTATTGTAATCTTATGGAGGGAACAAGAATGTCTATCTATGTTAGTCTGTTAGGAAAATGTTTTTTTTTAATTGGATGAATATGGAATAGTAACCACACTTGTGTTATCAGTATACGGAGGGCACCAATAAGGAATGATAAATAAAAATGAAGAAGTAGACCCACCATCGTGACGAATACATCGAAACGTAACCACTATAGTTTCCAAGGGGGTTTTTAGGTCGACGTGATAGGGTATATTGCTAGCAATAGGGCTAGTAGACGCCATTATTGACAATTTCTTCCCCCTGGAGGTTGTTAGTGTTTCCATTTGGGTTTGAATTGTAAAGCTGTTGTGTTTGCATGGCTGTGTTTCGGTTTGAAGAGTGAGATTTGACAGTGAAATTGCAGGGTACGTAGACATAAGACGTTAGTCCTCGGGAATAGCAACGCGTGAGGTCTACCATGGGTGTCACAGTGTATTCTATGGTATTCACAGTGCTGTTCATGAATAAATGACGGTTATCACTTTCTATCAGGCGGGCCGTAAGCTTGTTTGTCGTTCTAATGAAAAATATAATTTACAAATCAGAGCAAAAGGTACCAGGCTAACATGTGTTCTAAGGAGATATTATTCAGTTGGTTCTTTCGTGGAAGAAACTTTTTAAGGAAGTAGGTTTTTCATTCGATTGTATTTTTATCATAAGGGACTTTGTACAAAAGTCGTTTACTTGGGCACTTCTGTCCCATTAGTGTTTCTGCCGTGAAGCAGTTGTTTGCATGCCTGGAATGGCTTGAATGGTGGGATATAGCAGTGAATTTACAGGGTATAGAGACATAACAACTTAATCTTATGAAATAGCAACGCACGAATGCGCCACAATGTACTCTGTAACCACTTTCCATCAGATGGACGGTCAGCTTGTTTGTCATTCTAAATTATCTTCAGTCTTTTGGAGATAAAGATTTTTTTATTTAAAGGCTCCATTTTGAATTTGTGAAGTATGGTATGCGATAATGCTAGTTATACCTGTCTCTAAATCCCAGAGTCGCCAGGAGTGGTCGAAGACCGTTGTGGCGAGGAAACGGCCTGACGGGTGAAACTCTACTCTGGCTACACGCGACGGACTGTGACCCTCCAGAGATGCGATTGGGGCTTCGCTGAAGAACAAAAATAAATTCAATGATAATTAAAAAACTAATACTTTACTAATTACCATTGTAATATCTCATAAGAGGAGTATATTTTTCTCAAATAGTCAAACGGAAAAATTCAACAAAATCTATAAAGTGAAGAATATTAGGGAAATTATTAAATTAGCATAGTGGAACGCGTTAGTTAGATATTTTATCAAAAGGAAGCGTCGTACACAAGATTTCAAAAAATTCATAAATAAATAGGGCAGTATTATACCTGACAAAGTTCCATAAGTGGACAGAACCATCGTACGCGCAAGACGCCATACTGCAAACCGTCGTTGTATCGTCACTTGTTTCCATGGGTCCACTTGTATCGTTTTCTTCACTTTCTTTCCCCTCATTAATCTAAAAGAAATAATGGCGTTACAAAATGTGCCGCGACCAAGATAGAAATATAAATTTAAATTTTTAACACCAAATAACCAGAGGGAGACTTTGTACAAAAATCGATTGCTTGAAGACCTCTGTCCCATTCGTGTTGCAACCGTAAAGCAGTTGTGTTTGTATGGTTGTATATCGGTTTGAAGGGTAGGATATGTCAGTGAATTTACAGGGTACACAGGAATAACACCTTAGTCCTCAGGAATGGCAAATTTGCCATTCTAAGTTGTATAAAAAAAAAAACCTATATAATAACCTTGAATAATTATGTTACGTAAAAACAAACATTCCAAAACCGATACGAGGCTGTGTTTATTCATGTATTTATTCTTTATTACACAAGTTAAAGTCAACTTACAAAAAATATAAGGTTACAGTAATAAAGTACAAAATGTGATCTTATCGGTTTTCAGGATTTTGTTCAAAGTTTTTGTCTGATTTCTTTTAAAATATGATACCCTAGTTTAAGAGTTAGCTACTCAACTTTCAGCAACATTTAGTGCCACTATAACATTCGTAAATTTAAAAGATCCAATACTTGCCTTCTTGAGGAAGTGGTCAGGAATGGTGGCCGCAGGATGGAAGGTGGCCGCGCTGACGTTGCACGTATGACCCTTCAGTACTTGTAGCGGTGTACAGTCAGGTACCGACCACACTTTGCTCAGCCCGGACCTGCCGGAGGAAATGTCTAATATGTAAACTAGAATGCCAAAACAAGTGGACGAACCTGATGAAAAGTGGTAACCGTCACCTACAGACATAAACAGCAATACGGACTAACTTCCTTAGAAATATATTTCAATTATACAACTTTGGTACGGCAAATTAGCTGACGGCCTGCCTGATGGAAAGTAGTAACCGTCACACATGGATACAAACAGCACCATAGACATCATAAAATACATAGTAACGCCAATGATATTCCTAAGAACAAATTATTAGGCATAGGGATAATATATAGATTCGATATCTATATATTGGTTTCTATAGACATTTTTAGTGGAAAAAAGGCAGCACCAATATCGATATCGCCCTTATCGGACGGATATCTATTTTCGAATATGTTAAAAGTCTGTTATCCAAAAAATTATATTGGATAACAGGTTTTTAATATATACTTTATTGGACCAATAAACAGACATTGTAACAAAAATATAAAGATAATGCTATATATGATAACTTACCAACTGGATGTAAGAAGCATTTTGCTGTCGCTGCTAAATCGACAGAAGCTGATGGGACGCGTGTCGCCGATCTATAACATACACAAGGTGAAATTTTCTATATATATATATATATATATATATATATAGCCATACTTCATTTTATCATTTTAAACTAATAAATAAACAAATTACAGTTTTTGCGTGAAAGAGTAAACAGACTGAATACGTTTTCACGCAAAAACTACAAAACGGATTTGTAAGAAATTTGATACACGGGTAAGTTATATCCTAACTTATTTATTATACACGCATGAAGGAATGTTAACAAAGGAGATTGTTAGATTATGTATTTTGTTTTTGTATTTTTTTTTTTTTATTTGTGCTTTTTTTATTTTTATTCTTTTGTCTCTTTTGCTGTGTATTACGTGTATGTTTTTTTTTTATTGTAATTTGTGTGCTGTAAGTAATGTAAATAAATTGTCTATCTGTCTATCTATCTATCTATCTATCTATCCAACTATGATATGATCCCAAAGAGGGTTGACGTCAGGCAGGCGGGTGGTCGTAAAATTATAAGCCAAATCCTTTAGTAATATGGATAAAAAACATATCACACCGACCCCAAATAATAATTGGGATAAGGGTAGGAAGGTGGTGATAGGAAACAAGCATACGGTCTGTCTGATGGTAAACGGGGTTAATATGGATGCCTGTATCACCATCCCTGATGATACATAAGACCTTAATTAGACCATTTTGAAGAGCCCAATGCTGTAGTCTCTAGGGAAAACCTCGGCAGGGAGCTCATTTCACAACCTGAGCTTTCGCGGAAGCTCCTCTGAAACCGCACTGTTAGTGATCATTCTAGTTCTAAGGTGTAAGGACGGATTCCCCGCCGATGGTCTAATTAAGCTTATAGAATATGTATTTCACGCGGGTATAGCCACAGTATACAGCTAGTAAATAGATAAATATTTTTTTTATACAACTTAGAATGGCAAACAAGCTGACGACCCACCTGATGGAAAGTGGTAACCGTCGCATATAGACATGAGCAGTACCGTGGACATAACAGAGTATACTGTTTCGCCCACGATACCCCGGGGGTTGACCTGAGGGGGTATATTGCTAACAATGGTGCTATTAGACCCGCATTACTAACAATCCCTTTCCCCCCTGCTGAAGTGGTTAATTTGACCAGCTCGGTGTGACATTACCTGGCTGCAGTACGTGGAAATGGCGGACGCCCTCCGCTGCGACTCCTGCTTGGCGGCCGCGCGGACGCTGCCCGCCACCTTGAGCTCCTCGCGGGCTTTGTTCAGCCTGAGAATATTAGGCTTGTTATATATATATATTTTTATAAAACTAGGTATTATTTTGAGGCAGTCCATATCACTGGTTTGTAGATTAGTTTTTTTTTTAATTCCGCGTCCATTTATTTTAACGGATGACAATGGAATGGTAACCCCGTCTGCGCAATCGCTATACGCTGGCGAGGTACCAGGGAAACACGTCGCTATTGTTATTGTATTAAGAGGGAGAACGTAAAACTGAAACTGCTTCTCGGCGACTACTTGTTTATATTAGTGCGAGCGTCGCGTCCGAGCGTCCTCCGCTGGATTAGCAATGTATTATATTGTTCGCCTTGCCACCATCCACTGGACTAGTGGTCGCGATCCACCGGTTGGCCACATGTGATAACGGAAGAAATCTCCAAATCGGTCTAGATAGATGACAGAGTTGTGAGGTGACAAGTGTAAAAAAAGGAACTAAGTTTACATTATTACATGTACCACATCTCCATATTTAGATGATAGAATTTCCATCGTGCCTCCGATCAAACTGTTTATAACTACTCCTCTCTATCCAAATGTTGCCTGCAAGAGATCGCTCTCAGCGATAAGGCCGCCCATTGTTCTCTCAGTGCAATATTACCTTGTAATTGTTTGTATCTATAATAAGTTTACTATTGTAATCTTATGGAGGGAACAATAAAGAGTATCTATCTATCTATCTAAACTAAGAACGTCTAAATTTCAAAGTCGGTTGTAAAGTGTACCTGTGCTTGGCCCGCGGCAGTGAGTAGCGCGCGATCCACAGCCTGGCGTCCCGCAGCGCGGCGGGCCCCTCGTGGTACCAGGTGCCCTCGCGGCCGCGGTCCCTCTCTATCCGAGCCTCCTCCTCCTCCAGCTTCTTGTGGATGGCATCTTCGCCCAGGCTGGCGAGAGAACAGGTATAGGCTAACCATGTTTCTCAACAGATTGTTAATAATGCGGACTACCAGTTCCATTGCCAGCAATATACCCTGGCAGGTCGACCTCCACGTGATTCCCCCTGGAAACCATCGTGAACAATTCTTGTTGAATTCATCACGATGCGCTAACTGACCTGCTTCATCCTCACCTATCATCCCTCACTGGTGCCCCCCAGTAATATGGACTACCAGTCCCATTGTTAGCAATATATGTTACCCTGGCAGGTCGACCTCCACGTGGTCCATCCTGGAAACTATCGTGCTGAATTCCAGGTGTATTCATCATAGATGGGCTAACTTTCCTGCCTTTTCATTCTCATCTACCATCCCTGACTGGTGTTCGGCCAGCGAATACCGTTAGCGCAGGCGGGGTTACCATTCCATTATCATACTTTAAAGAACTTAAGGTAACTATGTAAGATTAGAACGTAAGGTAATTTTATATTTTTATTATATTGGCCATTTACTGTCCACTGTTGAACTTAGGCCACTATAACATTTTGTCAATGGTTGCCACGTTCAGCAGGCGGGTTGGCAACTTTAGGCTTTGGTAATATATTTCATATCTCCATTATCATCCATTAAAAAAGAAACCATGTGTCTGCCGTTGCGAAGCAGTTGGCAAAACTAATTATTTTTTGGATTTGAAACTAAAATCTTAAATCTATTTTGATAAACTTTATAAGGCACCAATCTAGTAAGTAAATCCTTTCAGAAAAAAAGCAATTCCCAAATCAGTTTACAACTGACAGAGTTATGAAGTAACAAACATTAAAAAAAAACAACAGCTGAGAACGTCCAATTTTTTAAAATTGGTTGAATAACTATATTCGTTAGCTACTTGTTCCAAGTTTAAGAAAGAATAATTGTGAACATACTAGCTGAGCAGGTCTCGCAGACGCACCCTCCTCTCTGCCGGTCCCTCGCCGAACAGGCACACGGGTTCACCCAGCTGTCGGAGACTGCGACGCACCTGAGCATAAATTAATTTATTTATTTATTTATTACATATTACAGTGCAAATTCTTGCCACTAGAGGTAGATACTTTAAAAAGAGTAGTGGTATATAATTCTTGGATGTACCTCATCATCATCAGTGGATACGTTCAGCTGGCGGGCCTTGCGTCTCCGTTCGAACTCCTCCAGTAAAGCCTTCTTGTCCCTGGACATCTCCTCTTCCAGCTCCATGTATTCTGAAAACATGGTTAGTTATAACAAAACATACAAAAGTTATTATAAGGCACATAAACTTAAAATGTAACCATACTAGTATTGGCGGGAAAGGGATTGTTAATAATGGAGACTGAGAATCCCATTGCTAGCAATATACCCAACTAGGTTGACGTGGTTCTACCTGGAAACTATCATGGTTAATTCCCGATGAATTCATCATGATGTGCTAACTGGCCTGTTTTCATTCTCATCTATCACCCTTCACTGGTGCTCCGCCAGCATATCCCGTTAGCGCAGGCGGGGTTACCATACCATTTTCACCCATCAAAAAAACATACTAGTGTTTACCTGTGACTTTGTGTAACTTGGATATGGCTGAATATTGAACATACTCAAAATACATACATAATATAAATGTGTCACCAAACATCTAAAAACTATAAACAATGATTATACAGTGAAAGCTCTATATAAGCAACATTCTTTATATTTTATTTATTCCACTCAGCTTAGTTATTAAAAGTAATAAATACCAGAGGGAGACTTTGTACAAAAGTCGACTGCTTAGCCACCTCTGTCACATTCGTGTTTCTACCATGAAGCAGTTGTGTTTGCATGGCTGTGTTTCAGTTTGAAGGGTTCCCACCCTTCAAACTGGCAGTATGGCAGTGAATTTACAGAGGAATAACACCTGAGTCCTCAGGAATGGCAATGCATGGGGAGTATCATGAGCGAAACAGTATACTCTGTTATGTCCATGGTACTGCTCATGTCTATAGGCGACAGTTACCATTTTTGCATCAGGTGGGCTGTCAGCTTGTTTGTAATTACAAGTTGTATAAAACAAAAAAAGGAGGCCAATTCTATACTGGGACCACACAGCATTCCAATATATGTGAGACAAGACATCATGAGTTAATAAACAAATTCACTGCAACAGGTGGGAGAAGGGATTGTTAGTTATGGGAACCATGGTAAGGTACTAATGGTGCTATCATTACTAGCAATATACCTTACCAGATCGCCCCCCACCTGACTCCCCCTGGAATCCATCTTTATTAATATTGATCAGTTTATCACAATGGACCAACTGGCCCGCTTTTATCCTCACTTATCAACAATTACTGGTACCCCACCAGCATATACCTATAACATAGGTGGAGTGGGGGGAAAGGAATTATTAGTAATGGAGACTGAGAATCCTATTGCTAGCAATATACCCAACCAGGTCAACATCCTTGCGGTTCCCCCTGGAAACTATCATGATTAATTCCTGATGAATTCATCATGATGGGCTAACTGGCCTGAACTCATCTATCACCCTTCACTGGTGCTCCGCTTGCGTATCTCGTTAGCGCAAGTGGGGTTACCATACCATTTTCACCCATAAAAAAAAACATAGGTGGAGTTACGATGCCATTATCATCCATTAAAAAAAAACCTCCTAAAGACGAGAGGCAGAATGGACTATGGTTGTAATCTATCCGAAGAAGCAGATTTAAAAAAAAACTAACCGCTAGAAACTTGGATATCTCCCAAGTCTTTGCCGCCAGTTTCTTCGACACCTTCCCTGGCAGCCGCGGCCAACGCCGCCAATCGCGCTTTCTCCTGCTCTTCCAAGGATCCATAATGTATTTGCTTGCTTTTCTTCACCGGAATATCTTCGTCGTCAGACATTTTGAGGTTATGAGTTAACTTAAAACGAGTATTATAACAGAATATTTATACAACTTCCTATTTTCTCAAAAACAATGCAATTATTTTTGCTTGTTTTATAATAATGTGTTGGAGAAATAAATATGAAAAAGCAAATATTATATAGGAAGTAAACAATGTGTTCGGTAAACAAAACAGAAATAATACACTGAAATTGACACTAGTGAAGTTTTGGTGTTTCAGTGACATTGACAGCAGGAATTAAAGAAAATAAGAGATTCATACATAGATTAAAGATTAAAAGTACCTATTAATCAGGGACGATTCTGAGGCGCCATTGTCAATAGTTATCTCTCAACATAATATTTTAAGCCAATTTTTTCCAAAAATCACTATTTTTATTGACAATAATTAAAATTATAATAAATTTGACATTAATATACTAGAAATTTAGTTTATATTAATTTTTAGAATAAAGATTTCGTTATAATATCTTATTGAATTTTTAATTTTTCAGCTAGTTGGAATATGTTGCTTCAGAATTTACCCTATTGTAATTTGCGAATAGAATGACGTTGACTTATGAGGAACTAGATTGACGCTAGTCTGTGTTTCTTGTCTTGTTTACGTCAAGTAATTTTGTTTAATATTGCAAAAAATACGCAAGAATAAAGCTATATAGTTATTTATCTTAATCAGTATGTGATACTAAGGATTTTTACTATATTTAAGTGATACAATGTTTATAAATGTGACACAAATTAAATTTTCTCAGTGAATTGCAACCAGAATTGAAGACATAACCTCAAAATTATTTTGGGAATACTTTAATTGACATTTTTAAGTGTTTATATTGTGATGGCGCTACAGTTATCACGGCGCGAGGTGGAGGAGCTTCGGTCGTCATTAGACCGTGCCATATACAGGACAGTTGGCAAATCGGATAGTTCTCTATTGTCGACAGTATCATCCTGCCTTACTAACGGGTAAGTTTGTTGCCTATATAATATAATTGCTAATAAATATTCTACCCAGTTACAACCTTGGAGAAACTTTCATTATGTAGATACTATCTCCATACAAATGCATCACCAAAAAGTGGTCAACTTTTTTTATCCATTCTTTTTTAAAATGTATTCATGACCATGAATACAAGCCATTCAGTTGTAAAACATAAAGAATATATACAATTGGATGTGTTATTTCTTTTTATTGGGTGAAAATGGTATGGTAACCCCACCTGCGCTATCGTTATACCTTGAAGGGGTAACATTGATAGGTGAGGATGAAAAGGCAAGTAAATGGGCTCAAAATACATGACGAATTCAATGATACAATAGTTTCCAGGAGGAACCGCATGAAGGTTGACCTGATAGAGTATAATGATAGCAATGAGGACTAACCTCCCAATTACTAAAAATCCCCCCCCCCCTGGGTGTGTTATTTTTTTGATGGGTGAAAATGGGATGGTAACCCCACCTGCGCTAACGGGATACACTAGCGGAGCACCAGTGAAGGGTGATAGGTGAGAATGAAAACAGGCCAGTTAGCCCATCCTGATGAATTCATCAGGAATTGACCATGATAGTTTCCAGGGAGAACTGGGAGGTGGTCAACCTAATAGGATATATTGCTAGCAATGGGGCAGTCAAACTCCATTGTTAACAATCCCTTTCCCCCTGGGTGTGTTATTTAACCATATCTGCATGAAAAGGATTATAATAATCTACATTTATAATTCAGTATATAGGAGAAATTTCATACCAGATGATGAATCATTCATTCATCAGTATTGCAGGCGTATAAACACCAGAGGTATTATGCGCCCGTTGCCGACTCTAAAGAAACCTCTTTACCCCCCCTTTTGAAGATAGCATTGGGGACTGACCTCCCCATTATTAACAATCCCTTCCCCTCATACTGGTGGACTTATCCCTTGAAGGGACTTCTCTCAGTCACTTTTGAGAACCTGAAGAAAGGGAGAGAGAGAAGAAAGAAACATAAAGGAGAAAGTATCTATAGGATTTATTATGTAAAACATAACATATATAGTGTAAAAATATTATGATAAATAATAAACTATTAAATAATCCATTGTTCTCTCAGTGCAATATTACCTTGTAATTGTTTGTATCTATAATAAGTTTACTATTGTAATCTTATGGAGGGAACAATAAAGAGTATCTATCTATCTAACTATATTATTAATATGTATATTTTAATGAACAGTTAAAGCCCGATATGGTGATGATGATGGTATAGATGCATTTTTTGTACAACTTACAATGGCAAACAAGCTGACGGCCCACCTGATGGAAAGTGGTAACCGTCGCCTTTAGACGTGAGCAGTACCGTGGACGTAACAGAGTATACTGTTTCGCCCATGATACCACCCATGCGTTGCCATTCCTGAGAGCTCAGATGTTATTCCTCTGTAGCCTATAAATTCACTACCATATCCTACTGTTCAAACTGAAACACAGCCGTGCAAACACAACTGCTTCACTGTAGTAACAGGAATGGAATATAGGTGGCCAAATAAACGACTTTTATACAAAGTCTCCCTCTGGTAAAACATGGCATTACTCTTATGAAGTACAAAAGGCAGACTTTTTTTTTAATGGGTGATAATGGAATGGTAGCCCCACCCGCGCTATCGGTATATACCGGTGGGGCACCAGTGAAGGATGATAGATGAGGATGAAGCAGGTCAGTTAGCCCATCGTCGAACCACGTGGAGGTCGACCTGTTAGGGTCGCTTTATTGCTAGCAATGTCAAAGTCCATTGCTAACAATCCCTTTTCCCCAAAAGGCAGACTTATCTAGCACTAAAGCAATCTTGATATGTTCTAAATTTTTAATATTGTGAAATAAAACATGCTGTGTAGCTTGAATAAGTTTATGTCATGTTAAAACATGTTCTACCTACATTAGTACACTTTATTATTTAACAAAGTATAAAAGTACCCACGAAGAAGGGGGAGAGGGAGACCGAGACATAGTTACATCAGGCAGATCAAGGAAGGAGTTGGTGTCGTGTCGTATCAAGAGGTGAAGAGACTCGCTGAAAATCGTAGTGAGTGGCAAGAGTTCCACCGACAAGAGCGCAGCTCTTAAATGGATAGATAGATAGAAAAGTACCCACTATGATATTCTTCCCAAAAATATTTGTCGCCCAGTTAACGTTAAATATCTAATAACTTTGGTCTTTTCTCCTTTGGTGTATGTTCTAGAAAAAATTCTGTCCCAAAATAATATAAAACTATAATATGTTCCTTTAACATTTAACTTTTATATACCATTCTTCCTGAAAAATCCCCAGCATAGACACTCGACGAGCACCTACAAAGAAATCTTATCGCAACACATACAACTGCAGTGTCTCTTCCAACTTTGATGTTGGCAAAAACATCGGAGCCCCAATGGAGCCATACCACTAAAAAAAAAACAAAGTATAAAAGTACCCACTTTAATATATATAACAAATCTTTTATCCAGACAACTTTTTATATATTGTAATAATTATTTCCAGATATGAACGCAGAAAATTCATAGACAAAATCTCATCACACATAGACCCAAAGAAAGCTAGCAAACTAACCGATAAGGTTCTCGCACTAGCACAAGAGCTGGTGTCGTCCTCAAAGGCGCAGAAACGTAAACACGAACCAAGCGATCGGGACAGGGACGTAAAGAAGTCACGGCACGATGACAGGGAGAAGCATGAAGAAGAGAAACGGCATGATAAAGAGGAGAAGGAGAAGAAAATCGGGAATGGAGTCGAGGTGCTGCCTTTGCCGTCAGTCATGCCTGAAGGGGAGACTGTCGGATCCAAGATCTCAGTGCTCAGTGCGGATAGGATTAAGGTAAGAGTGGCTCTTAATTAGTTTTAAAGGCACCCAAAAAAATTGGGGGTTTTCATGTACAAAGTTTTTTTTTTTATACAACTTAGAATGGGAAACAAGCTGACGGCCCAACTGATGGAAAGTGGTAACCGTCGCCTATAGACAAGAGCAGTACCGTGCACATAACAGTGTATACTGTTTCGCCCATGATACCCCCCATACGTTGCCATTCCTGAAGACTCAGGTGTTATTCCTCTGTACCCAGTAAATTCACGCCATATCCCACCCTTCAAACGGAAACACAGTCATGCAAACACAACTGCTTCACGGTAGAAACACGAATGGGACAGAGGTGGCCAAGCAATCGACTTTTGTACAGTCTCCCTCTACATATATATATATGTACAGTAGCATTTCGTTTGTCAGAATATTGGATTATTCCCATTTGCTGTGCACAGCTCTGATTACCAATTTATAAAAAAGAAACAGTATGATTAGAGAGAAGTGTGGACTGAAAGACGATGTAGTGACCACAATCGAAAAGGGAATGTTGCATTGCTTCGGCCATTTGGAGAGGATGGATGCAAGAAAAATTACGAAAGAGATTTATCGAGCAAGAATGAATGGAGATGTCGGTAGGGGCCGCCCTAGACGGACGTATGTCGACCGAACAGGCGACGTGCTGAGGAAGGGCCAAATTAAAAGTAGCCGTAACCGGCGAGCGTGTATGAAAAGATTGATGGATGTGGAGGAAGCGAAGGAGGTTTGTTTGTATCGAAGCATTTGGTGTTCCATTGTTTCTGCCTACCGTAATGAGAGATAGGCGTGACAGATATGTACATAATAAAACAGTTATCTGGTTTTATTTGATTCCGATAATGCAGATTTTACTGTAAATGTTTTTGTATGTCTGTCATAATGAATTAATTATAATTTTATTTGCTTGAATACAGATTATTATATTAAAAATGTTTGGGTAACTATTCATACTAGGGGGAAGGGGATTGTTAGTAATGGAGACTGAGAATCCCATTGCTAGCAATATACCCAACCAGGTCGACCTCCTTGCAGTTCCCCCTGGAAACTATCATTGTTAATTCCTGATGAATTCATCATGATGGGCTAACTGGCCTGTTTTCATTCTCATCGACCACTCTTCACTGGTGCTTTTTCACCCATAAAAAAAAAGCGCGAGTTCTCAGGAATAGCAACGCATGGGGTGTATCATGGGCGAAACAGTATACTCTGTTATGTCCACGGTACTGCTCATGTCTGTAGGCGACGGTTACCACTTTCCATCAGGCCGTCAGCAAAGTAGGGAATGGAGAATATCATAGGCTACCTTTTATCCCGGTCAGCGAAGGTATCCTTGGCACGCAGACATAGTCATGAGTAAAAGCTAGTAAAGACTTGGTGATGTAAACTCATAAGATTTTGCCCGTCCGAAAATACTCAACTAAAGAAGTTGTACTAAATATTCCTTTGTTTCCAGCTCATGATGGCAAACGCCCAGAAGGAGATCGAGGAGCGCAAGAGGGCGCTGATAGCGATGAAGGGCGAGCACAAGCCAGGCGTGAACGTGGCAGTGGCGGCTGCCCAGCAGATCAAAGTCCAGATGCAGCAGAATAATGCTATCCCTCCGCCCAGTGTGATCAAGCCAGTGCTGTACTCGAAACCGGGTGAGTGGTATTTGTGAATGATACGTGCAAGCTTGCAGATGACACTTAGCTGATGTACCGTTAAGAAGAACAGAGTTGGCTAAGCTAAGCTTCTCTCTCTCTTGTATTGAAATTGAAAAAGTCTAATTGAATTTGTTTTGCTTTTGTTTTTTACAGCCGCATTACCAATCAGTCAAGAGGAGTTGGAGAAGCAGAGGAAGATAGCTGAACTGCAAGCCAGGATACAGAGGAAACTAGCAGGTGTGTAACTTTAGTTAAATTTTTTGGTTATTTTTGCATAACGGTGGACCTATCCATCATAACATTGAACGCCCAAAAATTATATAAAAGACCAAGTTCACTTTAAGTTGATCGTGTCTGGATACCTTTTTAATGTCCATTGCAGAAAAAAAACACATAGCTGTCAAATTTATCTTTTTAACCATTTTTCCTTTAATTTTAAACATGAATTATATCACCTTGATTTATTTCACCAGTAAAAAAAATCACGCAAAGAAGAGTTAAATTTTAACGCATAGTGTAATTATATATATATATATGGCGGACTTAACACCGGACGGTGTTCTCTACCAGTCAACCATTGGGCGAACAGAGAAATAAGTAGGCGGTGCATTATTGTAATTTTTTGGAGGAAACAATAAAAAGTGTCTATTTGTCTGCTAGTGATGACCTATAGAACCGAAAATGGTCCTGCAAGGTTCATGAGGGGCGATCCTGTACGGGCAAACGCAGTGTAGGACGACCCTCCACTAGATGGAGTGACGACCTCAAATGCATTGCCGGAAGTCAGTGGATACAGGTGGCGCAGGATCGTTCTTTATGGCAGGTCAGTCAGCCAACCGTGACGAATTCCACGATAGTTTCCAGGGGGAACCGCGTGGAGCTCGACCTGATAGGGTATTTTGACAGCAATGGGGACTGACAATGGTCCCCTCCCCCCAAGATGTATCAGTATTAATAATTGTATTTCCCCAGGCGGAGCGTTGTCGTCGGCGGGTGGGTCTGGCCCGGCGCCGTTGATCCTGGACCGCGAGGGCCGCACCGTCGACACCAGCGGCAAGCGCGTCCAGCTCACGCACGTTGCGCCCACGCTCAAGGTATTTCTTTTTAATGGGTGATAATGGAATGGTTACCCCGCCTGCGCTATCGGTATACACCGGCTGGGCACCAGTGAGGGACGATAGGTGAGGATGAAGCAGGTCAGTTAGCCCATCGTGACGAATTCAACAAGAATTGTTCACGATGGTTTTCAGGGGGAACCGCGTGGAGGTCGACCTGATAGGGCATATTGCTAGCAATGGGGCTGTCGAACTCCATTGCTAACAATCCCTTTCCCCCACACTCAAGGTACTTACTACACTCTCCCCTTCCAGATTCAAACAAACAAACAAACAGCGTCCTTAGCAACTCTAACACTAGATATAAATTCAAACTTGCTGTACCAAAGTATCGTTTAGTTAGAAACGCTTATTGAACAAAGGCTAAGGGGTCAGCAACGCACGCGTATACCCTGCAATACCTGCAATAGCCCTGGTATTTCAGATGTTCATAGGCTACGGTAACCGCTAACCATCAGGCGGGCCGTATGCTTGTTTGCCACCTCAGAGGTATAAAAAAAAAAGTAGTTATCCTAACTTAGCATACAGGATTCTATGTGCACTGGTTGACGCGGGAGGAGACGTGGGATACTGGTAGTCTAATATGAGTGTCTGTCCACCCCCAGGCGAATATTCGCGCGAAACGTCGCGAGGAGTTCCGAGCGCAGCTGTCCGGGCAGACCAGCTCGGAGCCGCAGCCGGACGCCGGCTGGGTGGACGCCAGGCTGCAGCTGAAGCCGCCGGTGCGGGCTCGCCGCGCGCTGCGCTTCCACGAGCCCGGCAAGTTCCGCCAGATGGCGGAGCGGCTGCGGATGAAGGTGATTGGGGGGGGGGGGGGCAGCAACGGAGACAAGGATGTACTTTGATGACCTCCATAGCGCAGTGGTGGTGGGCGATAATGGAGTGGTAACTCCGCCTGCGTTAACGGTATACGCTGGCGAGGTACCAGGGAAACATGATAGGTGAGGATGAAAGCAGGCCAGTTAGCCCATCGTGATGAATACACCTGGAATTCAGCACTGTTGTTTCCGGGGCGGATCACATGGAGGTCTACTTGACAGTGTATATTGCTGGCAAGAGGATTGGTATTTTGCTTTATTAACAATCGCTTCCCCCAGTGAAAGTTTTTAGGTGATGGCAGGTCGTTCTTCGTGACAAATTTTACTAAGAATTACCACGACATTTCCCAAGGGGAAGGGTTACTCTGTTACGCCTCCGTACCCAGTAATCTCGCTGCTATATACCACTCCTCAAACCGAAACACGGCCGTTCAAACACATCTGCTCTACGACAAAAACACGAATGGGATAGAGGTACCCAAGCAAGCGATTTTTGTACAAAATCGCCTCATGATAAAAATACAGTCGAATTAAAAACCTACTTCCTTAAAAAGACGCTTCCGCGGTAGAACTAACTGAATAATATCTCCTTAGAACACATGTTAGCCTGGTACCTTCTGCTCGGATTTGTAAATTATATTTTTTTATTAGAACGGCAAACAAGCTAACGGCATGCCTGATGGAAAGTGGTAACCGTCGCCTATAGACATGAGCAGTACCGTGCACATAACAGAGTATACTGTTTCGCCCATGATACCCCCCATGCGTTGCGAAATGAGCGAAACAGTATACTCTGTTATGTCCACGGTACTGCTCATGTCTATAGGCGACGGTTACCACTTTCCATCAGGTGGGCCGTCAGCTTGTTTGCCATTCTAAGTTGTATATAAAAAAAAGTCATATATGTGTATGTATATTTGTTATTTATATATATATTTATTCGTTTATATATGTAATTTTAGTATGTATGTATATCAATAATTACTAGTACCGCATTCGTGTATTCTGCCACTTCCCTATGGTTGACTGGGAGAGAATGCTTTCAGCATCAAGTCCGCCATGTACACATATATGTACTAATGAATAAATAAATAAAAATAAATGTAATATTTCCAGGCGCAACTGGAGAAGCTACAAAATGAAATATCCCAAATCGCTCGCAAGACCGGCATCTCGTCGGCCACCAAGCTGGCGTTGCTGGCTGCCGACACGCCGGATTCAGACCGCGTACCCGACATTGAGTGGTCAGTGGTCGACATTACTTGTTTATAATATGGTCCCAGCATAGAATGGACCACCGCTTCCTTTCCCGTGGGTGTCGGAAGAGGCGATTAGGGGAGGGCGAGGGATAGCCAACAGCGTCCCTCTTGAAACATCTCCAAAGCCTAACTGCGGTTGCCAATCCGCCTATCAAGCGTGGCTACAACTGTTTAAACCCATCTTTTGGAGGCATATGATCAGCATTGGACGCTTGAATTGGGCTGTCGTGTTTACATATGAATGGTACCACGCATATCACAGAATATACTGTGTCGCCCGTGGTACCTTCTTATGTGTATCCCTTCGTGAAGTCTAAGGTGTTATGCAGTGGCGTAACAATATAGTGGCAGGGCTGGCAAAATGCCACGGGCTCCCGACCCAAAAGGGCTCAAGAGGCCGCGAGCTCAGATTTTTTTACATTGTACCTGAGTATTTTATTTTTACTGATAGGACCCCATCAGTGTGGGGATTTGCCACAGGCCCCAAATGGTATAGTTACGCCACTGGTGTTATTCCTCTGTACCGTGTAAATTCACTGCCATATCCCACCCTTCAAACCGAAACACAGCCATGTGAACACAACTGCTTCACGGTAGAAATATGGGTAGGACAGAACTATTTCCCATACGTGGATATCTACTTAAATAGACGATTTTTGTGCTAAGTCTCCCTCTGGCGAGGGATTCACATTCGTGGATTTATGAGATGCTGTTTCATTGGCGACAAAACAGCCTTGATATAGAGGGGTTTTAATGGATGATAATGGAATGGTAACCCCGCCTGCGCTATCGGTGTACACTGGCGGGGCACCAGTGAGGGATGACAGGTGAGGATGAAAAGGCATGTCAGTTGGCCCATTATGACGAATACACCTGGGATTCAGCACGATGGTTTCCAGGGTGGGACCTGACAGGGTATATTGCTAGCTGTGGTAACAATTCTTTCCTACAGGGGGGAAAGGGATTGTTAGTAATGGAGACTGAGAATCCCATTGCTAGCAATATACCCAACCAGGTCGACCTCCACGCGGTTCCACCTGGAAACTGTCATAGTTAATTCCTGATGAATTCATCATGATGGGCTAACTGGCCTGTTTTCATTATCATCTATCACCCTTCACTGGTGCTCCGCCAGCGCATCCCGTTAGCGCAGGCGGGGTTACCATACCATTTTCACCCATAAAAAAATCCTTTCTCCGAAACGAAGATGATGGTAAATAGGTACGGTGTGTGTCCCGCAGGTGGGACAGCGTGATCCTGCTGACGGGCGAGGAGCGGGAGGCGGGCGGCGAGGCGGACAGCCGCAGCGGCTCGCAGCGGGTGGACGCGTGCAACGTGGGCGCCGACGACATCGTGGACAACCTCAACCACGCCGCCATCACCAACCTCGTCGAGCACCCCCAGCAGCTGCGTCCGCCCAGTGAGTCCATCACCTATATATATACGTATACGACAACGTAACCTTCAAGAAAAGAGCATATTCCTTCTTAAGAGGCCGGCAGCACACCTGCAATGCCGCTGGTGTTGCGGGTGATCATGGGCGGCGGTAGTCACTTACCGTCAGGTGAGCCGCGTGCTCGTTTGCCCCCTGTGTTGTATATATATATATATATATATATATATAGCACTCTCTTCTCTTGAACTCTTCGTACAGTGCTTCGCGGTAGACTTTAGATCCATGCCCCATAGGGGGGCAATTTGATAGTTAAGGAGGGGGGGGGGACAAAAAATGGACTCGAAGCGGTATTACCCTCTTGCTCCGGTCCATTTAAATGCAATGCTACGAGCAGATATCGGCGCCAAATTTAACAAAAAAAAGTAAATTAAAAAAAATGCTGTAAATATTTATTAGGTATAATTTCGTTTGACGTTACCAAAATATCAACTGGGCGATTAGAGTCGTCAAGTAAACTTTGTCAGGAAAAATTATGTGTGGGGGCATAAAAATTTTAGAAATGTCCAAGTGGGGCATGGGACAGAAGAGGTTGGGAAACACTGCTTTAGACGGAGCCGACCATCTTGTTTGTTCGTTTTAAGTCAGGAGATTCGGTAGAATATAACACGATTGGAAGGAATATGTATAGGATTGTAACTTTCTTAGTTTAAAAACACCCGTGTGCAACCGGGGCGGGTTGATAGTTAAATAATAAACAATATAAAAACAAATGTAAATGTATTTGAAGTGTTTAGTACTCATTGTAATCGTTTGGTACGCAGTGGATGCCGATTTTCGTGAAGAATTTTGGACATCCAAAATCCACACATAAAAAGCATGCGCCCATGACCATCAGGCCGGGATTATTCTTGCCATATTTCTCAGTATATCTTTTGCTACGTAACAAATAATCACTGGTGACTTCATTTGGTATAACTTCATTTATTTTTTCATTATTTTCGACTTCATTTATTTGTGCAATGTTCTCGTTTAATTCGTCGTTTTTTATATTATTCTCTGGTAATTGCATCGCGCGGTATTTATTTTCAAATTCATTTATATTCGAATTCGATTCTGTATATCTTTCAATTGCGTTTAAAATATAATCACGCACTTTGTTCTTTAAAATTTCATTGTTTGTTTCGACTTCATTCATTCCAACTTCATTTATTACTTTCATATGTTTATCGTTGACTTCATTTATTGTGTCTTCGTTTACATATACACTTCTACGGACTCGTATATCCATATTTTGGTTTTTCGGTATATATATATTGTAATTGTTAACTTTGGCCAGTACGTTAACCATGCCAACGGCCAGGTACAGGGCGACGAGCATTTTTGCCTTTTTTCTGTAAATAAAAAACGAAATAAAACTAAAAAATCTGTCTAAAAACAATAATATACTATTTCTATAGATTTTAATAGAAAATATATCCTCGTCTCGTTGTAATCATCCCGGGAGCACTCTCTGATTGTAATTAGTAACGAATCGATACGTCCAGTCGATTGGTCGACGTTTTTATTTTTTTTAATGTATGATAATGGAATGGTAATATTCGAGAATTAAGTGAGATTCCGTTTCATTGGCGACAAAACAGCCTCGATATGTAGGGGTTATAATGGATGATAATGGAATGGTAACCCCGCCTTTTGTATCGGTATACGCGGGCGGGGCACCAGTGAGAGATGATAGGTGAGGATGATAAGGCAGGTCAGTTAGCCCACCGTGATGAATACACCTGGTATTCAGCGTGATGGTTTCGGTCGACCTAATAGGATGATCATGCTAGCATTGAGACTTGTACTCCGCATTACTAACAATCTAATCCCGTGTGGTCCCGGCATAGAATGGATCACCGCTTCCTTTCCCGTGGGTGTCGTAAGAGGCGACTGAGAGAGGGCGAGGGATGGGCAGCAGGGCCCCTTTTAAAACATCACCAAAGTCGAACGGCAACAATTGCAACTTTCTTAGGGATCTCTATTTTTTTTTTAATAATTTATATTCTGTGTTATTCAATGATAATGTAGCTTTCTATAGGTAAAAGAATAATTAAAATCGGTCGAGTAGTTTTAGAGTTACAAATAAAAAAACAAACATACGAAAAATTAAAACTTTTCTCTGTATATAGATTTAGTACCGTCATATCAACCTTTAACTGTCCACTGCTGAACATAAAACCCCCCTAAACCCCCCCTTGGGGGGTTTTGCCAGTAGTTGCCACGCTTGATAGTTTGACAACTGCAGTTAAGCTTTTGTAGATGTTTCATAAAGTACCCCTACTTTTTTTTAATGATGTAACCGCACCTGCGCTATCGGTATACACTGGGGGGGCACCAGTGATAGTTGACTGATGAGGATGAAATTGGGTCAGTTGGCCCATCCTGACAAATTCAACTAGAATTAATCACGATGGTTTCCAGAGGCAGCCACGTGGAGGTCGACCTGACAGGGTATATTGCTAGAAATGGGGCTATTTGACCTCATTACTAGCAATTCCTTTCCCCTCAAGTGACTCCTACTGGCCATGCCTCGACCATTAAGCTGCGTTAATCGCCTCTTACGACACCCACGGGAAAGGAAGGGGTGGCCCATTCTATACTGGGAGCTACATGGGCTCGGCACTATCAAATCTGATATGAAATTTTCTCAAACATGCTTGGAAATGTGAGCATTATTTTGACAATCTTCTTAGGGATAAATCAAAATTGCCGTACTGGCCAGATACATGCGGGCAGCGGCCGGTAAAAGTTGTATGAAAATCCATGTCTGTCGTGTTTTGCGGCCAGATAAATTACTATGTAAACTCATATCTGTCCTGTAATTTAAAAATGTAATGACCTTTTACTTCGAAACATGGCTACCAAGGAGGTAACTAATAAAAGGTTTTATTTAAATTTCGAACTTGCTTGCATATAGAAAGCTGTTTATTGAAAAAAAAAAAACAAAGGAACATTATGGCGCGTGAAAAATTATTATTGTTCGTTATTCGTCATTGAATTTAAAAAGTAAAATTGTGTTTTTGATTTCCGCGCATTGTTTGAGAAAAGTACTATACAAGCCTTGGCCACAACTAGGCATTGATGGAGTCAAGTATGTGTGCCTCGGCTACGCCTCGGCCCACATTTGCACGTTCGTCCATCAATGCCTCAGTTGCTGGCCGCTGCAGTAATGTACTATTATCTATTTATTTATCTATCCGAACGAAGCCGGGGCGCACTGTAGGTTTGGTTAATTGATACGAAACGAAAAAAATAATGAAAATAATAACTTAAAAAAATGTATGATAGTAAAACTGACCTTTGAATATAACTCCAAGACACTTTTAACTCACTAGTCTATTTAATATTAAAACTAAATAGTTAAAATAACTTATTACTTATTAGAAATTGTTTAAATAACATAAGTTTTTAACAAGTATACAAGTTTTAAACTGCTTATCGGCTTGATTCGCGGAACTTTTGTGACCTCAGATTTGTTTATAGTGAAAAAAAAAAAAACACAACTGAGGCATTGTTCGAATTGAAATAAAGTTATGGGTTCCGCAGAATGATATGTCGTGTTTCTACCGTGAAGCAGTTGTGTTTGCACGGCTGTGTTTCGGTTTGAAGGGTGGGATATGGCAGTGAATTTACACGGTACCGAGGAAGAACACCATAGACATACCATGGGTGTCACAGTGTATCCTATGATGTCCACAGTTCTGTTCACGTATATGCGACGGTTACCACTATCCATCAGGCGTGCCGTAAGCTTGTTTGCCGTTCTAATAAAAGAATGTAATTTATATATCCGAGCAGAAGGTACCAGGCTGTCATGTGTTCTAAGGAGGTATTATTCAGTTGGTCCTTCCGCGGAAGTAACGTTTTAAGAAAGAACTGCTTGGGTATCTCTGTCCCACTGATGTTTCTGCCGTGAATCAGCGACGTTCGCATGGCTGTTTCGGTTTGAAGGGTGAGATATGGCAGTGAAATTACAGGGGATGGCGGCATAGCACCTTAGTCATACCTACGTACATAAACATGGGCGTCACAGTGTATCCTGTAATGTTCACAGTTCTTTCACGTATAGGCAACGGTCACCACTATCCATCAGGCGCGCCGTAAGCTTATTTGCCGTTCTAATAAGAAAAATATAATTTATAAATCCAAACAGAAAGTACCAGGCAAACATGTGTTCTAAGGAGATATTATCCAGTTGGTTCTTCCGCGGAAGCAAGTTTTTGAAGGATGTAGGTTTTTAATTAGTTACCACGTTTGGCGGGCGTATTGGGAATCGCAATTAGGCCTTGGTGACATTTTAGGAGGGACGCTGCTGCCCGTCCCTCGCCCTCAGCCATGGGAAAGTGGCCTATTCTATGCCAGGACTGTACGGCGAGAATTATTTATATTATAAATAAATAAATAAATAAATACAATATATTTACGTCTTGACGCTTGGATATATCGTGTAATAGTTATATATTGTATGTTTACCATATATCAATAAAGGTTATCAAACGTTGGCTTCGAAGCGTAAACAATACACAGATATCGCCACACCAAGTAAATTGTTATTAAAAATGGCTACCGTCTGACTTACGTCGTCTACCAGACGGAGACTTTGTACAAAAGTCGATTGCTTGGGCACCTCTGTCCTATTCGTGTTTCAACCGTGAAGCAGTTGTGTTTGCATGGCTGCGTTTCGGTTTGAAGGGTGGGATATGGCGTGAATTTACTGGGTACAGAGGAATAACACCTGAGTCCTCAGGAATGGCAACGCATGGGGCGTATCATGAGCGAAACAGTATACTCTGTTATGTCCATGGTACTGCTCATGTCTATAGGCGACGGTTACCACTTTCCATCAGGTGGACCGTCAGCTTGTTTGCCTTTCTAAGTTGTATAAAAAAATATATATATACAGTGTTTGTATCAACAGCACCAAGTAGTAACAATACACACCTTGTCATGTTATCCTGGTATGCAACGGGCAAACCCTGGTGGGTTTTACAGGAATAAATCTAAGTATAAAAGGGACAACAACAGGATATAAAGACTCACCGTCTTGTCGTGGGCTATTTTATTACGTCCTGTGCGGGCGTCTTGATTCCTTCCGTCACTTTATCACCGATGTACACACAAAAGGTTCGAAGCCTATATTTTTTTATACAACTTAGAGTGGCAAACAAGCTGACGGCCCACCTAATGGGACGTAGTAACCGTTGCCTGTAGACATGAGCAGTACCGTGGACATAACAGAGTATACTGTTTCGTTCATGATATCCCCCATGCGTTGCCATTCCTAATTCCATATATATACCAAAAATTATGTTATTGATGTGCGTTTGCGTTTTGATGATGAACGGATGATATGATGATGATGATGATGAATAAATACACCTAGTATTTGAAGCGTTGTATTGAATATAAATTTGATGTAATGCGCTAAAAGTTGTTTTGCAAGTAAGTTACAATTTGAACTTGAATGACCTTTCAAATTCAAATTGTATTAAATTTCACCTGCGTTATGATTGGCGTTCTCGCGATGTCGCGATGAGCGACTCTTGTGACTGGTTGATGTCGTGTGTGATTGTCTATTAATAACTTAGCAGTTGTCCGTTGGTTTTATTGCTGAAACCGCGCTCATTATACGCAGGAGTGAACAATATTCCTGGCATATTGTTAATGCTTTAACATGCCCCCGGCCTTGAAAGATTCTATTTTCAAGTCTTCCTCCCAGAGAGGACATATTTTTGAGAATGCCCGCCTAATGATCGGGCATCATTAGGCGGTCATTCTTGGTCTTTATACTACTTGGTCCTTATATTTTATAAAATTAAAGGAACTCGCAAAACAATCCCATTTCCCGTGGGTGTCGTAAGAGGCGACTAAGGGAGCGAGTGTAGTCGACGCGTGGTCATCAGCGTCTCTCTCAAAACATCACCGAAGCCTACCTGCGTTTGCCAACCTGTCCGCCAAGCGTGGCAATTACTGGCAACACCCCCAATAGTGGAAGACCTACGTTCAGTAAAGAACTGCTAAACAGCTAATACGATGGTATTAACTTTCCCATCACCACACTAATAAGTGTCTCACTCAACAAACGCTGCTTGCCCTCCAGCGGAAGCCCTAAAACCGACGTACATGCCCGTGTTCCTAACGAAGAAAGAACGGAAGAAGCTGCGCCGTCAGAGCAGGCGTGAGGCGTGGAAGGAGGAACAAGAGAAGGTCAGGCTGGGCCTGGAGGCGCCGCCGGAGCCCAAGCTCAGGTGAGGTCCATTTTTCTATTTCCTATTCTTTACAAGCTGTAAAGTACAGGGTCATCAACATCGTCAAGAATATAGTCTAAATAGACAAGATATTGTTTTTTTTTTTTTAATATACTAGCAGAGGAAGAGAGTACTAAAGTCGTTTGCTTGGGTACCTCTGTCCCATTCGTGTTTCTACCGTGAAGCAGTTGTGTTCGCATGGCTGTGTTTCGGTTTGAACGGTGGGATATGGCAGTGAATTTACTGGGTATAGAGGAATAACACCTGAGTCCTCAGGAATGGTAACGAACGGGGGGTATCATGGGCGAAACAGTACATAACAAGTTGACGGCCCACCTGATGGCAAGTGGTAACCGTCGCCTATAGACATGAGCAGTACCGTGCACATAACAGAGTGTACTGTTTCGCCCATGATACCCCGCATGCGTTGCCATTCCTGTGGACTCGGGAATTCTCTACAATATTATGCATGTATTATACATATAAACCTTCCTCTTGAATCACTCTATCTATTAAAAAAAAATGTACATATAATTACTGTTTGTACAGGATATCGAATCTAATGCGAGCTCTGGGTACCGAGGCGGTCCAGGACCCGACGGCCATCGAGGCCAAGGTCAGGGAGCAAATAGCCAAGCGGCAGAAGACTCACCTGGAAGCCAACAAGGCGAGGGCCCTCACCAAAGAACAGAAGAGAGAGAAGGTCAGTCTTGTATCTTTTTTTTTTATATGTATATTCTTTATTGCACTTGTAAGTTACATACAAAATAATCTATTTATAAATGTTGTGAGCAAGGGTGGACTTATCTCTGACAGAGATCTCTTCCAGTCAACCCAGTACAGTTGGAAAGCATGTCGTTAGCGGGCAACTGAAGTGCTACAACTATTAATACATATACATAAAGGACCTATTTAACAATTCGACGCGCGTGTCTTTATACAGTTCCCCCCCCCCCCGCTCGCGGCATATACTCGCACGGCCATCGCCATCTACAATACAATTTTACCGACTTATCTACACTAATATTATAAAGAGGAAAGATTTGTATTTTTGTGTGCATGTATGTTTGTAATGAATAAACTCAAAAACTACTTTGCCGATTTCAAAAATTCTCTCACCATTAGAAAGCTACATTCACCCTGAGTAACATAGGCTATGTTTATTGCTAGAAAACATTAGGGGATCCTTACTAAAACTTTAGTAACGTAACTCGAGGTGTAGAAAAAATGCTATAAAATATCTTCGGTCGCGTGCGCTGCGGAAACTATTGGTGATAGAATAAAAGTATGTTCTACAATATTGAAGGAAATATCAATAACTACAAAAAACTTCGCGACACTATATGTCAAACTATTATCGTTATGTCACAATAGCCACTTTTTGAAACGTTGTAAAAATGTCCACCCGTGCGAAGCCGGGACGGGCCGCTAGTTGTTTATATTTTACATTATATTCTAGATCAACATTTATTAAATTAAATATTTTAATAATTTTCAGGTGGACCGCAAGATAAGAGAAGACACCACGATGGGAGTCCACGTATCCGTTTATAGGTGCGTATTTTTTTTATACCACTGATGTGGCAAACAAGCATATGGCCCACCTGATGGTAAGTGGTTACCATAGCCTATGAACGCCCGCAATACCATAGGCATTACGCGCGCGTTGCCGACCCTGAAGAAACCTCTTTACCCCCTTTTGAAGAACCCCATGCTGTAGTCTCTTGGGAAAACCTCGGCAGGGAGCTCATTCCACAACCTGAGTGTTCGTGGGAGGAAACATCCCTGAAACCGCGCTGCACGCGACCATTGAGGCTGTAGGACATGAGAATGAACTCCCTGTCGATGGCGAGCCGTACGATGGTAGAAAGTGGCTGTGGGCATCATATTGAACAATTCCTCTGAGCACAATCCCTTGTACAAGCGGTAGAACACGCAGAGTGAAGCAATGTATGTTTTCATATAATGGGTTATAAAGGCATCACATGTCGTGTGATCCTGGTATAGGACGGGCCACCCCTTCCTTTCCCGTGGGTGTCGGAAGAGGCGACTAAGGGAGCTTTATGGTCAAAGAATGGATAGCTGCGTATCAATAATTACTAGTACCGCATTCGTGTATTCTGCCACTTCCCTACGGTTGACTGGGAGAGAATGCTTTCAGCATTAAGTCCGCCATGTACACATATATGTACTAATGAGTAAATAAATAAATCGTAACTAATTATATAACAGATTAAAGGTAGTGTTTCCCAACCTCTTCTGTCCCACGCCCCACTTGAACATTTCTAAAATTTTCATGCCCCCCACACATAATTTTCCCCGACAAAGTTTACTTGACGACTCTAATCGGCCAGTTGATGTTTTGGTAACGTCAAACGAAATTATACCTAATAAATATTTACAGCATTTTTTTAATTTAATTTTTTTTTTTTTTGTTAAATTTGTCACCGATATCTGCTCGTAGCATTGCATTTAAATGGCTCGGAGCAAGAGGGTTAATACCGCTTCGAGTCCTTTTTTATTTTGTCCCCCTGTTTGCATGGATTGCATGGACCCCACGTTGGGGAATATCGAACCAACCTGTCCCTTTCACTCTGTATATATATATATATATATATATATATATATATATATATATATATATATATATCATATGTATATATTTCACCACTATGTTAAAATCGCTTCGAGTCCTTTTTTAATTGCCCCCTTCTCCATTACTACCATATTACCCCTCTGTGGGGCGTGGGCCCCACTTTGGGAAACACCGGATTAAGGTACACTGTTGTGATAAATTGAAGTAACGTTCTATCTATCTATCTATCTGTCTATTTTTGTCTGCTATATATTGCAGAGTGCGAGACCTGTTCGAGTGCGCGTCGGCCAAGTTCAAGGTGGAGGTGAACGCGCAGCAGCTGCACATGTCGGGCTGCGTGGTGCTGCACCGCGGCTGCTGCGTCGTCGTCGTCGAGGGCGGGCCCAGGCAGCGCGCCAAGTACAAGCGGTCAGTAGCCAATGGGCGTGTTTAGACAGATAGATAGATAGATAATTTATTTGCATTACTTACAGCACACAAAACAGCAATAGACATAAATGCACAGTGAAAAAACATAAAAAAAAGATATGTTCGGTGCAACTTGACCGCACGGTGAGCGTGGACTGTAGGGGTGCTGGTTCAGGCTGGAGAGAAACGATAAAATTCCTTTCTTGAAGCTCCCGGTTCCGTACTGAAGAGTCTCCTATTTCCTTATCGGTTGGGGAGTGCAGTGCAGTGCATGCCGCTCGACGGTAGGCGGCCTATCTTTATACGCGCCCGGTCGCACGACAACATGTACCAACTCACATTAGCGAGTCTGTGCGAGCGGGACGGGGCGAGTGTGACAGGGACGCGTTACTCTTCAGAGCGGCACCATTTGGCGTCTATTTATTTATCATAATTATCCTTATTACTATTATTTTTACAATCTTTTTCTTATTTCTACTTGTGGGTAATAATGACTCGACACAATGTTTTATTCAACTTACAACTATAAATACATCAGAGAAACCCTATATAAAATTAACAATTTAAACGATTAAAAAACTAATGACTTATGCTAACAAAATAACTATAAAATATCGCTATACTATACAAAATGATTACAATGTCGCGAACAAGATACATGTACAAAAAAAAATGCTTACTTTTTTTATACAACTTAGAATGGCAAACAAGCTGACGGCCCACCTGATGGAAAGTGACTTTGTACAAAAGTCGATTGCTTGGGTACCTCTGTCCCATTCGTGTTTCAACCGTGAAGCAGTTGTGTTTGCATGGCTGTGTTTCAGTTTGAAGGGTGGGATATGGCGTGAATTTACAGGGTACAGAGGAATAACACCTGAGTCCTCAGGAATGGCAACGCATGCGGGGTATCATGGGCGAAACAGTATACTCTGTTATGCCCATGGTACTGCTCATGTCTATAGGCGACGGTTACCACTTTCCATCAGGTGGGCCGTCAGCTTGTTTGCCATTCTAAGTTGCATAAAAAAAAAATTATATGAAATTATCAAATATTGCTTTACATTTCCTCTATTCAATAATGCACCGCCTACTTATTTCTCTGTTCGCCCAATAGTTGACTGGTAGAGAACACCGTCCGGTGTTAAGTCCGCCATATGTACATAGAATTACACTGTGCGTTAAAAGTTAAATAAATAAAAAAATAAATATCACCAGTGACAAATCACAGCTGAAGAGCCAATAGGCTGGTCTTATAGTTTGAAGAAACAACGGAATGTTATGCATCTTAACTCATGTCTCTGTCTGACCGGTATTTTTTTCATTCCAGCCTGATGCTACACCGCATCAAGTGGGAGGAGGATCTGGTGAAGGATGCAGAGGGCAATGAAGTTCCCAACTCGTGTCAGCTGGTATGGGAGGGCGTTACCAAACAACGGTCCTTCGGGGAGATCAAGTTCAAGGTACGGGTTCTCAGTCCTCAGGAATGGCAACGCATGGGGGTATCATGGGCGAAACAGTATGCTCTGTTATGTCCACGGTACTGCTCATGTCTATAGGTGACGGTTACCACTTTCCATCAGGTGGGCCGTCAGCTTGTTTGCCATTCTAAGTTGTATATTAGAATCTTTACTATTAGTAAGGTTTAAATGTTGAATTCGCTGTATGGTCCCGGCATAGAATAGGCCATCCCGTTCCTTTCCCGTGGCTGTCGTAAGAGACGACTAAGGGACGGCGAGGGACGGGCAGCAACGTCCCTCTTAAAACATCTCTAAAGCCTAACTGCGGTTGCCAAGCGCGGCAACTATTAGCAGATCCCTTCAAAGGGAGGCATATGTCCAGCAGTGGACAGTTAAAGAACGAAATAATGATAATCATGTACAACTCACAGGTGCTACCAACAGAGAAGCAGGCAAGAGAATTGTTCCAGAAACATGGCGTCGAACATTACTGGGATTTGGCGTACAGCGGCGCCGTGCTGGGCTCCGGAGTTGACGACGTGTAGACAGACAGACAACACTACCGATCACAATGCGACATTAATTAGGCGTGGGCAATATGGGTACCGATCCGATATCTATATATTGGGTTCCTCTGGACACTGATGGCGGGAAAAAGGTCGTCAGCCATTTCGATATCGCCCATCTCTCTCTCTTCGTCCTCTTCATTACTGAAGGTGGTGTCCTTGAAAGGTGTCTGTTGCCTCTCTTATGATGTTATTCCATTGTGCCCGGTCTGCAGCTTCTCGCAGGACAGCTGCGATTGACAGTCCCGTAACGGCGGTTATTTGGTCCGACCATAGATTAGGCGATCGTCCGCGTGGTCTTTTTCCCTCCATCTTGCCAACAACCATTAGTTTGTCCAGATTGTCGGACTGTCGTCGAGCGACATGACCGAAGTATCCAAGAATCCTCCGATAGCAGACTGTCGAGAGCCTATCTTTTATGCGGAGTTGCGTCAGGATAGATATTTTGGAATATGTTAAAAGTCTGTTATCCAATATAATTTTTTGCATAATACACATTTAACATATACGTTATTGGATCAGTATATAGGATATTGTAACTGAAATATATAGATATTGCTATATATTATCCTCGCCTAATAGTAATATTAAAAATATGAAAAGTTTGTAAAAATTGAGGTTTAAATGTTTTTTGCACTTTGACCCTTAAATGGCTGAACGGATTTTGATGAAATCTTGTACACGAATAGCGAAACAGTATACTCTGTTATGTCCACGGTACTGCTCATGTCTACAGGCGACGGTTACCACTTTACATCAGGTGGGCCGTCAGCTTGTTTGCCATTCTAAGTCGTATTAAAAAAAAAAAGGTTATATCCTACCTAAATTAATATTGTAAAGCAGTGTTTTTCAAAGTGTGAGCCGCGACCCCTTGGTGGGTCCGCGATCCTCTACAAGGGGGTCGCGGAAGGTCGTGAAGCAGTGAAAAATCAACAATTCCGCAAATACATCAATGAATCAAAAATACATAATGAAGTATCTGTAACCGACATCGATTACATGTCCGTTTTAGATGCTTTATTATGTATTATTTATTTTATTTTATCGATACCCAACTGTAAGTATAAATACAACTGTACGGATTTCATAATTGTACTATGATAAAACTCATACATATTCGAAAACGTGGAGGGCAGGGGGTCGCAAGATATTTATACATACTAAGGGGGTTGCAAGACTCGTTTGCATATTAAGGGGATCGCAAGATATTTATACATACTAAGGGGGTTGCAAGACATGGTTACATATTAAGGGGGTCGCAAGATATTTATGCATATTAAGGGGGTCGCAAGATATTTATACATACTAAGGGGGTCGCAAGATATTTATACATACTAAGGGGGTCGCGTCATGAAACAGATTGAAAAACACTGTTGTAAAAAGTATTTTATATTTACTGATTCACGCGGGCCAAGCTGCAGGGTAACAGCTAGTCTATACGTGAAGGAAATCCAAGATGTTCAGTACTTGATTGCGGATAGATTGCTAAACTTATTTGAATGTAATTTATCGCAAACGATAGATCATTTATTGGATTATAAAAGACGCTTATACTTATTCGTTAGTATTTTTTTTTATTGGATGAAAATGGCATAGTAACTCCGCCTGCGCTATCGGTATACACTGGCGAGGTACCAGGGACACATAGATAGGTGAGGATGTAAAGGCAGGTCAGTTAGCCCATTGTGATGAATACACTTGGAATTCAGCACGATGGTTTCCAGAGCGACCACGTGAAGGTCGACCTGGTTCAGTATATTACTAGCAATGCGGCCCTCAGTCTCCATTATTAACAATCCCTCTCCCCAGGTAAACATGATAGGTAAGTCCGCCATTGTATACTAAATCATTTACTAGTATTTAATCTGACTTATGTACAATAAAGATTTTTACAATACAATACAATACATGATAGGTGAGGATGAGAGCAGACCAGTTAACCCATCGTGATGAATACACCATGAATTGTGTTATGTTTTCCAGGGGGTGGGCATGGGGATGTCGACATAACCCTATATTGCCAGCAATGGGGCTGGTAGGTCGCATTACCAACAACCACTTACCTTTCCCTGGTGTATGGGTAGGTTATATCCTAACTTAAAAAATAGATACTATATGTACTGATTCACGCGGGCAGAGCCGCAGGACAGAGCTAGCCAAATGTTAATAAGGCACGCCGTATGCATGTCACGTACGTATGAAACGTCACGAAGAGTTCTAAATATTGAATGTTGGAATATTTCTAAAATACCATTTATTTGAAATAATAAATTCGTCTGTAAGTGAGACGAGAAGAAACAACTGTAATATAGTTTGAAATTTAATAAATATATATTGAAAATAACCGTATTTTATTACCCCCATAGATAGATAGATAGGTACCCTTTATTGTTCCCTCCATAAGATTACAATAGTAAACTTATTATAGATACAAACAATTACAAGGTAATATTGCACTGAGAGAACAATGCGCGGCCTTATCGCTGAGAGCGATCTCTTGCACGCCACCTTTGGATGGAGAGTAGTTTTTTTGCGCGAGCGCGATTACCATTCCATTAGAAAAAAAAACACCTTAATCCTCAGAAATGGCAACGCATGGGGGGTATCATGGGCGAAACAGTATACTCTGTTACGTCCACGGTACTGCTCATGTCTATAGGCGACGGTTACCACTTTCCATCAGGTGGGCCGTCAGCTTGTTTGTCTTATTATTTTTTATTAAAAAAAAAATAAAAGAAAATACAAATCGTCATCAGCAATTTATTAATAATTATTATAATTATGTATACAAGTGTTCCCCCACATCGTATAACCACTAGGACATCCAGCAAAGGAGCAAGTAAAGCAGCGGTTAAACCTAAACTTTACCGAACCTGAATTCAATATGGGCCGGTCATAAGCTCTTTTAATTCTAACCAAGTTATCATTGGTAACATCTGTTGGATCAACTTCATTTGACAGTATTTCATCACTTACGACTTCATACTCATTCACTTGTAGCATTTTCTCATTGTGAAATTCATTTATATTTGAATCAATCTTTTTATATTTTTTAATCACATCAGCAATATGATCGTGTACGTTGTTCATTATGACTTCATTATTTGTTCCGACTTCATTTATTCCATTTTCACGTTCATTTATTTTCTTCATATATTCATTGTTGACTTCATTTATTCTATATTCATTTACATTTGTGCCTTCATTGACCGTATTGTGGTGATTCGGTATATATATATTATAACTATTGTCTTCAGCTAACACATTGACTATGCCAACAATTAGATAGAATACGACGAACATTTTATTTTTTATTACTGAAAATATATAAAAAAAAAAACATATATAATCTGACTAAGTACGAAAAAATTAAAAGAAAAATATTGTGACGTTTTCAATCGACTTCAAAAAGAAGGAGAACTATTAAGAAAACTATTTTTAAATACACAAATGGGAAAAGTGGACAATAAAGAAGCAGGTAAGTATGCAGGTACTATTTACCTGTAAAAAAGCTTTTTCATCGCGTAAAGTCCCAATTGTGTATATAAAACATATGTGTAAATAACGCGAATGTTTAAAATTAAACTAATTTAACCATAAAACTAACCTGTCAGTGTGACTTCAGTCCCAAGTGAGTTCAAATTATCAACTAAAATGATTAATTTAATACCATTGACATATAACTATCAGCTTGTAACATAAAAATGGTAGAAAGTAATAAAATAAATATACTTCTTATCTGCGTACTTAATTGTACTCTGTCAAATGGTTTATATAAAAAAAAAAGAGTCGGGACTCTTGGTACGAGTTGCAATCAAGACGTGGATTCCGCAAGAGTTAACGTCCATCTACATCTACACTAATATTATAAAGTGCGAAAGATTTGTATTTTCGTGTGTATGTATGTTTGTAATGAATAAACACAAAAACTACTTTGCCGATTTCAAAAATTCTCTCACCATTAGAGAGCTACATTCACCCTGAGTTACATAGGCTATGTTTATTGCTAGAAAAGATTTTGGATCCTTACTAAAACTTGAGTAACGTAACTCGAGGTGTAAAAAATGCTATAAAATATCTTTGGTCGCGTGCGCTGCGGAAACTATTGGTAATAGAACAAAAGAATGTTCTACAATATTGAAGGAAATATCAATAACTACAAAAAACTTCGCGACACTATATGTCCAACTGTTATCGTTATGTCACAATGGTCACTTTTTAAAATGTTGTAATAATGTCAACCTGTGCGAAGCCGGGACGGGCCGCTAGTTATATATAACTAGTCTGGCCATAAATACTGTCACATAAAAACTTTTTTACAACTTTTTAATTATTTTGAATTTGGAACATGTCTATTATTCAAAAACTTCTTTCGATTTCGCGCCATTTCACATATATTTTTGTATTCATTACCAAATTACAATATGGAATTAATATAGGAAATTGGTAGTAGCACTCACCAGTATTAAGCAACGCCGGGATCAGGATCAGTATTAAGGAAAACCAGGACTAGGATTTTAGTTACCTACACTAGTTAATATTAGTCAGTTAGAAAGTTCAGTCAATGTTCATAGTATATAAGACAAAAGGGTAATCTGTCATATTTATTCAAATATATTTTTTCTTTATTTTACATTGACAAGCGCTGCTAGAATGCATATCGCCTGCCATTGAACCAAGAAGGTTCTTAACATCTTCTCTCGATGTGTAATCCTAGCAGCTTACTAATCTTCTCTAACCTTGGCTTTGGTAAAGCTTTGGTAAAAATATCCGCAAGCTGCCACTCACTGCTAATTTTCTGAACCATGAGATCACCTTTTGTCACAAGTTCTCGAACAAAGAAGTGCCTGATGAGAATATGTTTTGTTCTCTTGTGAAACTCAGGATTTTCCGCTAGTCTCACCGCGGCTTCATTGTCCACTTGTAATACAGGAGGATACTGTATTTCAGTAAGTTCGCTTAGTATACTAGTTAGCCAAATGCATTCTCGAGCTGCTTCACTGGCTGCAACTATTTCTGCTTCAGTGGTTGAAATTGCAACACTTGCTTGTCTTTGACTCATCCAAGATACAGCACCACCAGCAAACATGCACAGTACTCCAGAAGTTGACCGTCCAGTACCAACGTCTCCTCCATGGTCAGCATCACTATAACACTCTATGATGCCCTTTTTATAGTCCTTTTGATACAAAATACCCATATCTTGCGTATGTTGTAAATAACGCAGAATCCGTTTCAGCTTTACACAATCGTCTTCAGTTGGATTTTCCAAATTTCTTGAGACGACACTAACAGCTAATGCAATGTCAGGTCTCGTTCCAACCATGAGATATGCTAAGGCTCCAACAATATGTCTATATTTCAACAACATATTACTCATGTCGACCTTATCCCGGTTTTGAGACATGTCTCTAACAATTGGTGTATGCACCGGTCTGCAGCTGTCCATCCCAAACCGTCGAAGAACTTTGTTCACATAACACTTCTGATGAATTTTTATGCCGTCTTCTCTGGTTATTATCTCTATACCGAGAAAGTAGGATACAGACTTCGTTGTGATTTTAAATTTTCCCATTAAATCTTTTAGGAAATTTTCGATCAGTTTCTGATTAGACGCAGCTACCAAACCATCATCCACATAAAGAGCCACAATGAGCTTCTCGCTAGACTCCTTTCTTGTGAAAAGGCATGGATCAGCATCAGATACTTTCAAACCGATTTCCTTGAAAAAATCTAATATACGCTTGTTCCAGCACCGAGGTGCCTGCTTCAAACCATAAAGACTTTTCTTCAGTAAACAAACTTTACCAGAGTTATCTTCATAACCTTCCGGCTGTCGCATGTAGATTTCTTCATCAAGATCGCCATACAGAAATGCAGTGGATACATCAAATTGCGCCATATGCATCTGTTCACTAGCGGCAACAGCTAATACACTTCTAATGGTCGCCATTCTTGCTACAGGACTGAATGTTTGATAATAGTCCACGCCTTTCTTCTGACTATATCCCTTAATAACAAGCCTAGCCTTGTATTTGTCGACATTCCCGTCAGCATTTAATTTGACCTTGAAAACCCACTTGCAGGGTATGACTTTCCGACCTTTCGGGAGATCTACCAACACCCAAGTTTTATTTTCCTTCAGAGAATTAATTTCCTTATCCATTGCCTTTCTCCAAAGTTTACTTTCAGCACTTCTTACAGCTTCCTTGTAGCTATTAGGTTCCAGTTGATTACCAGTGCTCTCTCCATTTATATTATATAGAACAAAATCATTGAATTTCTGTGGTAGACGAAGCTATGACCTATCTCTAAGAATACGACTACTTTCCTTTATAATCTCATGTTCATCCATAGTTTCGTGAAGCTCGGCTTCGTCATTTCCTTCTAATACTCCCCCACATTCAATAGTTTGTTCTAGCGTATTACTTCTTGCATCATCAAATATATCTTCATTAATAACAGAAGTGTCTTCTCTATCAATAAACTAATCATTGTTTACAAGACCTTCAATTTCATCATTACCAATTACAATATTCTGAGCATCAGAAGATTCTACATGAGGTAATTTTTCATCATTCCTCTGTTGAGTTATCTCTTGTAATGCTAAAGGTTGCAACTCAATTACATTGCTAGAAAATTCTGCTTGCATGGGTTCAGACACCTTCAGTGATTCACCTCTAAGTAGAGACATATCATCAAACGTCACATCTCTTGACCTTACTAAACCATTAGAACCATTCCAGAGACGATATCCATCATCATTATCATACCCTATTAGAATACATTTCATAGCTTTCTTATGTAATTTTTTCCGAGTCTGTTTAGGCACGTGAGCATAACATGATGACCCAATGATCCTCATGTGTTTAATCCTTGGCTTTATACCAGTCCAAAGTTCTGAGGGTGACTTGTGTTCCACTGACGTTGGCCCTGTCCTGTTTAAAATATATACAGCAGTATTCACCAATTCAGCCCACAAAGTTTCAGGTAACCTTTCATGTGCATGCATCATAGCTCTAGCACATTTCACGATCGTTCTATTATCTCTTTCGCTATTCCCGTTTTGTTCCGGTGTATACGGCATCGTCAGTCTTTGCTTTATTCCATTTTCCACCAATATTTTCCGTACTTGTGCATTGTCGAATTCACCACCATTGTCACTCAATAGTTCCTTAACAACATGACCAGCTACTTTAGCTTCAACTAAAAACTGTTTCAATTTCTCGTGTACTTCCGACTTATTCCGAAGAAAATACACAAAACGATGACGTGTATATTCGTCTTTGAAAAGTACAAAATATCGTAATTTGGAATAACTAGATGGAAAGGGCCCGCAAACATCCGAATGTATGCGTTCTCCAGGTTTCGTAGCTTTATCTCGTACACCAAACTTTTGTCTGTGAGATTTTCCAAAGATACAACCTTCGCATAATTCTTCACTATCTTTTGTTTTTATCCCCAACTCTCTATCTATCAGACTTCTTATATGTCTTTTATTTTGATGACCAAAACGTTCGTGATAAAGTTGCAATATATCAACTTTCTGTACCAAATTTACTGACATATTAATAGGCGGTACGACTCTACAATTCAGCTTGTATAATCCTCCATACCTCTCCCTATTTCCTGTCACAGTAATCATTCCTCCTATTTTCATAGTACAAGTAGTGACCCGTGATTCAAACACGCTACCTGGATTCCTATCTTGCGTCGATAATACAGAAAACAGATTTCTACTTATCTGAGGAACATACCAAACATCTCTCAAAGTCGATCTCACAGTATGTCCATTAACATCGGCCTCAATACAAACTGAACTTTGCCTTGATCACATTTTTATCTGCCGTAGTTACAGTGTGACCTTCACTGAAGTATTCGAAATCTTGAAAGATATCATTCCGCATTGTAACATGATTCGTAGCCCCATTATCCACATTCCAATGGTCACGATCTACAATACTACTTTCAGCCGAATTCACAGTCAGTAACATCATGTTAATTCCCTTACTACTGCAATCTTTTCGAGAAACTACTTTCTTAGGACAGTCTTTCTTAAGGTGACCAACCTCTTTGCAACCAAAGCATTTAAACTTTTTGCTACTGTCCTTGTTATTACTACCTTTGTCTTCACACTTACTAGGTTTCTTCTTGATTCCTTTGACAGCAAAGGCCTTGTGGGCGATATTATGGACTGTATATTGATGTATATGTTGTAATCAAACAATGGGTTTAAAAGGAAAATAACTATAATACAGAAAACTACGAAAAATAGACTACGACAGCAAAGAGCAAAAGTGACAATTGGTGGAAACAAAAGTATAAAAATACAATAAAAATAAAATCTTTAAAAATAACTAAGGAGTTCGCAACATTACCGACCCCTGGTGCAGAAATGCACAAATTCGATAGCAAGCCAGGTTAAACAAAAAAATGAAAACTTAGGGGTTTAACCTGACTAACTTTTTGGAAGGTCGGCGAAGCAAACCGCCTGCTGTCGCTACGTCCACCACCCTAATAACGCCATCGTTGCCTGGGAAAGTTGCTGTGACACGTCCACGGGGCCACGTTCCTCTTGGAAGATTCTCGTCTACGATCACAACCAAATCGCCAATGTTCAAATTACGATCTCTTCGACCGTTTAGACGAGGCTGCATAGTAGGTAATATTTCTTTCACCCACCGATTCCAAAAGTGATCAGCCAGACGAAGCGCCTTCTTCCAATCCGCTCTTCGGACTAAATCAGTATCATCTAACACTCCGGCTGACATCTGATTGGAAGATGAACCGATCAGAAAGTGAAATGGCGTTAAAGTTTCCTCGCTATCGGATTCAACCGAGACATAAGTAAGAGGTCGTGAGTTAACAATTGCTTCGGCTTCAGTCAACAACGTAAGTAGTACCTCCTCTTTAGGTGACCTTTCATGTAGTGTAGCTTTTAATGCAACTTTCACACAGCGAATAAGTCTCTCCCAACAACCTCCAAAAAAAGGCGCAGCAGCTGGGATGAAGCTCCACTTTATGCCTCTATTGGCAGCAAAATCTGGAACCGCAGGTTGGTAAAATTCTCTTAATAAGCGATTGGCTCCTACAAAGTTTGTGCCATTATCGGAGTAAATTGTTTCAGGCGTGCCTCTTCTTGCTATAAATCTCCGTATGCTCATAATAGCTGAATCAGCAGAGAGGTTGTGGACAAGCTCTAAATGGACAGCTCTAGACGTCAGGCAAGTAAATAGCGCAACATAGCGCTTGTCATGTCTTCGACCAATAGTGACGTTAATTGGTCCGAAGTAATCCAATCCCGTGAAAGTAAATGGACGACGATGGTGAGCAAGCCGGTGTGGAGGAAGATTTCCGGTCACTGGATTCAGTGGTTTAGTTTTTCTAATGCGACAGAAGCAACATTGATAAGCCACGCTTCGTACGGTGTTGCGCAAGTGAAGTAACCAAGACCAATATTGTTGTCTGATTTCATTTATAACCGTTTCGTTATTAGCATGACCTGCCTTTCTGTGGAAATATTGAACGAGTAAGCGAACAACGGGATGGTGACCATCTAAGAGTATGGGAAATCTTACATCAGTGTCAACATTTTGTACGGCCTTAATCCTACCATACAGTCGTAAAAGGTTATCTTCTCCCATCATTGGCGACAATTTGCTGAGGCGACTCGATTTTGCGATTGGTTGTGATCTCGTAATGCACTGGATCTCTTCTCTAAAACTGTCTTGTTGAACACGTTGCAAGACATGTCGTTCTGCGGCTTTCATTAGTTCTGCTGTCAAAGATATTAAAGTGGTGGACGCAGAAGAATTACGATAACGAGTGTAGATAAAGTTTTTAGTGCCAGAAATAGATCGATCCAAAAGTGAACGAAATTTTGAAACAACCTGCAAAACGCGAGCAGTGACGCGAAGTAATCGGAGCCAGTCACTGAATCGAGTAAAGTCAGCAATAATTAACACATGAACAGCTAATGGATCCAACTGCTGTCTGCGTTCCTCTTGAACCATGGGCTGACCAGCTGGTTCAATAGGCCAATCTTTCGGGGAACCAAGAAGAAATGGGGGTCCCGTAAACCAACGGTGGTTTGAATTCAAATTAAGGGGTTTCGTGCGTGTGGCATCATCAGCAACGTTCAAGCTAGTTGGAACCCATCTCCAATCCTGAATACGAGAATTCTCAGAAATTTCACCGATTCGATGGGCTACAAATGGCTTGAATGAACGCGCGTCGCTTCTAAGCCAACTAAGAACAGTTAATGAATCCGTCCATAAAACTGTACGGATGGGTTTCTTTTTATGAGATTCCTTGATGGTCACAGCAAGGCGTGAAGCAATCAAAGCAGCTTGTAATTCTAACCGCGGAATTGAAGTTGGTTTTAAAGGTGAAACTCTTGTTTTACTAGCGATGAGAGCGAGCTTGACACAACCATCTGGATACAAAAATCTCCAATAAGCCACACACGCATAAGCAAGCTCGCTTGCATCTGCAAATACATGTAACTCCCTATGCAGAGGTTCACCATTTTGTTTAGCATACCAACGTGGAATTTTGATGGTTGATACATCAAAAAGTTCTTTAAACCATTCGGTCCACTTTGATACTTCTGAAGGAGAAAAGGGCGTATCCCAATCAATATTTGATCTCCACACGTCTTGGAGTAATATGCGACCTTTTCCTACAATTGGACCCAGCAAACCTAACGGGTCATAGACTTTCATAAGGTGTGATAATACCTTACGTTTATTAAGATTGGTTCCCAAAGTAAAATTTTCCAAACCGGTCCTAAAACCTATAAGGTCTGTTGAGGGATCCCAAGAAACGCCTAATACTTTAATACTAGATGAAGTATTACCGAGTGGAACCTCCTCAGCGTGCGCGGCGCGAAGTTCCTCGGGAATTAGTCTCAACGCTTCTTTATTATTAGACAGCCAACCACGCATTTCGAAGCAAGCTTTACTATGGACAGTAACTATATCAAAAGCAAGCTGTGCGGCCTGATCCTCATTATCCAAACTACCAAGATAGTCGTCCATATAATGGTCATGTATAATTGCATCAACCGCTTCTGGATACCGATCTTGATAAAAAATTGCGTTTTTATTTTTGATATATAGAGCGATAAATGGACTAGAAGTCGCTCCAAAAATAACCGCACACATTCTATATTCTTTTAAAGGTGCATCTTTAATTGAATTGTCACGCCACAAGAAGCGTAAAGCATCTCTATCCTGCTCTCTAATGCGTATTTGAGGGAACATTTCTTTGATATCTGCCGTCAAAGCAATGCGACCTTCTCTAAATCTAAAAAGGATACCAACTAAATTTTCTAAAAGATCAGGTCCCTGAAGAAGAAGAGAATTCAATGAGACGCCTTGATTTGTAGCCGCTGCATCATGCACGACTCTAAGCTTACGCTTTTGTGGGTGGTAAACCCCAAAATGTGGTAAGTACAGTCTATAATTTTGCGTAGAACTATTCTTATAATGTAAGGAATCAGAGGTACTAATACGCTTACAATTATAGTAAGTAATAGGCTTACATTCCTCTGCATACTCTTTAACTATCATATTATCTATGAATTTTCTATATGCTTCAGCAAAATCACGCTCACGATTCATTCGTCTTTCCAAAGTTAAGAAACGTGACATAGCTTGTGAATAGCTATCTGGAATTTGTTTAATATTGTCACGCCAAGGAAGACCTACCTCAAATCTGCCAGTCGGTAATCGTTTGGCAGTAAATTCTAAAATCTCTAAGGCGCGTAAATCCTGTTTGCTATGTAATGTTTCACGTTTAGAAATACCTAATGAGTCTATTTTATATTGCTCTTTAACAAGGAGCTCTAATCGTTCATCGTCAGAAATATCTGTTTTATCTAAAAATTGACAATGATTAATAAATTCAATAGGTTTAGTTTTACTACAACTTATTCCATATAATGTCCAACCTAACAAAGTACGACAAGCCACAGGTTCATTGCGTTTTCCTATACGAACTTCACGAGTTATTGACAAATGCCAATCTTCGGCACCGATAAGTACGGTCGGTGTAGCATTATTATATGTTAAGAAGTCAGCTAAATCACATAAATGACTATAAGATGTCAAAGTCTCTTTTGACAAGGATTGCGCATGTAAACTAAGTGACACCATAGCTCTGGCTCGTTTTACTAAATAAATGTCAGACATAAACTTACCTTTTATATGGAAATCTACGTAACTTATAGTAGTGTTCTTATGTAGACCACCTATGCCATTAACAGTAATAGGTTCCTGAGGACCCGATAATCCAATTTGAGTGGCAACACTAGCATCAATCAATGTAGCCGTGCTACCATCGTCTAGCAAAGCGTATGTGTCTAAGCTACCAGTTGGACCGAAAATAGTAATAGGTAATACTTTTAATAAAACATTAGAAGTTGAAGGAGAATGTTCAGTTTGCCATACGCCGGTATTACTAATAATAACCTTATCCTCCAAAGGTGCAGTGGTAGAAGGTGAGGATACGTCTTGAGTCGCAGTGGCACACACTGTGTCATTTATATGCAGTGTATCAGGTGCAGGTGGTGATATTGACATATCCTGTCTACCATGAAGTAGAGGATGATGCCGAAAGGAGCAGCCATTAATACCACAAGGATTTACCTTACACGTCTTCCATAGATGTGAAGAGCGACGTAGACATCTGTAGCAAACCTTGAACTCTCGCAACCAACTCCATCTTTCATCGACTGTCAAGATTTTGAATTCCTCACAAGATGTAATGTTGTGATTCTTCTTACAATAAATACATTCTATCTTAGAATTTGTTTTAATTTTAGATTGAGAAGTAGAATGAATAATTTCACGTCTGAATTGTTTATTAGCAACTTGACCTACGTGCAATTGTTGTGTTGCTAAAGAGAGAGCCAATTCAGGAGATAAAGCGAAGTTAGTATGACGCTCGTGTTCACGCGTCAAAAATTGTGACAAAACTTCTAGCTTAGAAAGGTGCGGGTTCGACCTACTAAATTCTGATGCATAATCACTCCATCTCATTTTAGTGTTAGGGTTCAATTTTCCTAAAATGACATGAAATAATTCTGGTGAATGTAAATATTCACTATGATTGAGTAGTTTTATAGTAGAAAGACTATTCCGTACTTTATTAGCAATAGTACTTAACTCTTTAAGATCGTTACCTAATCGAGGTAGCGACTTCAATAATTGTACCTCACTGAAGACAATCATTTCTGGTGACGCAAAACTTCGTTCGAGTGCGCACATGATCTCTTCTGGATCCTCTGCAGAGACGAGAAGCGAAGCGACGGCTTCTCGTGCGGGTCCACGAAGCGCATTTTGTAAACGCGCAACGTTCTCTACAGGGGAATAAAATGATTTAGTACTAGCAAATATTTTTTTGAATTGTAACCACAGTAATGGACTGCCTGTAAAAGGGAACAACTCTATCCTAGAATGTTTAGGCATGTTGTGAGCTGTGGCTAAGGCTTTCGCTGCGTCTGCCATGTTGGCCGTAATTTGTAAAAATAACTGAGAATTGACATCATTGTTACCAACGGTCACGTGGTCACGTTCCCCTACGGGATGTACCAGAAAGGGTGGCGATACACTCGCCTGTACTGGTACATGAGAAACAGAACCTACGCTCGTTGAACAGGTGAGGTGTGCTGCTAATTGTGGAGCAGCAGCCTGAGGAGCTACTGGCGCGATGGCCGAATAACTAGGCTGTGAGACCTCATGACGTTCATCTCTAGTGTCGTGTATTTCAATATTACAATTATTTTTTACCCATTGTTCCGTTCTGGTCATACGAGTAGAGTTGCTCCTACTTCGCCTGCTACCTTTGGAGTCTGCTTCAGCACTAATTTGCTCCAGCTCGGCACGGTATTCAGCATCTTCGACTTCCGCAAGATGTCGTGCGAGTGCGGCCTCACGTTCATACTGGCGACGCTTGTGGACAGCTTCAGCAGCAGCCATCCGCGCTTTCACGCTCAAAGACGAAACACGAGATTTCGACTGCGCGGATCGCAAGCTGCAAGCTTGATCACCTTCATCTGCACAGACTCTATCTAAGCCTACATGAGACGGCTCGGCGTGAGATGTAGTAGAAGCGACGTTATGCGATGACATGATTTTACCTTTACTACGCGTGATCATTATATGAACTATACGATACTGCTATGTATGAACACTACTACGTACGAAACTAAATACGGAATGAAAATGTTAGGTGTGATAGTTTACCGAAGAAGGACCAAAAATGTGGGCGATATTATGGACTGTATATTGATGTATATGTTGTAATCAAACAATGGGTTTAAAAGGAAAATAACTATAATACAGAAAACTACGAAAAATAGACTACGACAGCAAAGAGCAAAAGTGACAATTGGTGGAAACAAAAGTATAAAAATACAATAAAAATAAAATCTTTAAAAATAACTAAGGAGTTCGCAACAGGCCTCACAACTAGATTCACTGTCTACATTGTTACCGAGTGCCTTTTCATGCGCACACAGCTGACTTGTGATATTCTCTATATTCCTATCCTTCTTAGACATTAACAGCCAACTTGACTTGAATGAAAAATATGTTTCAGGTAAAGTATCCAAGATTTTACAAATTAATAGAACTTCAGGTAAATCCTTACCTTCCTCTTCTTTCATTAATTCTTGCTTGAGCTTATACCACAGATTTTTCAACTTCGAGATGTGTGAAGCTATGTCATCAGCAGGATTTTTCTTATATCTGAAAAGAAGAAGCTGATCAAGTGGTCGGAAAGGCACAACGTGGTCATCATCCTGCGTGAGTGATGGTTTAATGGGGGCGTGTCTTATCAAGGAGCCACAAAACTATTTTTTTTTTTTAAAAAGGTGTGAAAACTTCAGCCAAAGTGTATTAAGGTACAATTTTGGATCATATTGTGAAATCTTTCAGTAATACACTTTAAAAATATACCGTGGACTTTCCAGCAGGCCTCTGCACCTGGTCACAAGGCACGAATTACCCAAGCCTGGCTTGAAACCAACGTTTCGGACTTTATAAGAGCTGAAGACTGGCTTTCATCTAGCGTAGTCCTCAACCCTTTAGTCTTCAAATTATGGTCAGTTTTAGAGGACATGGCCTGCTCTAAAAGACACGGCGATATTGAGTCTCTTAAAAAATTTTTGGAGCAAACAGTGGCGAAATTTCCCTAAAGAAATAGTGAGTAAATCTATAGATTCGTAGCCAGACAGATTAAAGGCCTGTATAAGACCCAAAGGTGGCCATTTCGAAGTTTTTTTATTTTGTACAGAGACTTTAATAAATTCATAGGTATAAGTTTTATCAAGGTATATTACATGACTTCATAAAAAAAAAATGCATTTTCATTTGTATGTATCATCATTGTATCAGCATTTAACTGTCCACCGTTGAACCCCTGCTGCCTTCCCCTTGGGGAGTATTGCTATCCTTCTGTGGCGTCTGTAAATAAATATTGTAAATATTCATCTCATAGCCACTTGTCAACATCATTACTTTCTTCTCCATCAAGTAGGTTAATTTAATTGTACATAGATATTTCACCTCTTTCTATCTTTCGCACTGGACGTACAGACATGACAGCGACGTTCACTTCTCACATTCATTTCTGCTGTCATTCTCTCATTATATGAAAATCAATAATATAATCAAGTTGGTTGTTACTTATTTCGTCCAAACAACTACATTTCCACCAAAAGCTCCCTTTCTCGCCTCTTACGACGGGGGAAAGGAAGGGGTGGCCCATTCTGCGTCGGAGCCGACACGGCAAGTTATTACTGTGTGTTTAAGTGCAATAAAGAATATATTTATATATATATATATATATATATATATATATGTATGTATAATGAACCGTTCGCCACGGAACCCTAATAAATTCCGCAACAAACAGCACAGCTTATCACCCAGTGACATGATATTACACTCGGTCAAAGTGGCAGCACGAATATCGCCTCAACTAGACGAGGTCTTATTTTCCACGGACACTTCAGACTACGTCTTCCGTTTACGTAAACTCGCGGTGACTGCAATCTCCCGCGTCGCGTCGCAATTAGAGATATTTTTCATGATTAATGACTTTCATTTACAAAGATCTGCCATCATCTAGTCACGTCTCCTTACGAGACGCTTCAGTTGGTGGCGCTTTACAACCTCCCTATACCGGGGAGAAAGGGATTGTTGGCAATGGAGTTTGACAGCCCCATTACTAGCAATACGCCTTATTAGGTCGACCTCCACGTGGTTCCCCCTGGACATCGTGAACAATTCTTGTTGAATTCGTCACGATGGGCTAACTGACCTGCTTCATCCTCACCTATCATCCTTCACTGGTGCCCCGCCGGTGTGTACGATAGCGCGGGTGGGGTTACCATATCATTATCATCCAATAAAAAAATAAAAAAAAACCTCCCCATACCGGGTCATACGAAGTGGTCGAATGTAACGAACGTAACGTAAAGGTAAATCAGCCACGTTATCCATAGACCGCCTTAAACCGGCCTACATACCGACAGACCCATCCCCTTCGCCACAATCCGTATCTATTCTCAGTCCCAACCATACACCTAACACCTAAACCTGCTCAGGGCACCATTAAAAAGACTCGATCGGGACGCGTACTTCTATTTCCTGACCATAATTTCCATTTGTCCATAATTTTTCTGGCTACCCGATCATGAAATGTGGCCGTGAGCATATTTTTCATCGCCCACAGTTACGATCTTTGGAGGGGAGTTTTTTTTTTTTTTTATAAAACTTAGAATGGCAAACAAGCTGACGGCTCACCTGATGGAAAGTGGTAACCGTCGCCTATAGACATGAGCAGTACCATGCACATAACAGAGTATACTGTTTCGCCCATGATACCCCCCCAGTGATATAGACTACTCATAATTATGCCTACATAATTATTATATTATTATAATTATAATAAATACAAACATACATAATTTATATTTATCCTAATGTATAAATACCACATAAATATATACATTTTTTTTTTGATGGGTGAATATGGTATGGTAACCCCGCCTGCGCTAACGGGATACGCTGGCGGAGCACCAGTGAAGGGTGATAGGTGAGAATGAAAACAGGCCAGTTAGCCCATCATGATGAATTCATCGGGAATTAACCATGATAGTTTCCAGGGGGAGCCGCGAGGAGGTCGACCTGGTTGGGTATATTGCTAGCAATGGAATTCTCAGTCTCCATTACTAACAATCCCTTTCCCCCCTAAATATATACATTTGTATTATTACTAAATCTTTCTATTTAAAATTACAACTATTATACAATACATATTAAAATTGGGGGGAAAGGGATTGTTAGTGATGGAGACTGAGAATCCCATTGCTAGCAATATACCCAACCAGGTCGACCTCCTCGCGGTTCTCCCTGGAAACTATCATGGTTAACTCCTGATGAATTCATCGTGATGTGCTAACTGGCCTGTTTTCATTCTCATCTATCACCCTTCACTGGTGCTCCGCCAGCGTATCCCGTTAGCGCAGGCGGGGTTACCATACCATTTTCACCCAGCAAAAAAAAAAAACATTAAAAATATCTACAATAAGATATCTTTCACTAGGTGTCATGTCGTATAGGGAGATCAAGGATATGGCCTGAGATAGAGCTGGCTGGAGGAAAATTCATGAATTAGTTGCACCGACAAGAGGAAACTCTTAAATGAAAAAAAAAAAAGATATCGTTAAATATTAATTCTGCACCCGACAAAAATGTCTGATCGGACGGTTGTGCATTGGAACTCTGCGCAAAACCGATTCTTAGCTGCTATTCCGGGGCTACTGCGTGAGCACTGTTTTTTTTATATGGCCCCGCTCCCCTTTTAGCATTTAGGTGATTTTCAATTAGGCTGTGTAACTTGGAGAAAAATGATCGTAGAGACATTTAAAAAAAAAAAAGCAAATCGTAACTCTATGTGTCTAATTTGTCTAGTTTTTCGATCTAAACTCGAAAAATTTTCGAGTGAGGCACAACAATCATTTTTTTTATTAAAAAATCTTGTATTTTTTTTTTGGACTACATTTAAACGCATTTATTTTACTCATGCTATAAATAAATTATTTCATCACTAAGTACAGTTTACGTAGACAATATTTGGTCTTTTAATGATTAAAATTGGACGTTTTGTTTTGAAGTTATGGCGAAATTAAAATAGTAAGATTTTTTTTATACATCTCAGAATGGCAAACAAGCTAACGGCCCACCTGATGGAAAGTGGATCCACGCGGGCGAAGCCACGGGCGAAAGCTAGTTGTAATATAATGTAGATTAAATACAGTTTAACATTTGTATACCTCTGCGGGGTGCTGCATGTTGTGTACCTACTTGTATATGTAACGTCTTATTTTATCATGTAATAAGGAATACATGTGGGAACACACACATACAGGTGAATAGCCATACAGTTGTGATGTGTGTAAGAAACGTTTTAGTATAGGAGATGACCTGGATTCTCTTTACCTCATTATAGAAATAAAACAAACCCTTATATAATTAGATAATGCTTTAACAAAAAAATTTAAGTCCCCTTGAGAAAGAGTGGACCCTTTTTTAATCCCCTTTCTCCGACCCCCTTTAATCTCTTCCTCTTTTAATATTTTATTCACTGCTGAAGAGCATACCTCCACACAATGCATAAAATGTGTATTTATACAATTTAGACTTTGGTGATGTCGTCACAAATGTTCAGAAACTTTTATATTGTCTATGGGTCTTGACGCCAAAAATATTTCTTCACAAGTAACACATTCATTATATTGGATGTAAATTTCATATGTAAACCCACATATACACATGCCTGAGCTTCACCAGATATGATGATGATCATCATGGTGTGTGAATCTGTACCGAAATTAGAGTAATTTAGATTATATAGATAGTCTCCATAGAAATGCTTGTAGAAAAACGGGTCAACTTTTTCATACAATTTTGCGTGATAAATAGTTATGAGTGTTTCCGGAACTTCTTCTATAATTTCTATATTTATTTTTTATTTTATAATTTTTGCATAATTTTAATGCATAAACACTCATTTTCAAATTTAATTTCAAATGAAATTCAATTTAGCCAGAAAACCTCCACGGCCGTATTAAAGATTCCCGCGCTGTTTTGTAGTGTTGCCAATACCTTAAAGTTAAAAGTGACACTCTAGACTTAGAACAAGTAATTACATAAAAGGAATTACAAAATAAAACTACAAATCATATGGTTGTCTCCTTCTTCTCCTGCATATATAACTAGTTAAAGATGGACGAACGATACACTATCTATTGCTAGTTTTCTCAATTTAATTTAAAAAAGAAAGGAGGCAACCATTGATTTAAAATTTTTATTTTTCATTATAATTCGTTGTAAGGTCGAAAGTCTCTTTAATCTGTGGTGTCGATTTGACAGCTGTCGCATGACAGAGACTAACCATATACAAAATCAATTTTGCTTTATCTATTCCATTTATTTTATTTACATATTAATTAAAAATACTTTACATATTAACTAAAAGAACTTTATTTGGCATGTTTTAAAATACAAGTAATCATCAGTAAAGTTGAGCAAAATATCGGTAATATTTAACATATCTGTAAGAACAGTCCAACCGCCGAGATGTATTGTGAAAGTGTGGTCCAGGAACACACAGTGAGCCAGCCGGATGTGACCGCCATACGTGTCAAGCAGGAGGCTCGGGAGCCACAGTCGGATACTGATACAGTCATTGTACCAGGGGCTGGTGCACATGTCTGTTGCAGAATTAAACAAGAGATCCTCCCCATATTTTACGAAAAGACTCCAGAGTCCAGAACAGAAGAAGACACAGTGCTGAAACAATCGATTAAACAAGAAATCAGCGAGTACGATGTAGATATAACTGGAGTTGTGAAGACAGAGTGTGTTGCCACTGAGGAAACGGCACATATAAACATATTCTCTGGTGAAGACAGTCAGCCACCTACAAAACAGTATGAGAGTTGTAGCACTGAACAAGAGACGAGTGAACTTGATGTCGTTCAGTATGGAGTAGACGGAGCTGGAGTTGTAAAGTCGGAGTGTGTTGACGCAACTGAGCAGTCAGCAGTAGGCCACCACACATGTTCAGGCAAGGAAAAAGATAATCTCATAAAACTGTACGAGGATCATGAAATAAAGAGCGAGTTGGTTATAGGACCAATGCTTGTACAAACAGAGACAGCATCTGGAGCTGTAAACCATTTGTCACATTCAAAAGATGGTTGTCAAAATGTGCTGTATACTGAGGATGATGTCCACATATCCAAGCACCAAGATAGGACAGTGGCAACTGGTACATTGTACTCATGTGATATATGCAGAGAGACATTCAAATCCTATAATGCAATAGAACACCATATGTCAGTACATACTGGCCAGAAATATAATAATTCTAAAAATACTTCAAATGATTCTGAATTTAGTAATGGCGGAAAGCCACACAGATGTGAAGTGTGTAAGAGGTGCTATAGTTTAATTGGACATTTAAAGACACATATGCAAATACATACAGGAGAAAGACCATACAGTTGTGATGTGTGCAAGAAATGTTTTAGTAGACATGAACATTTGAAGGTACATATGCGAACACATACAGGGGAAAAGCCATACAGTTGTGATGTGTGTAAAAATTGTTTTAGTACACAGTCACAATTTAAGAGACATGTCCGTACACATACGGGAGAGAAGCCATACAGTTGTGATGTATGTAAGAAATGTTTTAGTGCACATGAAAATTTGAAGATACATATGAGATCACACACAGGAGAAAAGCCATATACTTGTGATGTATGTAAAAAATGTTTTAGTACAAGTGGAAATTTGAAGATACATATGCAGACACATACAGGAGAAAATCCATACAGTTGTGATATGTGTAAGAAATGTTTCAGTACACATGAACATTTGAAAGTACATGTCCGTACACATACAGGAGAAAAGCCATACAGTTGTGATGTGTGTAAAAAGTGTTTTGATACAACTGGACATTTGAGGATACATATGAGAACACATACTGGAGAAAAGCCATACAGTTGTGATATATGCAAAAGATGTTTTAGTACACATGATCATTTAAAAACACATAAGCGGACACATACAGGAGAAAAGCCATACAGTTGTGATATATGTAAGAAATGTTTTAGTAGACATGGACTTTTGAAGATGCATATACGTACACATACAGGAGAAAAGCCATACAATTGTAGCATGTGTAAGAAATGTTTTAATACAAAGGCAGATTTGGAGATACATATGCGATCACATACAGGAGAGAAGCCATACACTTGTGATGTGTGTAAGAAGTGTTTTACTGCACATAGATATTTGAAGCTACACATGCAATTACATACAGAAGATAAGCCATACAGTTGTAATGTTTGTAAAAAATGTTTTAGAACACAGTCATATTTGAAGAGACATATGAGTGTACATACAGGAGAATAGCCATATAGTCTACAAACTACATAGAGATGCTAAGAGGAACAGCTTAGCTACATTGAAATTGGCCAATAGTGGGACTCTAGAACTATGTATGACAATTTTTTTTTTAATTACAATGTAGTAAGCTCAAAAAAGTATCTAGCTCCCATTTTTGTAATTTAAACGCGAGGAAAATTCATAAAAATAAAAGCCAAATAAATTATTTATTTATTTTAATTTATTAAATGGTTTCTGCTTATTTGGCAATTTTATTACTAACCTAATCCTCCAAGTAGCCATATCTGTGCCTCTTAATATATATGAATATTTTTTTGTTATTATTAAAAAGGCCGGCAGCACACCTGCAATTCCGCTGGTGTTGTGGGTGATCATGGGCGGCGGTAGTCACTTACCATCAGGTGAGCCGCATGCTCGTTTGCCCCCTGTGTTGTAAAAAAAATAGTACAAAAAGACTTTCATATATAGACAAATTGAGAAAGTTAAATGAATACATGGCAGCACCAAATTACTCCAAGCCCATTTCACTTTTCGCCAAACATTTCCCCAACAATTATATTTCTCCAAAATGAAAATGTTTACCCAAAGCTGGGGGAAAAATATTTAGTCTGGCAATGTGGGCGCACACTGAAATGTTGCAACATTTTTTTGTGCCAAACCTAAAGACGAGTAGAACAATAATTATAATATTGTATATAACTATAGTTATATTTAATAAAGAAATATAATTCTAGAACCACCTTTATTAGTAAACAGTTATGACAAATATACCGTTCTGGGGAGAAAGGGATTGTTAGTAATGGAGACTGAGAATCCTATTGCTAGCAATATACCCAACCAGGTCGACCTCCTCGCGGTTCTCCCTGGAAACTATCATGGTTAATTTCTGATGAATTCATCATGATGGGCTAACTGGCCTGTTTTCATTCTTATCTATCACCCTTCACTGGTGCTCCGCCAGCGTATCCCGTTAGCGCAGGCGCGGTTACCATATCATTTTCACCCATCAAAAAAAAAAAATATATACCGCTCTATCTGCCCCTAGCACCGTATTCCGGACGATCACCCGATTATAGTGTAAATAGTGATATTAAAATAGTTCATAGAATAGTGTTCAAAAACATTGTTAACCAATAGGAAAAGAAACAATTTCGCTTCAATTTGTAAATTACTGTAATTCGTTGACTGGCCAACCTTGGCTAGTACACAGAGCTAAGTTGCACCTGGGGGAGCGGCTGGTGAATAATGTTTCTCTTCACCAAAACAGCCAACCAGCGATATGACTTCTGGCTGTCCGACGTCTCATCTTTGCGGTATATGTGGTATCCCAGTATGTGGAGTATGTCGACAGCCCCTAATAATGTCTCTGATATGAGACATACGTTGAATCTACACCCCACAAGCAACAGTCTTAGTATAACTTTCTTTAGGCCAACGTATCATCCGCATACCAGTTAGATAGATTATTCTTGAGCTAGTCTCACTAAACACGCGGTGATAGCCGTCAGAGGATCTGCGCCTGACTGCATCGCAAGGAGTATCTCAAGATCATAATAATGGTTTTAATCAGGTCTCCTGAGTTGTCAAAGATACTATCCTTAGTGGGCTGCTTCGACAACTGCGCGTAAAATATGCATCACGGGCGACCCTGGCGGGCTTTTATTTGTCGGACGTATTCGGGTTCATATCCGAGCTCCATCAAGGCTTCTGAGATCTCCTCTACAGGTGTGTCCGCTGGGAAACCGGGGTGGCCACTTTCAAACTTTTTTACCTGGTAACTGGTGCGAGAACCAGCCGATCTTTTCGCTCTTCTTCAAGTCAGAGAGGTATCTCTGGATGATGTGGTACTCTTTTTCTGACTTGGAGGAAAATCTCATCCCCTTTCCATACGGGCGTGCGTACGGAACGTATTGTAATTTTTGCTTCAACACTCTGCAGTGATGCACCCAATCCAGCAGGTGTTCTACTATGAGCGGAGGGATTCTATTATGTTTCGCTGCTGTTTTCGGCGATGATATCGCAGGTGCAGCGGACGCGAACATTACAGAGAATAGTGTCGGTGCTCTCGTCGCGTCTGCGTATGAGTGGGCTGACTTGCTTGGGTCGGTGAGCTCCGTGATTCTAGGCCTGTGAGGCATCGGTGTGGCTGGAGCGAAGGTGACGGCATCCTGACAGGGGCGCTTGTGTCCTTCCTCCGATCCATGTGAGCTCCTGGTTCTACAGGCCGTTCCTGTTAGTTGAAATCGCCGGCCCATGCTTATAGTCAACTCCATTTCCTCTATAGGGAGCGATGGCCCTTAAGGCATGCAGTTTCATCCTCCACCTAGGCAGCGATTCTCTCCTTCATGTCTTGAGAGAGAAGGTCTGTGGCCAGCACTTGCCCCAAGATTCGCTAGACGAATTCGGAATGCTAGACGCACCCGGGCGCCGCGCGAGCGGTCTTTCCCCAGCGGAGGGCTCTCGTGCTCGTACTCGTGCCGTGTAACAGCGGACATTGTCGTGCATTAACACGAAGTCTTCGCCGACAAACCCTGCGTAGGGCACAACATGATCGAGTAGGATACCGCTAGAAGAACTGCCGCCATACGCCACTGTTTCAGCAAAACAGCATTGGGAAAATAGTTCCTCCGGCCAAATGCCCCCCCCCCCCCATGAACAAAACAATCTACCATCTGATTCTACTATCAAAAAAATGATTTATTCAAAATAATAGGCCCTGTTACACAATAATACAGAACATTTAGAAAATTAAAATAATTAATTTATTTTAATTTTCACACACACGCAAACATTTCACTCAATACACATTATTCATACATTCATTTTTAAAATATAAGAAATACCAAGAATACTTACCTCACAATACTTGTACTGATATAATAATGTAGATGTTCAGTACTATATTGTAACACTCCGGAGAGAGCCTGCAGATCTGTAGTACAGGTTTCGACCTAGTTCAGACTCCAGACTCTCACAAGGATAATAATTTTAAGTTAAAATACTAAATACAGTCACACAATGTAAAATATTCCTTGTGAGTAGAAAATAAAGATTATTATTTATTTATTTATTTTAGTTTATTTTCATCAATTTTTCTCTCATTTCCCTACATAGTAATTAAAAGATAAACTACTGTCATATAGGATCTAGAATCCCACCATTGGTCCATTTCAATGTAGCTAGGCTGTTCCTCTGATACATTAGCATTTCTATGTAGTTTGTAGACTATATGGCTATTCTCCTGTATGTACACTCATATGTCTCTTCAAATGTGACCGTGTTCTAAAACATTTTTGACAGACATTACAACTGTATGGCTTATCTTCTGTATGTAATTGCGTGTGTAGCTTCAAATATCTATGTGAAGTGAAACACTTCTTACACACATCACAACTGTATGGCTTCTCTCCTGTATGTGTACGTATATGTATCTCCAAATCTGCCTTTGTATTAAAACATTTCTTACACATGCTACAATTGTATGGCTTTTCTCCTGTATGTGTACGTATATGATTCTTCAAAAGTCCATGTCTACTAAAACATTTCTTACATATATCACAACTGTATGGCTTTTCTCCTGTATGTGTACGTATATGTACCTTCAAATTTTCATTACTATTAAAACATTTCTTACACATGCTACAATTGTATGGCTTTTCTCCTGTATGTGTACGTATATGTATTTTCAAGAGTCCATGTGTACTGAAACATTTCTTACACATATCACAACTGTATGGCTTTTCTCCTGTATGTATTTGCATATGTCTTTTCAAATATCTACTTGTACGAAAACATTTTTTACATACGTCACAAGTATATGGCTTTTCCCTTGTATGTACACTCATATGTCTCTTCAAACTTTCATTGGTACTAAAACATTTCTTGCACACATCACAACTGTATGGCTTCTCTCCTGTATGTGTTTGCATATGTTTCTTCAAATTTCCAGATTTATTAAAACACTTCTTACACACATCACAACTGTATGGCTTCTCTCCTGTATGTAATAGCATATGTTTTTTCAAATCTCCGGATGACTTAAAACATTTCTTACATACAACACAACTGTATGGCTTCTCTCCTGTATGTGTTTGCATATGTTTCTTCAAATTTCCAGATTTATTAAAACACTTCTTACACACATGACAACTGTATGGCTTCTCTCCTGTATGTGTTCTCATATGTCCCTTTAAATATTCATTTCTACTAAAACATTTCTTACACACATCACAACTGTATGGCTTTTCTCCTGTATGTGTTCTCATATGTACCTTCAAATGTTCACTTTTACTGAAACATTTCTTACACACATCACAAATGTATGGCCTTTTCCCTGTATGTGTACGTATATGCATTTTTAAATATATATGTGTATTAAAACATTTATCACACACATCACACTTGTATGATTTTTCTCTTGTATGTGTTTGCATATGTACTTTTAAACAACCATGTGAACTATAACACTTCTTGCATTCTTTACATCTGTATGGCTCTCCACGAGTATCCAATTTAGGTTTAAAAGCAGTTTTGCAATTTTTATATGATTTCTGGCCCATATGTACTGACATATGGTGTTCTATTGCATTATAGGATTTGAATGTCTCTCTGCATATATCACATGAGTACAATGTACCAGTTGCCACTGTCCTATCTTGGTGCTTGGATATGTGGACATCATCCTCAGTATTCAGCACATTTTTACAACCATCTTTTGAACGTGACAAATGGTTTGCAGCTCCAGAAGCTGTCCCTGTTTGAACAACTGTTGGTCCTATAACCAACTCACTCTTTATTGCATGATCCTCATACAGTTTTATGAGATTATCTTTTTCCTTGCCTGAACATGTGTGGTGGCCTACTGCTGAATGCTCAGTTGCGTCAACACACTCCGACTTTACAACTCCAGCTCCGTCTACACCATACTGAACGACATCAAGTTTACTCGTCTCTTGTTCAGTGTTACAACTCTCATACTGTTTTGTTGGTGTTTTAGCAGTGGCAACACACTCTGTCTTCACAACTCCAGTTATATCTACATCGTACTCGATGATTTCTTGTTTAATCGATTGTTTCAGCACTGTGTCTTCTTCTGGTCTGGACTCTGGAGACTCTTCGTAAAATATGGGGAGGATCTCTTGTTTAATTCTGCAACAGACATGTGCACCAGCTCCAGGTACAATGACTGCATCAGTATCCGACTGTGGCTCCCGAACCTCCTGCTTGACACGTACGGCGGTCACATCCGGCTGGCTCACCGTCTGTTCCAGGACCACACTTTTACAATACATCTCGGCGGTTGGACTGTTCTTACAGATATGTTAAATACCAATATTTTGCTTAACTTTACTGATGATTATTTGTATTTTAAAATATGTCAATTAAATAGTATTAAAAGTATTTATAAATATGTAAATATATAAGAAAGTTATTGTTGACAGCTGTCAACTCCCCACCACAGATTACAGAGACCAAAGAGTATATAACTAAGAGAAAACTGTCTCGACAGCATTCTTTTTTTTATTAATATTTATAACTTGTTTGGCGTATTACTGACCATTTAGAGATGGGCAATCCACCTGGGTGGGTTTAAAGTCTGGTGGGTAAAAACCGGGTGTTTTGGGTTTATTGGGTTTAAACCCCATAAACACCCAAATTTTTGGGTGTTTATGATTTTGTACTTCATCATCGTCATCTCAGCCGCAAGACGTCCACTATACTGGACATAGACATATTATTATTATGCAGGACATATTATTATGCAGCCTACAGAATAAAAAACTTTTAATTTGATTTTGAGTTTATTAAGAAAGAGATGAAAGTAAAATGTAAAACTACAGTCAATCACTGTCAGATTCAGAGTTATTACAAGCGATGAATTGTATAGGTTCGATAGGCTCTATTTCGTCTAAACTGTTATGTTCATTTACTTGCTCAATGAAAGCTTCTAAGGTATTTTCTTCATTAAACTGAATGTCCTCGCATTCAGCTTTATGTTTAAGATTCCAGTTATAACAAATGAATGAAATTTTTTCAGTTCTTTCAGTTGTAAGTCGATTTCTTTTGTTATTATGTATGTAGCCTTGGATACTAAAGGAACGCTCAGTGGCTGCCGAAGTACAGGGAGCTGATAGAATACGAATCGCTACTTTGCTTAACTCAGTGGAACCACAAATACCTTTCCACCATATTAGGGGCTCAATGCTATCTAATGAGCTCCATACAAATCCTCTGGCCCAAAAGTTTTCTTTAGCTTTATAACACGCCAAATCTGCCATTACATTTGACAAACTTAAGTGTTGGCTTAAATTGTAGATAAACTCCATACCCTTAAGTTCTTCCTCTTGAGTAAGTTCGACTCCTAGAGTCCTGGGGTCTAGAATATATGCTGCAAAATGTATTGGCCTCATTGCCATATTGCATCTTGAAGATACTGATGTTAGAATCTGCTGTTTGCTTTCTTCGCTCAATGTCGAAATCTCATTTAATGCAAAACGTATCTTAGCTTGTACATCTCTAAATGTAATGTATGTGCGATGCAAACGATTCTGGTCGCTCTCTAAGTAAAATATGCTTTCAGTGACTGGTTCCAAAATACTTATACATTCCCCTGTCTTCGTCCAGAAATCATCACTTAGAATTAAATCTTTAATATCTCTTGAAATTACCACATCTTCTCTAACTGTTAATATTTGCAAAGCTATCTTATTTGCTTTCAAACTTTTTAACGAAGTAACATGACTTCCCCATCTTGTAGCACAAGGCAATTTTAGTGTTTGTGTAGAATCTTCACCCTGCCTTGATTTTATCAACAAGGAACTTAATCGTTGACTCCTTTTAACAGTTTTTATTATATTTATGGCTTGCATAATAAACACAGTTACTTCTTGTATCTTTACAATATCTTGGCACAACAAGTTAAGGATATGTGCACAGCAACCGAGAGGAACAACATGTGGATATTTGAGTTTTGTTAATTCGAATGCCTTTTGTATATTTCTAGCGTTATCGCCAATAAGTACAAGAAACTTATTTGCTCCATACACTTTCATTACTTTTTCAACTTCTTGGCTAAGGTATTCACTAGTGTGAGGATTACTTTCTGTATTCAAACTTTTAACGTATGCAGGTTGAGGTTTTGATATAAGAAAGTTTATTATTCCTTCATTTCTTAAATTAGACCAGCCATCGCACTGAAGGTGTAAGTAACTACAAGCATTTAGTTCCTCATTTAACTCAAAACGCATTTCTCTATATATTTTATCTAAGTATTTTGTCGCTAAAGCTTTACGTGAAGGTATTTTAAATTTTGGTTGCAATTTTTCGAAAAATTGTATCCATAAAGGATGTTGCACCATCGATAATGGCGTCCCTGTTACAAATATAGCTCTCGCTAATTCTGTTTTTATATGATCATCGGTGTCTTGAAACTCAGCATTTATTGTAGTGTTAGCAGACGACGAGGGGCTTATAAAAGAATCATTTGTCTCTATCTCTGACAGTCCAGACATTTTGGTTTTGGACGAGCTATCTTTTATAAGTTTCATAGAGTCTTTTAATGTTTCTGGAGATTTTGGACAAGTGATAAGATGTTGAAGCATTTTGGCAGCATTACTGAATTTGTAGACCTTATTACAAAGCTTGCAAGAAACAGACTTGTTTGGTAAAGTACGGTAGTGCTCCCATATGCGTAAATCTTTAGGTCTCCCCATTGAACCTAAAAAAATGAACGATGATTAGTTGGTCTGACGAAAATTCAACAATAGAGTGCCTATTTTTTTACAATGATTATTTCTTGTTATTTACAATAAATTTATTAAAAAAATAATAAAATAAATACAAAAAACCTTTGTAAAATTACATCTCCTCGGAGGATTAAACGCAGACGCTAGTTTATTATCGTATTGTTCTGTATTTTTCTCAGCAACTTCTTTAATTCGATTAGGTACTTACGCATATTATGTTAAAAATAAATATCTAGTACACATCTTAGGCTATCCACCATTATTATCCAATGACGACTCTCAGCTAACTATGCACTATCATCCAAAATAAACGTGTATGGAAAATTTTATCCCAGTCGGTTGAGGATTGAGGATAATTGCATCAACATACGAACATACCTACATACTTTTATTTACATAACGCAAGCTAAATAAAAGCTTGTAATAATACATCTAATTTTAAGTTAAAATTGTTAAGTGATCATGATATAATTGTATCATTCAAAAATCCACTTACCTTTAATTATTTCTTGTTAAGTATAAATATTATTTCAAATCTGCTCCCTTAATATGCACTTTTTTACTGCTTTTCCTACCTAACACGTTACCAGGAAGTCACGTTACCAGAGTCAGAGTAATAGTGAACACGTTTGACAGTGATTGTCGTCGCCTCATATTCAGCGTCGACGAATAGGGGAATCCCCAGTCATAATGTATTGCATGCGTGGCGGTCTTACTTCAAATCCATAAACAAAGAGAGAATTACAGAACTCGATACTAGATGGCGCTGTTTTTGTTTGAAGAAAGTTTGCGGGCTAAAATACATAGAATTTCATCAATGACTTCCACAAAGAACAACATTTCTGTTTTTTCTAAGTCCGTATCTCTTCCGTATATTTCATAAGATATAAGCTTGGGCTACATTGTTATGCAACGTGATTTTGTCGCTGTCTTGCTAGCAGGGTTGACAGATATACGATTTAAATCGTACTCATACTATTATTTGTCTATTTTTTAATGTACGATCGTAAAGATTATGATCGTAATTCGCACAAAAACATACGACTTTTTGGTTACCTGGCAACATTTTTATTATGAAACGAACATGCTCACATCATCAGTCACATGCAACAATTTATTGGGGATTTCCCCTTCACATCTGGCAGTCCTGCTTGCTAGAATATAGGTAAGTCAGCCACAGTTACTGACGATCGATATTTAAAGGGTATTGTTTTTGTGCTAAATATTTCATAAAAACGTTATTTAATACTTTGTGGATTATTAATTTAGTTGATAATCACTGGAAGTAAAATGGATGCTAATTTGAGAGATCAAGATCTTCGTATAAAACAGTTAATAAAAGAAAATCTACGTAAGTACTCTTTTTATACCTAGGTAGGTAAGGTATAATAAACACAAAAGGTACTTAGATCGCGTGTGTTCGAAGCATTTATTCTAATAAATTTAATTTAAAATTGTAGAAAGAAAAAAATGTCTGCCAAGCCGTAGCCGAAGCCGATCTCCAAATATATTTGGCGATAGTGAGACCCAGTGTCCAGATGATTTACCCAGCGTCGTCGCAACAAAGAAAAAAACGAGGATAAAGTAAAAGAAAATTTACTGAAAGAAGAAACAAACTGTTCTAAATGCTTAATTTATGGAGAAGAGGATAAAAGAAATGAGTATTTCGGACTGTTAGTGGCTCAAGAATTTAAATATATACGGCCATGTGTGCGAACGAGGTGTTATGAAGAAATTTTAAAGTATCTATGGGAAGCAAAAGGCCAACATGTTGATCAACTGCAACATGAAAACACTGAAAATTAATTACTTTCATTTTATTATATATAGATTTTTAAAATTTCCTGAAATATTATTAGTTAACGTTTTATTTAATATTGTAGAATTGATCAATACAATTTATAAAAATAATTTATTGGTATTACTTACATATTTTCAAAAAAATACGTAAAAACCTATTTTTTTGGGTGATTATGGGAGTTTATGGGTGTTTATTGGGTTTTTACCAAAGCACCGGGTTTAAACCCGGTGCTTTGCCCATCTGTATGACCATTATAATACGCCTTTTAAATTATTACAGTGATTTTCTTTTGTCTAATGTTTTTACAATTCTGTCATTCATAATCTTTATATTTTCCTACTGATGAACGTATGATAAAAGAGAACTTATACATACATATTTATTTGGCATTAACAACTTAGGATCATTCTATTCCACAAATCAGTGTACACATATATAATTACATAGAACCATATTAAATTATATATATACATCCAACACAAAAACTGGTCCACTGGTTTTTACTGGACCTTCCACATAGGCCAATCATTTTTCAATGTCAGGCGTTAGATATTTTGTATTTCTTCCAAACTCTCCATTTTTACATTTATTCAACATAAACTAGATCCATAACTTTCTAGTTTGTTTGTGATTGCGATGGAAACTTAAATGAAAAATTTTCAAGTATTTTTTTTTTTCTTTTGTGGCGTTCACCCCGATATTAGGGTATTTTGCCAAGAACAAAACGGGGAAACGATAATAGTAATAAAAATACCTAACACAAACGAATTTAGAAAGGATAAGAATTAGGTCTAGGATATTTATAGGATATGAAGGATATACTTGTACATATGAGAATATACTTATAAATATATAGGAAAAGCAATTGATGCAACTATAAATGTATTCATGTAATATAACTAAATCTTAATATTGTTATCATATATATATGAAGATAGTATTTTATAGATAATAGGATCATTGGAAGAAAGTAGAGTAAGAATAGAAGTTGGGAATGGAACACGGATGGATCGGAGATGATTAAAAAGGGAGGTGTGGTCAAATTTAGAACATGAGAAGAATATATGATTCAAGTCCGCCACTTCAGCACCGCAATTACACGACGAACTTTGTACAATACCAAGCTTGTATAAATGAGAAGGTGTGCATACGTGACCTAGACGCATACGAGTTATAATAGTTGTTGCGGTCTTTCCAAGCTTTAATTTACAAAACCATGGTTTGAAAGGAATATCGGGTTGTATAAGGCGATAAAATCTTCCTTTTATTGTACTTGTTTTTTCCCAATATTCCTTCCAGGCATACCTTAAATATATTTTTGGGAGACAAGCTAGGTCACTACAGTAATTATGATACGGATACATATCACCACAAGTTACAGCCTCTCTTGCAATAAGGTCAGCTTTGTCATTGCCGCTAATACCACTGTGTCCTGGTAACCAGGCAAAAGAAGCGGAATACCCTCTCAACATGCAAAGATAAAGACTTTGTCTTATGTCACAAATAATGGGATAAACTGGTTTTGATTTAAACGGATATTTGGCTAGAGCTTGCAAAGAGCTCATAGAGTCAGTGAAAACTATTGCCTTGTGTAATTTCATTAAAAGTATATATTCTACAGCTTTTAAAATACCATAGCATTCCCCGGTAAAAACTGAAGATTCCGGTGGAAGTTTAATTTTTTGAACGATATTAAATTGTGAATGAAACACACCCACACCTACACAACCGCTATTGTCTGGTTTTGATGCATCAGTAAAGATGTAGTGCCATTCATTCCATTCAATGTCAGTTATAAACATAAATTTGGCATTCAATTCTGAATCATTTTTTGATAACCCAAAATCATATTTAATATTAGGAGATAAAACTAAAGATTGATATGAGCATTTATAAATGGGAAAACAGGACGATGTAAAAGTGGGAGATTCTATGGATTTATATTTTTCATAACTTTGTATTAAACATGGAGGTTTTTTAGATTCGAGAGGTGGTGGTATTTTAGATTCGAGACCTTTGGTGTGCCTCCTTCGTTTTTTATTGCAATGTTTGCAAATGCGACGTTCGCCACGTACTCGCTTACGTTTAGAACTTGCAACGCTAGAACCATCTGTGTCCATACCAGATTCACCCAATATATCAAAACTATTATTAAATGGGATAGTTATATTTGCAGACACCTGGGGGGTTGTCCCCCCAGGGTCTATAGGTGGATCCATAATGTCTAGTTAATATAGGTAATTTACTTACCAATATTTACAGCAACAAACACTATTACTACAAAATATACAATTATATATACAATCTAATACACAATATATAAATAAGACTAATCCTTATATAATTAAAAATTAAATTAATTTAAAGAAGATCAAAAAACACTCCCGCTTTTTTAAACGTTTCCCGCGCTTTTTTTCAAAAGTATATTTTTAATTTTAATGGTCACTTTTTTAGTACCTACGTTTGTTTCGTTATAGAACAGGCTAAGGTCGGGGACAATGCTGCCTAGTCTTTAGTATGATAATTTGTCTGGAATGGTCACGTTTTTATTACACTGACAAATTACAATTTTTTTTAGCAGAATAGAACTATTACCAAGAACAAGGAATTACATAGAAGGAATGACAAAATAAAAACTGTAAATCATATGGTTGCCTCTTTCTTCTTATGCAAATATAATTAGTAAAAAGAGGACGAAAGATACACCATCATTTGCTATTTTTCTCAATTCATATCAGGCTAGTGTATAGAAAATATTTGATATGTCAAGTATTTGACAATAATAAATTTTACATGACTACATTATATATTCGACACAGTTTATGTAGAAAGTATGCGACATGTCAAACCTTAGAAATATAGTGATCATTTGACAACAGAGTCGTATTGTTACAATCACGATAGTCGTGATAAAAAAAATTTTGTTTGTATTCCAACAATAGACAGTTAAATACGTAACATAGTTTTTTTACTAATAAAATACACATCCATTATTACAGATGTCTATTCCTCTTGTCAAGCCTAGTAATGTCATTGTGTCAATGACATCGACATCAGTCGCTTGCACGTCTCGAGTTGATTGAATCCATTATTTAGGTATTTAATGCAAATTATTTTGAATTTATGTTTCGAACATTTTTGTGATCAGTGATCTGTATGAGTTCTCATTGGACATATAAGTGCCGTTAAACCTTCAATCACATTCAGGCGGTGGTGTTAACTTATCACGCCTTGATTTAGAACTATCTTAATCCGATAAGTATTATTTATTAGTGTAATTGCTCCTTTGGCCGTAGGACGTAAAAAAAAAAAAAAAATTTTTTAAAATGGTGATCGAGAAAATTTGCTGCTTGGGTGCGGGATACGTTGGCGGTCCGACATGCAGTGTTATTGCATTAAAATGCCCTGATATAACGGTGACGGTCTGTGACAAGAGTGTGGATCGAATTAACCAGTGGAATTCTGATAAATTGCCAATATACGAGCCCGGTTTGGACGAAGTGGTGAAGCAGTGTAGAGGTAGGAACCTGTTCTTTTCCACAGACATCGCTAAAGGCATTCAGGAGGCCGATTTAATATTTATATCTGTTAATACACCAACAAAAACGTTCGGAAACGGTAAAGGCAGGGCTGCCGATTTGAAATATATCGAAGGAGCCGCCAGAATGATAGCCGATTTGGCGACAAGCAATAAAATCGTGGTCGAAAAGAGTACGGTGCCGGTGAAAGCGGCTGAAATTATTATGAAAATACTCAGGGCGAACACGAAGCCCGGGGTCAATTATCAGATCCTTTCCAATCCTGAGTTTTTGGCCGAGGGAACGGCTATCGTCGACTTGGTGGAGGCGGAACGCGTCCTGATCGGTGGGGAAGACACACCTGAAGGCCAGAAGGCTGTGCAGGAACTGTGTTGGGTGTACGAGCACTGGATTCCCGCGAAAAATATCCTAACAACTAATACTTGGAGTTCAGAGTTATCCAAGCTAGCGGCAAATGCGTTTCTAGCTCAGCGTATATCCAGTATTAACTCGCTGTCTGCAGTCTGCGAAGCGACTGGTGCGGACGTGTCAGAGGTCGCACGTGCGATCGGTCGCGATTCCAGAATCGGACCCAAGTTCTTGGAGGCGTCTATCGGTTTCGGCGGCAGTTGTTTCCAGAAGGATATTTTGAACCTTATCTACTTGTGCGAATGTCTCAATTTGCCCGAAGTGGCAGCGTACTGGCAGCAAGTGGTCGATCTGAACGATTACCAGAAGCGTCGATTTACGCGGAAAGTGATCGAATCGTTGTTCAATACGGTGAGCGATAAGAACATTGCAATATTAGGGTTCTCATTCAAGAAGAATACAGGCGATACGCGGGAATCGCCAGCCATTTCCGTATCGAAGACTTTGCTCGACGAAGGCGCAAAACTCCATATATACGATCCTAAAGTGGAAACGGAACAAATATTTTATGAATTAACTAGTCCGTACGTAACTGCAGAGCCAGAAATTGTTAAGAAGAATGTCGAGATCCATGATTCAGCATACTCCGCAGTGACCGGAGCACATGCTATAGTGCTGTGCACAGAATGGGACGAATTTAAACAGTTGGATTTTAAGAAGATCTACGAAGTAATGATGAAGCCCGCATACATCTTTGACGGACGGAAGATTTTAGATCATGAGGCGTTATTGAATATTGGTTTCCATGTGCAAACTATTGGCAAAAGGCTCTGCAGGACAGGCAGCATCCGAGCACAGGGCAGCCAAACATTGCCTTAACAAGTTAATACAACAAAATGTAAGTATTTTTTTTTTCTTTTTAAAGTACATGCAGAGGCATACAAGCATACAGCCTGCAGACAGGCAGGACAGGTAAACAGTCTATGGACGCCTGCAACACAACTACCAGGGGTGTAATGTGCACATTGCTAACCCTGAAGCAACCTTAATATACCTTCCTTAAAGAACCCCATACTGTAGTCTCTAGGGGGAACCTTTGGAGGGAAATTATTCTACAGTTTGAACCTGTATTTTTTTTTTTATTAAAAAGGATGTATCTTTGACACAAGAATCTAATGCTGTTGTCTGCATTATGTAGTAAATTTTGAAAAAAAAAAAAAATTATTGTCAATGTTAACATAATTTAAAATTTTCTTCAAAAAAAAAAACTTGTGACAATTCAATTGTGACAAAATCGGTTATTTTGGTTTAAAAAAGAAACAATGGTCGCGTACAGCGCGGTTTCAGAGATGCTTTCTCCCACGAACACTCAGGTTATGGAATGAGCTCCCTGCCGAGGTTTTCCCAAGAGACTACAGCGTGGGGTTCTTCAAAAGAGGGGTAAAGAGGTTTCTTCAGGGTCGGTAACGCGCGCGTAAGACCTCTGGTATTGCAGGCGTTCATAGGCTACGGTAACCGCTTACCATCAGGTGGGCCGTATGCTTGTTTGCCACCTCAGTGGTATAAAAAAAAACATTTTGATTTCAAAACTAAATTACTAAGTTGATTTGAAAAAAAAAACATATGATTGACACATGATTGAAACATGAGATTGTTCACATGTTTTTTCTGTTATGTCCTCTCTGATTAAAGAAAGAATTTACCAAATCCACGTACAACCTGATGGAGTTACGAGGTGATTACCATAAAAAAAAAATACAACGTGCCGTGAATTTACTGGGTACATAGGAATAACACCTGAGTCCTCAGGAATGGCAACGCACGGGGCGTATCATGGGCGAAACAGTATACTCTGTTATGTGCACGGTACTGCTCATGTCTATAGGCGACGGTTACCACTTTCCATCAGGTGGGCCGTCAGCTTTTTTGCCATTCTAAGTTGTATAAAAAAAAAACCTAATCGAGTACGATTCCTTCTCTTTGAAGTCTCTTTAAAAATTAATACATAAGAGGCCCCAATTTACGAAAAACAATATGTATATAAACCAATGCGTAAAATATAAATGAGCTATTTAGAATCCATTTTTTATTTTGTTATTTGCTGGCGGATCTATAGGCGGAACTCTGTGTTATAACATACGTATGTATATGTATAAAGTTGTACTTGTGTATATCCGTGTTTTACTATATTGGTAGCGTTGCCCCTTTCTATTTAGTTCCCATACATCATTCCCATCGGAACTATTCATGAATCCGGTCTTATATTGTATTATATATTTAATTGATAATTATTGTACGTATCTAATACCTTTATAAAGGGGGGGGGGGGGGAAAGGGATTGTTAGTAATGGAGACTGAAAATCCCATTGCTAGCAATATACCCAATCAGGTCGACCTCCACGTAGTTCCCCCTGGAAACAATCGTGAACAATTCTTGTTGAATTCATCACGATGGGCTAACTGACCTGCTTCATCCTCACCTATCATCTTTCACTGGTGCTCCGCCGGTGTATACCGATAGCGCGGGTGGGGTTACCATTCCATTATCATCTGTTAAAAAAAATACCCCCCCCCCCCCCCCCCCCGAATGACGCTGTTGCTCAACTAATGCTAAAGGAATAAATAGAGTTACCGAAATATTTTTAGCATGACCGCTGTTTTGGTGTGAGGTAATTTTGGCAGACACGTGCGAGGTCACGCGTGTACCGATGGACCTTCAGTCACTTCCCTGCACGATAACATAGTATTGATGGCTGTGTGAGGTCATAATCGTGTCAAGGCATTGCATACGCGTCATCGACATTGTTTTTTGTGCAACTTAGAACGGCAAACAAGCTGACGGCTCACCTGATGGAAAGTGGTAACCGTCGCCTATTGACATGAGCAGTACCATGGACATAACAGAGTATACTGTTTCGCCCATGATACCTACCTAATTAAATTGACAAAGTTTTATATATATATATACACCAGCTGACCCCGTAAACGTTGTTTTAGCACTTATTGCGTAATATAAAAATCGCGATTAAAATACAGGGGTTGATCGTAAAACGATGAAAATTTTAAGTTGTACGAGGTCTGTCCGGAAAGTTCGTATAAAAGTGTTCTGGAATGCGAGAAAGAGGAGTGGGGAGGCCAGGTAAGCGCAGGACCCCTTCCTTATGTCCCTAACAATGCTTCAGTTCTGGTCTGACCGCCGTGCGGTGCGAACTGGCTTGTCACGCCATCTGTGAAGTTACCTCTTAACGAAACCCCGTCGGCATGGAGCCCGCTTCCGTTGAAGAGCAGCGCGTCGTAATCAAGTTTCTCTCGAAACTCGGCAAGAATGGCCGTGAAATTTTTGCCGATCTCAGAACAGTTTATGGGGATGATGCTGTGAAGGAACCAACCGTCCACAAGTGGCTAAAAAGATTCAGAGAGGGCCGAGACAATGTTGATTGTTTTTTTCGATGTTCGGGGGATTGTCCATCAAGAATTCGTCCCTCCAGGCCAGACAGTTGATGGAAAATTCTACGTCGATGTGCTCAGACGCCTCAAAGCTCGTGTGGCACGAGTTCGTCCAGAATTGGCGCGAGAGGGGCGTTGGATTCTTCACCACGACAATGCCCCTGCCCACACCTCTCTTGTTGTCCGTGAGTTTTTGAGTAAAAATTCCATTACGGTGACCGAACACCCCCCTATTCGCCGGATTTGGCCCCGTGTGACTTCTTCTTGTTCCCAAAAACCAAATTGGTACTTCGGGGGCGGCATTTGGGGGACATAAATGAGATAAAAAAAGCTACGACGGGGCAGCTGAGAAACCTACAACCAGAGGACTTTCAAGGAGCCTTCTCACAGTGGAAACGGCGTTGGCACAAGTGCATTATGTCACAGGGGGAGTACTTTGAAGGGGATAAAATTGATTTACCTGAATAATTGTAAAATAAAATTTTTAAAAAACTTTTATACGTACTTTCCGGACAAACCTCGTATGTATTTTTCAATGCTAAATCATAATAAAATAAAAATAAAAAAAAATGTCATAAAAATAAAAAAAAAAAATTTTAGGGGTACCCACCCCTTATCAGTGATGGGTATAAAAAATAGATGTTGGCCGATTCTCAGACCTATCGAATATGCACACAAAATTTTATGAAAGTCGGTAAACACGTTTCGGAGGAGTTTGGTAACAAACACCGCGACACGAGAATTTTATATATTAGATATATATATTTATTTATATATGAATATACCTACGTTTTAAAAAATTCAAAAAGTAATCTGCAGGTGTTGATACAATTTTGAATACAAAATAATTTATTTGGATAAGGATTAATAAATAGGTATGAATAACATGTACAACGCGACAGCGTAATTTTTTCTATTTCTATGACTTATTAAATTCGTAATATCTATTTTTTTTTATGGGTGAAAATGGTATGGTAGCCCCGCCTGCGCTAACGGGATACGCTGGCGGAGCACCAGTGAAGGGTGATAGATGAGAATGAAAACAGGCCAGTTAGCCCATCATGATGAATTCATCGGGAATTAACCATGATAGTTTCCAGGGTGAACCGCGAGGAGGTCGACCTGGTTGGGTATATTGCTAGCAATGGGATTCTTAGTCTCCATTATTAACAATCCCTTTCCCCTTTGTATTATCTATTGAATGGAATAGCCGATTTGAACAATTCAAAAAGTAATCTACGTAAATTGAAAAAGTTTTGAAAACAATATGATTTAATTGGATAAGGATTTAAACAGAAGTATGAATAACATCAACTTTTAAAATGTAAAAAGTGCTTATTGTGACATAACGACAATAGTTGGACATATAGTGTCGCGAAGTTTTTTGTACTTATTGATATTTCCTTCAATATTGTAGAACATACTTTTGTTCTATCACCAATAGTTTCCGCAGCGCACGCGACCAAACATATTTTATAGCATTTTTTCTACACCTCGAGTTACGTCACTAAAGTTTTAGTAAGGACCCCTTAATGTTTTCTAGCAATAAATATAGCCTGTGTTACTCAGGGTGAATGTAGCTTTCTAATGGTGGGAGAATTTTTGAAATCGGCGAAGTAGTTTTTGTGTTTATTCATTATAAACATACATACATACAAAAATACAAATCTTCCCTCTTTATAATATAAGTATAGGTGTAGACATGCAGTGTTAGATATTTAATAATGTATAATCATTAATAATTAATTCATATGACAAATTACATGTATGTTATCATTAATAGGAAATATTATAAGCTGATAAAAGAATTAATTTACTATGTACATAGGCCTACAGTTACCGCGTGTTTTGTTACGTAGATTACTTACTGCTCTCACGTACTTTTTTTAACAAATGATAATGGTATGGTAACCCCGCCTGCGCTGGGGGGAAAGGGATTGTTTATAAAGCGGTCTAATAGCCCCATTACTGGCAATATACACTCTCAGGTTGACCTCCACGCGGTTCCACCTGGAAACCATCATGTTTGTTTCTTGTTGAATTCATCATGCTGGGCCAACTGATCTACATTCATTCTCAACTATCATCTTCCACTGGTGCCTCGTCGGTGTATACCAATAGTGGGGGCGGGGTTACCAATCCATTTTCACCATTGGGGGGAAAGGGATTGTTAGTAATGGAGACTGAGAATCCCATTGCTAGCAATATACTCAACCAGGTCGACCTCCTCGCGGTTCCCTTTGGAAACTATCATGGTTAATGCTTGATGAGTTCATCATGATGTGCTAACTGGCCTGTTTTCATTCTCATCTATCACCCTTCACTGGTGCTCCGCCAGCGTATCCCGTTAGCGCAGGCGGGGTTACCATACCACTTTCATCCACCAAAAAAAATAGGTTAACCCTTTCTTTGCATGATTTTTTTTATTGGTGAAATAAATCAAGGTGATATAATTCATGTTTAAAATTAAAGGAAAAATGGTTAAAAAAATAAATTTGACAGCTACATTTTTTTCACTGCAATGCACATTAAAAAGGTATCCAGACACGATCAATTTAAAGTGAACTTGGTCTTTTGTATAATTTTTGAGCGTTCAATGTTATGATGGAAATTTCCACCGTTATGCAAAGAAGGGTTAAGTCGTTTCTAAGATTATCGTGCACAAACGTACAGACAAACAGATAAAAATAAAAAAAAATCGTTGTTTTTAGTACTGTTGCGTTTGTAAAGTCTCCTTATTGTAGTTTTTCTTATATATCTTCCATGTACAGACAGCGAGCAGTTACGATTTTATATATATGTACAAGAAATTGAATGATTCCGACATAGAAAACTTTGAGAACCACTGTTTAATATATGTTTTTTTTTTCTTTCCAGGTAACCATCACATTGAAACCAGCAGTCACAAATTAAGCTAAAGTATTATTAAAATAAACGCTTATTCCGAATTGTTAAAGGTGTTACATAAAAACAATACATACTGAAGCATATTACAGTGTAGGAACATAATGGTTATCTGTTAATACATGCCAGGAATTCAGCACGATGGTTTCCAGGGGGAACCACGTGGAGGTCGACCCGACAGGGTATATTGCTAGCATTGGATAGCAATATATATGTATATATATAATAGCAATTTCAATGGCTGATAATGGAATAGTAAGTCCTGGTATACGCTAGCGGGGCACCAGTGAGGAATGATAGGTAAGGATGGAAAGCAGGTCAGTTAGCACATCGTGATGAATACACCAGGGATTCAGCACGATGGATTCCAGGAGGAACCGCGTGAAGGTCGACCTGACAGGGTGGGTACGTATGGGACTGGTAGTCCGCATTGCTAACAATCTCTTTCCCCCAGTGAGTTTTACAGTACCCGAGAAAGTAAATAATCGAATTAAACATAGAAACAAAATGTATATCCATATATTTAAGAGATTAATAATAATAAGAATATTTTTATATGCATATTTTAAGCGTATTATAAGATTGCGTATTACTTTAGCTTTATAAATTGTTTCCTTTGCCATGGAAAACGATGAGCTTTGAAAAAGTAAAAAAAAGTTATTTGGCCTTAAAGAGAAGAAAGTTTAAAAAAAAAAACATTGTAAAATATTATTATCTGCATTTTACCGCTCTTTTTCGCTGCATATCTGAATCGTTAACTACTACACTGTACCGACAATGTCGTCAATAAATTAAATTTAAAAAACGAACTTTATTTTTTCTTCAATAATAAAAATCAATATGTACTCTGTAAATACTCAATTATTTATCTTTAATTATTAAGGCATCTGATCGTTATAAATGAATAAGTCGACAATTTCACAATTTATTTATAGAATGTCTACGATAACATGGCGCGCCGTTCCAAAATCTAAAGATATAGAAATGTGTGTGTAAAAAACATTTACAAGGTTTAGGTCGAACAATATACCACTCGCGAACACAGAGTATATAGGCGCACACGGTAAAGTGAAAAAAAAAAAGAAATGAGTGTCGTGCCATGTTAAACCTTCTTTGCATGTTTTTTTTTTATTGGTGAAACAATTCAAGGTGATATAGTTCATGTTTAAAATTAAAGGAAAAATGGTTAAAAACATAAATTTGACAGCTATGTTTTTTTATCTGCGACAGACATTAAAAAGGTATCCAGACACGATTAACTTAAAGTGAACAGAACAACTTTTATAAAAATTTTTAGACATTCAATGTTATGATGGAAATTTCCACCATTATGCAAAGAAGGGTTGACAATCTTTATTTATATTCATAACTGAAGTGCTTTAAATTTAATTTTTAATACGACAAGATCATCGTTTTCCGCCATTTTGATAATTTTATTATTATATCAGCCGTTAATTGTCCACTGCTGGGCATAGACCTCCCCTATAAGGGGGGTTATGCCGGTAGTTGCCACGTTTGGCTGTATAATTATTTGATTTAATATTGTTTTGATATAATGGAATGAAATTGTACATTCATAACACTACTACTTGGTCGTCACAACGTTTATGCTTATTTCAACTTGACCGGTTTTTGCGTGCATTATGCGTTTTTTTCTATTTAGATATAAGATTTCATTGGAGTCGATTCTGAATCGTCATTCTCGTAGGTTTAAAATTGATTTTTTTATTTGTATTACTAGTATTACTTTATTGGTAATGACAAAGGCAATGAAACTAGGTTATACAGCCTAATCTTAAAATTTCAATTTGATTATTACCATTTTTTTTTTTTAACTTATTCCCCGAAAGATAAAGGACTTACCTATTTTTTTTTTATAGACCATAATAGTTTTGTTAAACTGTCAAATTAGAGTTAAAATCCAATTTTAGACATAAGTTATAAGGTATACTACCTCAGAATCGACTCCATTGTACTAATATGATGTTTTGGTTTTATTTTATGTAAAAGTGAAGGTAAGTACTAATTCATCGTGCTAGAGGCGCCATTGTATAATAACATAGATAAAGAAATCTCTGCATCTCTTGCTTTAGTCTATATCAATAAGCGGGAAAATAAAATATTAAAAAAATTTCCCGCCATAATGTATTTTTTTTAAATCACTGCCTGTATTTTGCTATTATTTATGGTATAATACGGTGGCGCCACCTTTACAGCGTTTTGCGCGAGCTTCTTTATTATATTGGGATATGTTAAGTTATAAACAGATATTTTTAATTATATAAATATATTGTTATTTCTTATTCTATGATACAAAGTACATACGAATAATGTTTGGGTGGGTATTTAAAATTGAGTGTTTGATGTTAAATATGTTTGGTTTACTAAAAATCAGTATTTTTTATTTCGTTTTGGGTGAATTTAACATTTTATTACCGTTATTATTATGTACATATCACGTTGTGAACGCTAAAAACTGGTCGACTTTTTTTTTTAATTTTAAAATGTCTTTTCTAACAATGTGTAGAGCACAAGTTATGTTTCTTTTTTTTTTTGATTATAGAAACATTTATTTTTTTATAAATGGAATTATTTTCGAATTTATTCAATTATTTTTTAAGTTACTATATTTTCTTAAGAATCCTTTGTCAAGAGTATTATTTTCATGTAAGACTTGGTTGTCATTATATTGTGCCACCAGGATTATTTTATCAAATGTATTCCCAGTTTAGTTTAAAAATTAATATATTTGTCTCATAATATGTTGTTTTATTGAACGAAAGACGCTCGCTACATCGAAATACTGTTGTTGGCAACAGAAAAAACTTATATTTTAAATACTCGACCGGGACTTTACGCGATGTAAAAGCTTTTACAGGTAAGTACCTACATACCTGCTTCTTGACGACGTTTCGAAGTGGATTCATCTTCCATTGGACCCTGTCGGTGTATACCGATAGCGCGGGCGGGGTTACCATTCCATTTTCATCCATTAAAAGTGTGTGTGCTCGAAGACACTCGAAGACTGACCACCACTGTTACTGCCAGAAGTACCACAACCTTCCATATTGGCCGTCAACTGTATTGTAATGTAATAATTGTTTTTCTATCTAATGTAATGGAAGCGTAATAATTTAATAATGAATCATCTGTAATACCCATATTTCAGCATTTTTTTATGCAACTTAGAATAGCAAACAAGCTGACGGCCTAACTGATCGAAAGTGGTAACCGTCGCCTATAGACGTGAGCAGTACCGTGGACATAACAGAGTATACTGTTTCGCCCATGATACCCCCCATACGTTGCCATTCCTGAGGACTCAGGTGTGATTCCTCTGTACCCAGTAAATTCACTGCTATATCCCACCCTTCAAACCGAAACACAGCAATGCGAACAACTGCTTCACGGTAGAAACACGAATGGGACAGAGGTGGCCAAGCAAACGACTTTTGTACAATCTGATATTATTATTAATCTCCGACTGCCATTTCGTTCACGCACGTTTTGCGATACGCGTTTCACTTATAAACGAGGCATCTTCAAGTGAATTGTTAGATCGCTGCTAACAGCCGTTGCGTTAGATAGTTCGGGACACAAGCTGCCAATGAGTAATTTTCGAAACAACATAATTTTAATAAAATAACCAGCGATAAAGACTTCCGTAAGATAACACCTAGTGTTCAGTAAAATAATATCTTTCTCGGACTCTCAATATTGAAGATTCCACGAAATTATGCTTTATAAAAACACTAGCGACCCGTCCCGGCTGCGCACGGGTGGACATTTTTACAACGTTTCAAAAAGTGCTTATTGTGATATAACGATAATAGTTGGACATATAGTGTCGCGAAGTTTTTTGTACTTATTGATATTTCCTTCAATATTGTAGAACATACTTTTGTTCTATCACCAATAGTTTCCGCAGCGCACGCGACCAAAGATATTTTATAGCATTTTTTCTACACCTCAAGTTACGTCACTAAAGTTTTAGTAAGGGTCCCCTAATGTTTTCTAGCAATAAATATAGCCTATGTTACTCAGGGTGAATGTAGCTTTCTAATGGTGAGAGAATTTTTGATAACGGCAAAGTAGTTTTTGTGTTTATTCATTACAAACATACATACACACAAAAGTACAAATCTTTCCTCTTTATAATATTAGTGTAGATTTACGCTAAGAAACAGCCGGGTAAAACCCGATGACTTATGTTTCCGCCGTCCCTACTCGGAAACCATATGTGTATGCGTGCACAACGCTTTGCTGTTTCATTCTCCATGCATGGATGTAAAATCTCGTCGTGTTTCAAAAAAAAAGACCGACTTCAATTAATTCAAAATCGGTTATTTTAATACATACACACACTTCCAAATACTATATAATTAATACTAGTTCCTTTGCATGCTATATAACTAAACTAATAAAATGTAAAACTAAATGTCTAAATGTATGTTGGGCACATATATATGTGCTACATGTAGGCACATGCTTTTTCTTTGTTTAATTAACAGATTTATTTATTGCACTGGAACGCTAGCGCCCCTGCCTTGAGGAGGTGGGCGTTGACAGCCGCGACACAGTTATTTTTAACTAATGCGGCCGTTATCGTACACTAGCCTACAATTGTAATTTTTTATGGTTCTAATAAATACATTGTAATTTTTTTTTTTAATCTAAAAACTAAACAATTGAATCGATAATAACTTTTCACGAAATACGATTTTTTATTTTTATTCATATGCGAAATATTTTTCCTCTGTATCAATAAATTTTTTTTTTTATACGACTTAGAATGGCAAACAAGCTGACGGCCCACCTGATGGAAAATAGTAACGGTCGACTATAGACATGAGCAGTACCACGGACGTAACAGAGTATACTGTTTCGCCCATGATATCCTCCCCATGCGTTGCTATTCCTGAGGACTCGGGTGTTATTCCTCCGTACTCAGTAAATTCACGCCATATCCCATCCTTCAAACCGAAACACAGCCATGCAAACACAACTGCTTCACGGTAGAAACACGAATGGGACAGAGGTGGCCAAGCGAACGACTTTTGTACAAAGTCTCCCTCTGGTAAGATTTCCTTCACTTTTACCTAATCACAGCCTTATGTTGACTAACACTATATACAGATACAGGCATCGAGTCTCAAAAACGGGTCAACTTCTCGTCAACTAATTATCAAATTGGCTGACTCGTTCCCTTATCAGTGTTCTATATACTTACGCACACAATGCACCTTGACGTATCTATATTTAATTGTTTAATAAATAAAATGACTGTTTACGCAATAAAAAGATGCAGAAATTATAAAACAAAACAAATATACAAGTTATAAAGGAATCGCTCGTAACAATTAATACGTGAAATTATATGAAAAAGTTGAGCCGTTTTTCTCGAAGCGTTTGTATGGAGACACTCTATCTATATAATCTAAGGATTTACATGACGATTTCCATTTACACTATGTCACATGAGTGAGCTACGAAAGGAAAATAAAAGGATATCTCGTCATTGGCCTCTGTTTAACTACCTTTATTAGGGGGGAAAGGGATTGTTAGTAATGGAGACCGAGAATCCCATTGCTAGCAATATACCCAACCAGGTCGACCTCGCGGTTCCCCCTGGAAACTATCATGGTTAAATCCTGATGAATTCACCATGACGGGCTAACTGGCCTGTTTTCATTCTCACCTATCACCCTTCACTGGTGCTCCGCCGGCGTAGCCCGTTAGCGCAGGCGAGGTTACCATACCATTTTCACTCATCAAAAAAAAAAAACTACCTTTATTATTATTATATATACATATTATACAGTACTTTCTTACCTACTTGTACAACAATTAGTCCCTCACCCTGAGGTCGTCCTGTAAAGATCGCTCCCAGCAATAAGACCGGCTCACTGTACTCATACAACTGTGTCGTTGCATTTATTAATCGTCTTGCTTGCTCCCTATATTGTATAATGCAAATAAAGTATGCTCACTCATTTATTTATTATCAAACCGGCTGTCAACTGTCCACAGCTGAACATAGTCTTCCTCCATAAAGCGGGAATTTGCTGGTAGTTGCCACGCTTGGCAGACGGATTAGCAATCGCAGTTACGCTTCGGTGAGGTTTTAGAGACAGTTTAATGGAATGGTAACCTCGCCTGCGCTAACGGTATACACTGGCGGGGCAGCAGTGTGGGATGATAGGTGAAAATGAAAAAGCAGGCCAGTTAGCCCATCGTGATGAATACACTTGGAATTCAGCACGATAGTTTCCAGGGGGAATTGCGTAGAGGTTACTGACAGGGTATACTGGTAGCCAGCATTACTAATAACCCCTTTCCCCCAAGAGAGTTTTTTTAATGGGTGAAAATGGAATGGTCTCCCCACTCGCACTATCGGTATACACAGACAGGGCACCAGTGAAAGATGGTAAATGAGAATGAATGCTGGTCAGTTGGCCCACCATGATAAATTCGACAAAAATTAACCATGATGGTTTCCAGGAACCGCGTGGAGGTCGACCTGAGAGAGGCCAGCAATGAGGCTATTAGACCACATTACTAACAATCCCTTTTCCCCCCAAAAAAAATAGTGTTGTCAATCTCTCAACCATTAAGTTTCTCTAGTCGCCTCTTACGACACCCACGGGAAAGGAACGGTGACCTATTCTATGCCGGGATTGTACGGCGAACATTTTTGTTACTACATTTTGTTATATATATATATATATATATATATATATATATATATATATATATATATATATATATATATATATATATATCTTTAAAAAAAATCCATCTTTATCTCCAAAATTTCGCAAACAGAAAATTCTTTAACCTTAAAATTGCAAAAAAAAACATCTAATCTGCCAACGTTGTCTACGACCGTAACGTCCGCGTCTTTAGATCTAGTATCTCTGATTGTTGATAATATCGAGCGGTACTGCTACTCGATCATTGTACGTCGGATCATTGCCCTCGAAACTGGTTATCTGCGTATGTACAGCATTCTAATTAGATATAAACGATGTGTAGTTGAATTATCTAAGTATTTAATCTGTTATAATTGATTATTGTTATGACAATTACTTAGGTATTTTGCAATCTACGAATTAATATTATCTTATTTGTATGTGACATTGTTAATAATTATGTAAAATTGTTTTTCTCAAACATGCTTGGAAATGTGAGCATTATTTTGACAATCTTCTTAGAGATAAATCAAAATTGCCGTACTGGCCAGATACATACGAGTAGCGGCCGCCAAAAGTTGTATAAAAATCCATATCTGTCGTGTTTTGCGGCCAGATAAATTACTATGTAAACTCATATCTGTCCTGTAATTTAAAAATGGAATGACCTTTTACTTCGAAACATGGCTACCAAGGAGGTAACTAATTAAAGGTTTTATTTAAATTTCGAACTGTCTTGCAAATAGAAAGCTGTATATTGAAAAAAAAAACAAAGGAACATTATGGCGCGTGTAAAATTATTATTGTTCGTTATTCGTCATTGAATTTAAAAAGTAAAATTGTGTTTTTGATTTCCGCGCATTGTTTGAGAAAAGTACTATACAAGCCTTGGCCACAACTAGGCATTGATGGACTCACGTATGTGTGCCTCGGCTACTCCTCGGCCCACATTTGGACGTTCGTCCATCAATGCCTCAGTTGCTGGCCGCTGCAATAATGTACTATTATGTTTGTGATTTTTTTTTGATGGGTGAAAATGGTATTGTAGCCCCGCCTGCGCTATCGGTATACACT